ATATATGAGGCTCTATAGCTTCAATTCTGCTGGTGGTGGGCATCTCCAAATCGGGCGTTAGGTGGGGCTGGGCGCTGGTTGGTGGAACACGTTACCAGGGGCGGCTCGATCACGGATTCATGCCCGCAGCTCTCACCTTGTCTCGTCGCCCCACTGCCTTAATACGGTCCGGTAATGCGTGGTTGCATTCTGGCACGATACTGTGTAAAAGCAGCAGTCGAGGATAAAAATCTGGGTGACCTCAAATTTCGACTTTTTGGTTCTTACGAGACATCAGTGGCTACCTAGGAGTACGATGCTTGAGATTTGCCCGGGCGATTGATACGTTTCCTGAGCCATTCTGGATAGGCATCCCTTGAGTGGATTGATTGTACTAACTTGTAAGTCGTTCCACTTACGGATGGCATTCTAGTTCCTCTGCAAGCCTAAGGTTCCGGTCCTGGAGTGCTTGAAAGATATGTAGCTCTGCTCCTACCGAGGAGAACTACCGAACTTGGGATGAGCTGCTCCGTGAAGTTCTAGTCCGGCTGCCTCGGCCTACCCGCGTACTTTGGCCTCGCCTACCTACCTGAAACGGAAGGATGCAGCGCTGCCTTCTGGCTTGGATAACCCTAAGGCTCTCTATGGCCTCGAGGCCTCGGACTCCATGTTACTCCGTCTACACAGTAGATATTTATTAATGCTTTCCCGTCTCCCTAGAACAGCTGTCTCGAGCCTCCTTCATCACCCTTCGATCAGCACTATCCTCTACGAATAATGCACTAGGCGACCTTTCACCATAGGGTATTTCTCCGTTCGTGGATATGAAGCCTTCAGCTACTCTGCTCAATACAAACTGTCGGCATACAGGAAATAGCTACAATAACGTGCTACTTTGCCACGACCGGCCACGCATCTATCCGAGCGGGGGAAGCATAAGCCGATTTAGGAAGGTAGTCGATATACGAAGTCTTTACAAATGGAGACAGCTGCATTCTACTATCACACAACTATCAGCCTTGCGCTCTTCCTACGTTGGTCTACGGACTATTGGTGCTCGGTACTTGACCGGCAGTTGTTCGGGTGCGGATATAAATAGATGGAAGCTACTGTATGAGTTTGTAGGCTCTGATCACGGGATGCAGGATGGGTAGGCTGATTGCAGATGGTGTGCTCTGTCGGAAAATTGGTACCGTGATGGGCGTAGGTAAGGTAGGTAATTCCTGGCGTACTTAGGCTTTTTAACTTCAGAGTCTACTAGATGAAACTCTTTCTATGTTCTTCGTAAATCCTGAACCGAGTTTGCGCGGTTTCTCCATAGGCCTCTGCTTATAACTATATTGGGTAGTTGAGAGTGAATAGCTGTTTCCTCATTGTTTTCTTGTTGTTTCAGCGGTGATAGTGTTTTTCTCCTCTTTCTTCAGCGTACTAATCCTTACGCACCAGATTACTATAAAAATTCTTTTCCCAGCTTAGCTTGTCCCTGCTCTCTAGTCCCTCCTCCTTCGTATCTTTGCCTTCATTATAAACATTCTCCTCTCTCTTCCTCCCTCACCGCTTGTCTTTCTCTTCTTAGTCTTCTTCTTCGCTGTTTTTCTTTGTCCTCCTTCTCCCCAGCCTTCTGCATATATATAGTCGCCCGATCGAAGGACAACTCAATAAGATCCAGCGCTTTCCCTACGGTTCAGCGATCAATAACAGAATAAGTAGTAAATGTTTGCATGGCTGGTGTATACGATGACATTTAAACGGTGCCCAAGATGGTAGTAAAGATTGAAGGGGCTTTGCTACGGAATCAATAATTCTAGCACAGGTAATAAACGCCACAGGTTCTAAATTTCTAACGTTGATTAATTGCCAAGTATGCTGGACAAAGTACGAACTACTCCGCTAGGCAGAGGAAAATATATAGGCTACGTGTAACAAGCTGGGGGATTGGTAGTAGATGATAGATTAGGTAGCCTTTGCGGCTGCGGTCAAGTTGTACATCTTACTTCTCTGCATTCTTCCAATTTCTTTCCCCGGTGCAATGCGAACTATGAAAGTAGACAATGGTGGAGGCAAAGTCTATAAAATCGGAGTGCACAAGGGGTGTAGTTCTAGAGCTCACACTTGATGCTTTACTCTGAAACAGGCAGTGGACTACTAAGGGAGAGGGAAGGCATTATGTCCCTACTTTACATCATTAGGTATGATAAAGTGTCCAAGTGAAGCTTCTGAATAGTGCCTTACGCATTGAGCTCTACGTGAGACGATCGTTAGTCTCGTGTACGGAAACGTATCAGAACTGGTTTATAGGGCCTGGACAGCTCGGAGGAGCTCGCAGCTATATTGACCGATGTTTTCTGGTTTCGGTTTTGAAGGATAGAATATTCAAATTCCTCCTACAGGAGTATCTGTCATGCACGAGATTTCTCGAGCGTCTTCTATACTTGAGCATGTGTGCAGGTGCTGTTGTCCGTACAGAATGGTATGGCCATGTTATGGAAGCTTATTGTCAATGTTCCTTTATTCTTGCTAGTGCGCATAGAAACAGAAACACTCTCTATACAATTAGTCAAGCTTTTTTCACCTACACTCAGATTAACTCGATCTCACTTCAGCCTACCTCCGCTTCTTCTCCGTCCTTTCTTACCGTCAACTTTTTCTGGCACCTCGACAGGCCCTTGTGCCGTCATTGCTACTTCTTCGCTCCTCCCTACCTGGACACTCACACGTTTTTTAACGTCCGGTAAAGGCTTAGCGCCGTTACCTCTGCTTCTCCGCTCTTTCACATTCACCTGAGCATCAGCTTCCCGCGGAAGTTCTTCACCTTCACCGCCTGGGCAGTCTCTGGTGCGCCAGTCCCCATTCTCACCTTTTCTTTGGGCTCACAACCATATATAAGCCTGCCATCTCCCTTGCGCCTTCCAAAGCTGTTGCTCCTTCCACTATAACGCTCTATCCCAAAACCTGTTGTTCCCGCGCGAACCCTCCACTTTGTCGCCCTCCAGCGGATGTCAGTCGCACTCAACTATGTCGGACTACCTGCGGAAGCCGGAATGGATACCCGTCGATGATGAACACGGTGACCGAATGATAGTGGGGTTCATCGAGGACCGTGAGCGCATTACAATGAAGTGTTACCGGCGCCATGATTATTCAGTGTCGAGGTTCTTCTATAATGACACGACGAATGTACGAGGCTTTGGTGAATTTATCAAATTCCACCCTGCATTCGAGGACCTTGCGGATAAGGACAGGGAGACCCGTCTGGCGAGGTTGAAGGAGGCGTATTTCAAATTTAAGCCGGTATCTGCACAGTACTATGCCCCGGGTACGGTTCCAGTTATGGCTCCAGCTTTGGATAGTGAGAGGAGGGAAGGTCGCTTGGACTCGGACTCGATCTCAACATTGGAATCCTCTTCGTCATCTGGCGAGACGGAAAGGAAATCTTCCGCATTCGATAAGCAGACAAGCGTAAGCATACGTAGGACCGGGAACAGACTACTGGCGGTGTTCAAGCTGAAGGATGTGAATGGGGGACGTAAACGGCTCGCCTCTACCAGCCCGACAAGATTGGATGAAGAATCTAACAGCTTCAATGATCGTATGACGCTCTCGGACGGGGAGACGTGTGCGAGCCGAGAGTCGATGCGATCGAGGACCAAGAAGACCAGGCGAAACAGTACATTGGCGGAGACTCCGAACTTGCTGCCAAACCATGGTGCCCTTGAGCTCGGACAGAGGAGGCTCATCGACGAGCACCGCACCCATGAAAGGCCGCTTGGAGAAATGGGCACCATGGTACGTCCCGTTCTCCTGGACGATGCAAGTGAGACCAGTAACGACAGGGTCGCGCGTCTCGAGAAAGAATTGAAAAAAGCAATGGAGCGGATAGCAATGGAGCGGATAGCAAACCGTGATGCCGACGTGGCACGTCTTGAAAATGAGCTAAAAGAAGAAAAGAGGCGGAATGCTGAGCTGGAAAGCGACATCTTCAAGAAGGATCTGGACGTTGCAAACCTCAAGAAATTCAGTGTAGGTGACTTTCTGAACCTGGTTTGCCCATGCCTCTTATTGACTGGAACAGGACGAGAAAATGAAAATTCTGAACGAAAATAAACAAGCGCTCCCCCAGCAAGTTATAGACAGAGTCGAGAGTCTAGATCGCTTAGAAAAGAGCAGCATTAGGTGCAGTCCTTCAAGCACTGGTTGTAATCCTTCTTGAAACTACAGCCTACAGGGAGGGCGGCTACAGAGAAGAAGGTAGAAGAGCACAGCGAGCGATACGGAATAGCCAAGTCAGCTTAGGAGTCGCAGGATGGAGATACAAATGCGAGTATGCACGCTATAAATGTGTTAAGGGTTAGCAAAACGCAGCGAAGTTCGATAGGCGTAATAGAAGGGCACTCTGCTACCTTTAAGAGCGATGCTGATTAGAATCGTGTGAGGTAATGCTAGATTCTCAAGATTGTTTAGTTGACGACAGTTACGCAATAGTTCAACTCCTCGTCCACCTTTCGGACCATGCACTGCTTCTATACGTGCTGACTCCACTATCGTACAATGCCATTCTCCGCCTCCTAGGGTGCAACTTTCTTTTTTAAGAATCCTCTATTCTTATTCTCCAGAACCGTTTGATTTTTGAAACCATACAGGTATCCTCAATGTGCTACAATCTTGATTAATCCTGACTCTACTCTTCCTACCTCTTCCTCTCCTAGCACTTCTCATTAGCCCTCCCTGACCTCCCTGGCCACTAATATACTACTCCCTCTCAACAATAAAGACAATTCCAAGCTACAGACTTGACATTATTTCTGCGACAACTGGACTTTCAGAACGGGCAAAAATAATTTGACGCACGTCCAAACGGCACCGATTTGGTACTTAGCACGGCTCCTAGCCTCTTTACCACTCATACCCATATCCAATAGTGGCGGCCGGTAAAACGATCGCTCCAGAAACGACAGGCCTCTTGCAGTTTTGGTTTGGAAGTTCCACATCTCGGTCTCCCATTCATTCCAGCATCGATACGGCTGTCGACTTCCTGTGGTGCGGGAAACCTGTTTTTGGCGGGAGTGCGTGAATGTGACTCTGTCGTTTCTCGCCGATGGAAAATCTGGGTTGGGAGAGGAGGCGCAGTGATCCGGCAGTGATCCGGCTTGGCGCTGTGGCTCATGACGACCCCCCTGTCGCAATCCACCTCCGATGACGTATGCAGCCCTTCATCCTACACCAGCCCACCTGCGTGCGGGCAAACCGCATTCCATAAATACCGGTTCGCCAGTCTTCTCTCACTGCCAGAAACCATCGCACCCACGCCATCCACATAACCACCAACACCAGAATCCTCGAATTCCAGCTCAATTCCGTACTCCACGCCCTCACAACAACCAACGCCGCCATCATGCCTTTCACCGCAAGGTCCGTCCCCCCTTCCATCCTGACGTCTCTCACCCAGCCAAGCTAACCCGGTCCCCGCACCCAACAGCGACCTCATCAAAATCATCTTCGCCATCATCCTGCCTCCCCTAGGCGTCTTCCTCGAGCGCGGCTGCAACGCCGATTTCCTCATCAACATCCTGCTCACATGCCTGGGCTACATCCCCGTACGTGCATTCATACCTTCATACCCTTTGTCCATCCTCTCAGACAAACCATTTGACCCGGCCCTCCACTGACAACTATGATCAGGGAATCATCCACGCTCTGTACATCATACTTAAATTCTAAACCGAAATATCGAGCGTCGATGGGGTGGATACGGAACAGCGAACCACGATACCCTTTTTTCCTCCTCCTTCTTCTTCTTCTTAAGTCGATCCTTTGATGAATCGCTCGTAATGATATCTTGATGACACTAGCAAGTCGTCGACTGCGATGGCTCATACCTTACTACTATGCACCCGCCGGCTTTTGGGGTGGTGTCATTCCTTCTCTATTCACGACAACGATGGATATGCAGGCGGTCGGGCTTCAAACGGGTTTTCCTTTCCTGGGCGCTTTCGAGAGGTCTCCTGTTTCCTGTAACGTTAAACACCTGCAAGTCTCCGGTGTGGAGAGTATGCCGGTAGATGCGGCGTAATCACTCAACGATTATTTCTACTTGATGAATCAGTCACAACGGGGCCCATCGTTGATTTGAAGATGTGATTCGTCTCCGCACATGATGCAGCTAGCTCCACACCTGGGCAGCTATGGCTATGAATACACACGAACACCCACCTCCCTCTCGAAGTGGATCAGGGAGAAGAACAAGAAGAAGGGGAGATACCAATAAAAAATCCAAGAAGAATAAGAAACGGATATATAAACACTGGTATATCGCTAATCGTCAAAGTAACCACCACCAACCACCACCACCCTCACTATCCCCCCTCGAAATGTCCACGAATATGAATATATGCTTTTGCAAATGGCCTGCCCTCTTGCTCGCTCAAATGCCGTTGAAGAGCAAGTAAAAAACACACCGTCTTGAACACACCCTCTCTATCCCCTCTCTTCATCTCATCGTCTTGCGCAATCAAAAAATCCCCCGTACTCCAGACTCCAAACTCCATACTCCGTCCAGCGCAGACACCTCCCAAACATCCGTCCTACCAATGGCAAATCTGCAACGCCAGTTAGCACATGCTCCTCACACACAAACAACCACACGAAGAATACAAAAATAAAAGAGTAACTCACCCCACCCTCACTATCATCCACACTCCACGTCCCCGCCAACCCCACAATCTCCACCTCACCATCCAAATGCTCGCTCATCTTGCCCAACCTTGCCACGCCGCCGCCGCCGCCGCCCACCGGCCCATCCTCCTTGCCAACACCATACACGCCCTCCCTCAGGTCCGCCGGCCCATTATTCAACAACCGCCTCGCCCACGCATCAATCGCAGGCTCGCCCGTCTCGTCCCTCGCCTGCTTGAGGAAGGCGATGAGCGCCGTCCCGCCCGTCCCGCGCAACTTCTTGCTATCGACGCGTGAAAGCGTGTTTGCGATGTTGATGCGCTGGGCATTCGCCGCCGACGCCGCCGCCGACGCCGAAGCCCGCGAACTGCTGCTGCTCTCGCGCGACTTGACGATGATGTAGCGACTCACCATGCGCAGGTGCTTGTCCCTCAGCGCGCGCAGCATGGCGAGCGCGGCGTCGAATGCCGTCACGAGCGCCCTGTTGTTCCGATTCTTCGCGACGTACTCGCGGATGTTGGCCACGCCCTCCACATGCTCTAAAAACCGGCGGTGCGGACCCGGCATGTACTTGCGCATCTCGAGGATGAAGTTGTGCGCGGGGGGTTGCACGGAGCCTTCCGAGTCGGACGCAGCGTCGGTCCGCTTCTCGCCCGTCGGACGGTGCTCGACGCCCAGGACGATGTCGAAGAATTGGATCGCCGAAGACTGCGCGTTACTGCCGCCGCTGTACTGTACGTACGGCGCATTACCGCTGCCGTCGTCGAACTTGACGCCGTTCGGTAGACCGGCGGCGCCCATGTTCTTCCCTCCAGCGAGGAAGGGGCGGATGCGGTGGTAGAAGACATGGGGGTCGCAGTTTTCGTACATCTGCTCGAGGATGGTGCCGAGTTCATCGAGCGTCTCTGCAAAGGTCTGCAGGCACTGTGTCACCGTTTTGGAGTCGTTGTGTCTCGCTGCGGCAATGGCTTCGATCATGAGCGGGATCGTGGGCCCGGCTTTGGCTTCCATGGCCACGGAGACGAGGTAGAACCATGACTCGTCTAGGGATCCAGTAAAGGTCATCAAGGTCGAGAGGTTGTTCAGCGAATCAATTGGCTCCGAGGTGAACAGGGGACGCCAGTTCCATAGCACGACGCCGGCATAGGTGGCCACGGACGGTAACTCGAGGTGCTGGCATGTGCTGAGGAAAGGAATGGATATGGACGGGGGGACGATCTGCTTGACGTTAGTCTGTTGTGGTGTTGGATGACGAAGGGGTTCGGGTAGGGAAGGCTTACGTCGGCAGGGGAATCTCCTCCCCAGATGTAGGCATGTGCGATGAAACCCAGAACGGAGTATGCGCGCCTCCACTCGGCTTCGGTTAGGAGAAGGTCTGTTGACAGGGTCGGGAGGGCATCGACAATCTGGCGGAGGCGCTTGGTGAGGATGAGGGATTGGAAGTTGCGGACAATGGTCTCCCAGGGCTCGTAGTAGGTATCCGGGAGGATGCTCAGAGGTACCTGTTCAGGGAGAAAGCCGTGGTGCGGAGAAATGTCATAGTCGCTAAGGCGGGGTAATTGGGAAATCATGGTGCTCAGAAGGTAACTAAATGGTACAGGAGGCGGTGGTGGTGGAGGTGGCGAGATATACGAAGGTACGCTCAGGAACGACCGTTAGGATGATATACGCCGGCCTGCTCGAGAGACTGCAAGTAAATTGACGCAGACTCAGGGTTCGCTGCTTGGGGAAAAGAGTCGCGTGATGTCGGTTTACGTCGCCCTCGTCGACACAAAGACGTAACTTCCGCCACCCGAGGTGCGAAAGCAATGGTTGATGTCGGAACAGAAAGGATAGAGGGGGAATCGGTAGAGAGGGAAGAGAATTGGGTCTGAGATGGACGGTGGGAGAAGTCAAAAGTAGAGTGCCGGAGAAAGCCAAGGGTAGGTGTCTATAAGAGAAGGGCCCTAGCTAGGGACGGGATTTAGGAGGATTTAGGACAGTTCCGGAACGGAATCTCGATGGCTATTGTCGCTGAGGCAGCGCAGTTGCAGATTAGTAAAATAGAAGGACAGGCAGGTTAATATTAGAAAAAGCAACCAAGCAGAAGCAGAACCGCGGGTTCCTCCATTGTGATAATATAATACCTCCGCGTCGTGGTCCGCGGCCGGAGCGCTGCTCGCGTGCGATCAATGTAGGCGTGAGCTACTTTCTGTGAGTCTCGACTCTGGCATCCTCTGTTGCAATTTTCCTGCCCGGCATCGGGCGAGAATAGGCACATAGTTTGCCCCCCTCTGGGAGAGAGGAACTGACCCCTGACCAGCGTGGGAGAGGCGCAAAGAACGGCAGAACATCCACTGCGACGGTGTCCCTAGCGCTTCATTAGTCAACGGGTTAGGTGTGACATTACGATCCACAGCCAGAAGTCGTGGTGTTGAGGGCAGCGGCACCGTACTCCAGAGCCGCCGGCGGTTCGTGGGGTGCAGCTTAGATGGCCGAGCCGCCTTTCCGAAACCGGTCCTTCAACGACTGGAGGGCCTTATGGAGCTTGGCGGGGGCTCGGATGAGTAGTTGAAGAGGCGTTAATAAGCGTCAAGCTGGGGATGTTTATCCCTGTACAGATAAGCTGTTAAGAATCTATTATCAGCTAGTCCTGTAGGATTCTAGTAATGGCTAGATTACGTTAGATTGCAACTTCTATTAGCGTAAGATAGATAGTTAACAGCTAGTTACTTGCAACTACTATACGTACAGAGATAAAGCTCCTGTAGGATAGCATCTGCATGTAGCTTTATCAACGCCAGATTCTTATTAGGCTTTAAGATCTATCTAACTCCTATCTAGCCTGATCTACAGGCTGTGGCTGGAATCCTGCTCTTGGCAGGCTTCGGATATGCTCTCACGCTTTACACCTCAGCGCCTAAAGGCTGCAACTTGTCTAGGAAGGTGCAGCAGCGTTACAATCTATATACAGGCGCCTGCTCGCCTTCTACCTGCCTGCCTGCCTGCCTGCCTGCCTGCCTGCCTGCAGACTTTATAGAATGCTGGCGTAGATACTGGCGGCAGCTCGAAGGAGGTGAAACATGAGGAAGGAGCGTGCCTGCAGCTCTCATCAGTCATCTGACGTTGATGGAAGTCGAAATCTGATGGCATTACCTGCCTGATAGAATCAGCCTAGATGGCTATCTAACCTGATTCTATTAGGCAGGTAATGCTATCTAAGGTAGGATTTTATCTGTTTCTAACTAGTACCAAGCCAACCAATCGAGATCCGATTACATCAAGGGACAGATGACTCATCAATTATACATTCACTGGTCATCTGGCTCCCTGCCAAGCGCCGTAAGGGGGTAAAGCTCGTCACGTGACACTGTCTACTTTCCCACGTTCCTAGGTACATATAGTTACTCGAATATACGTGTGTCGCCTTCAAAGAATGGAAAGACATCCGTCGCATACAATACCAAGTTACTCTGTCCTATATGTAAGCATACATCTTCTACACCAATTCCGTCATTCATTCATTACGACTACACACCAAAAAACAACGCCAACTATGCAAAGCTCCATGCCATGCGACGAAACACGGGGAAACCACCTCTCTTGCACACACACACACTGGCCAAAATGAGTGAAGAGTGCTTGTGCGGCAACAGACCCCGAACCAAGTAATGAACTGCCCATCTCTTGCGGCCTCCTTCTGTTCCTCCCTCCTCCCGCCTATTCCATGCCGCCCACCTGGGCATCGGCCACAACCTCCGGGGTATAAGTCGTTATAATGATGTGAATGAGGCCCCAATAAGCTGTTAATAACTATGCGAAACGTCCTCCCAAGACCAAGACCCGACCGCACTCTATGTAACCCTGAAATATATTTCTTCTTGTAGTTGCGCCATGATTCAGATTCACTGCGAAGCTCAGCGTGGTTGTTTTTGCTGCATACATTAGTGCCTGATCATCTGCGTCAACCTTCCCCAACACTTACGAGGCTAGCCACTGCGGCTGCAGAGGCGAGGTCTGGCTTCCCCGAGAAGCTTCGTTGCGCCGCTCGTGGAAGGCTGCTCGTTGCATGGAGCGGCGCTCCGTTTGCGGCTCGTTTGACCGCCGTGGCACTGGGTGCTCCATGTACCGTCGAGTTGCGCCTGGGCCCTTTGACTGGCGATTGCCTGGGCCCTTCAACGTTCGTGTTCGCCGGCTGCCCGTTCCGAAGGCTGGTGACAGGAGGCTCCGGTAGGGGACGGGTACGCTGTTGAGGCGTTTGGGCTGGAGGCAAGCGCTTCATAGGCGACGAAGCTGCCCCGCTGCCATTCACCGCTGTCCGCGGTCGTGCGGGCTTCCTGTTGCCCGTGATGAACTCGTGGAGCATCGCTTCGTCCGGCTTCATACGGCGGTCCGGGTCCCACCGGAGACATCGCGCAATGAAGTCAAGGAAGGCTTCGTCGTCGCATTTGAGAGCTTGTTGGAGTGTCTTGGAGCTAGGCCTTCGTCGTCGTCCCTTGCTAGACACTGTAACCCGAGGTTTGCCCGTGGAATCGAAGAACAACTTCCGCCTACTGCTCTTCTCAATCAGATGCTTCTCTGGCGGCCCGAAAATCTCCATGATGCAAGCGAGCTGTTCCTGCTCGTTCTCTCCAGGGAAGATGGGATAGCCAGTGAGGAGCTCGGCAAGGATACATCCCAGACTCCACATGTCAATCGGCAATCCGTAACTCATGCCAAGAATGACCTCGGGTGAGCGGTAGAATCGCGACTGGATGTACGTGTACACCTTCTCGTTCTCAAAGCAGCTTGAGCCAAAATCGATGACCTTGATCTCGGAATGCAGTGGGTGCGCGAGCAGGATGTTCTCCGGCTTCAGATCGCAGTGGATGACCCGATGGCTTCGTAGGAGGATCAGGGAGCTGAGTATCTGCTTGGAGAAGCGTCGAATGAGCCGCAGCGAGAAACCCTTAAATTCATGCGCCTTGATAAACTCATACAAGTTCATCCCGAGCAGCTCGGTGGAGATGCAGAGATGGCCACGGAAATAGAAGCTCTGGGTGAAGTTGATCATGCTATGCTTGTTGTCGGGATCCTGTACATGTCAGTAGATGATTGGGCTGGCTTGGAACGGCACCTACCCATTCGCGGAGCTTTTTAAGGATATTGACTTCCACGAGAGCCTGCTGGTGGAAGCGCTTCTTGTTGCGAATGATCTTGACTGCCACCAACAGACCCATCTTATGGTCCACACAGCGAACAACCTGCCCAAAACTGCCCTTCCCGAGAACGTCAACCACCTCGTATCGGTATGCAAGATGGTCCCCAAGAACGATATTATAGTCACCCCTCTCATCGTCATAGCCAAAGTTGAGAGCTTGTTGGCTCAGATCTCCCACGATCTTCTTCGCGTTCTTTGTGCCGCAGAAATAGATTTCCTTGTAGTCGATGATTTCTCCTCTCTCAAAGATGTTCAAATTGACCATTTGGAGCGCCTGCGCTGGCGTTACCCGCTCTTGCGGCCGCGCCCGTTTCCTCAGCTCATCCACTTGACGGGCGGCTTGCTCAAAAGATCTCCGTTTTGAAGCCAACTTTCGCATCTCCTCGTCAGCGGCCAGATCTTCCCTATCAAGGTTGGACTCAAGATGGCGGGCTCTCAGTACGCTCGTGGAGCTCTTTGAACCCAGCATTCGCTGTACTGGTGTCAAAAGGGAGGCACCTGGCTTGTTACCGGACAGATCGGCATGGCTAGAAGGAATTCGAACACTGATCTTGCTCTTCTGCTGGTCTCCATGCTTGTCCAGCTCCGTGTCGCTTGCGATTGTAGCCGTCGATGGCTTCCTCCGAGAGAAATCAAGAGAGGGCCGAGTGCGGTTCGAAGGAGTGGGGCTACCTCCCAAAGATCCATTCCACGCGGCAGAGGCTGGTAGCCTGGGAGGGGGCATGTCATTAGGTTTCTGCGGCTGCTGGGTCTGCTCCACTCTTCTTGGTATGTTTTGTGATTGCGAACCATGCGATACATGAGTGGCAGCCTTCGATGAGCTACGTCGCCAGCCACTTATACTGAGCTTTCGTCTCAGCGACGACGCAGAGGAGGGTGTTTCTGGTTCAGTTGACGTAGTGTGTGCCGATGATGGCTCAGTTTTCGGTTGAGCACGCGGACCATTGACTCGTAAGCTCTGCATTTCCACATCCAAATCGCTGATCTGGTATTCACCGCTAGGCCTGGAGTACAATCTCGCGAAGTCGCCACCACCCTTGGGCAATGAGTTTGATGCAAACGGCGTCGTAGCCTGTCGTCCAGGGTTGAGAGTCGGTACCGGCATCGCGGAGGCGGCCGGAAGCGAGGAGTCCGGCCGACGAAGGTTATAGGCAGAGCTGCTGCTGCGAAGGTGTTTTGTGTCAAAGGGATCCGGGTGCGACTTCGAGAAGAAGGTGGCCTTGGACGCGGTCATGGGTGTGCTTGGCGTTTTATTGCTAGCACGCTTCGGTGGCGGTGTCACACTTCGGTCGTCCACCTCGCTTGACGGAGCGGGAAAAGAAGAGATCCTATTGTTGAAAGGAGTACCGAGTGGGAGCAGCGTCAAAGGTGGGAGCCTGATGGGCTGTAGGTTCTTCTTGGTGTTGCGAGGCAACACTGGGGTCTTATCCACGTCGCTTGAGCCGAGTGTCAGTCCTCTACGATGCCTAGGTGGTCCCTCCTTCTTGGTAGGATCTGTGGTGTTCGGGTCACTGCCCGAAGTCTCGGTGTTCTGATCAGGACCACTATCAAGGTCGGGAGTGGGCGCCCGATGTTGTCGTGAAGGTTGCGGCATAGACGATTTGGTGGCAGCGAGGAACGAGAAGCTGGTGTGGTCTGGGTCCTTTGGAGACTCGTATGCTTTTGGTATCGCCGGAACAGGGGGGACGTCTTCATCGTCTTCTCCTGCTGCAGAGCTATGCACATTTCTGGGCTTCGGAGTAGGAAGTCGAGAGCCTGAAAGGGCAGGGTTACCACGCAGAAGCATGGAAGACGTAGTAACCTTGAGCGAGTTCAAGCTCGAGTTCGACGATAATGATATCCCTGAAGCATAGGATTTGCGCTTTTGTTCAGGAGTACCGCGCGCTGATGACGGTGTTACGCTTTTCCTGAAGATCATGGCAGGCGATTGATTGAGGCCTCGCTCGTCAAAAGAGAACTCTCCTTGCGGGGTTGGAGGACCTGCGGGTACGCCCATTGCGTTGGGATTCATTGATAGCCTCTTCATGCGCAGCGCATCCGTTGGGCTGATGGTCCGGGCCCCTAGGCCGCTCACGTGGTGCATTGTGGACTGTCGTCTACTTGAGGACGTTGACGGCGTATGCGTCCGCTGCGCAGGTGTCTTTCCAGGGGTTCGGTTCTGGGTGATTGGGCCCTCCGCCTGGTGCTCGGGCGTCGAGGTAGCTGCACTCAGAAAGCCCTGCTGTTTTGGGGGGGCGTGCATCGACTTCGCTTTCGTAGCCCTAGCGTTACTGCTGACTCTCTGTGCTTCAGTCCTGGCATTCAAGTTCGCCGGCAAGTCGCGTCGTCCCCCTTGACTGAAGGAGGGTGTCCGGCCGATTCGGACTTGCACATTTTCACCGTTTAGCTTGGGGATCTCATTGCGCACATCACGACCGTCCAGGCCCGACGGTACCATGCCAGGGCCGATCGACTTACGCGGGGCTCGTGCGGCAGGGTTTGGGGGAGCTTGGGCGGGTAAGTGGCTTTGGCGACGGCTGCGAACGGAGGCCCCGGCGGGCGGTGGAGGCATCGAACTGGTTCCGCCTGAGGTACCGACTGGGGAAGCGCTATTGTGTGTTCGCGACTGGCTAAAACGGCGCATGAGGGTCGTGCTACGGGCGGGTCGTGTCCCGGTCCCTGTCGAAGGAATGACTACATCAGAAATGGGTTCATCGGAGCCCATGCTGGTCTGAAGGAGAGCTTGTGTGGCAGGTACGGTAGTAGGAAAGAGGCCGATGCCGCCACTTCCCGGCGCTGGGAAGTCGCTCAGAGCGGGCTCGTAGGCGGCGATGCTAGCGTGAAAGTCATCAAAGTTGACCGAGGGCAGGAAGTCGTAGGCGGCGCTGGAGCCAGTCGAGTCGTTGAGATTGTCGTTGTGTTTTCCGAAACTGAAGCGTGGATTTGCGGCTCGCGAAGATTCAGGGAGGACGGTCTCGCTGGTCGAGGTGGGCAGGAAAGAGCGGTTGGCGGCCGATGGGACATGCTGGGAGGCGATGCTCGCATTGGAAGCCACCCTGCAGAGGCCGTTGCGGTCAGTGTCGTGCTATATGGCTTTTGTTCGCCTATTTGTGCAGCACGTACCTTTGTTTCGAAGTGTCGAGCGGCCGTGGTCCGAGAGGGCCTTTGTGTTGATCGCGTACTGAGAGCCGGCGGCCCCTGAAGCCCGACTTGGTGCTGTCATTCTGCGGCGGTCGAGGTGCAGACGTTGTCGAGCTCGTGCTTGCTTTGCGCAAATTGGTGTTGTCGTTGCCGCTGAGCGTCCGGGGGAACTTGCGGCGGGTAGGGCCGTCCATTTCTGCCTGTGTTAGCCAAGGCATCGAGGCTCCTCTCCTACACGGGTCTCGGAGGCGTACCACCAGATGCACTCGAGTCGTTAGCCGCCGAATTGGTGGGCCGTATGGGTAAACTGCTCTCCCCAGTACTCGTCGGGGGGATTCGTGTTGTGTGAGCAGCCATGGTTGCTATGCAACAATGGAAGCGTCCAGCGGTGTCTGCCTTTGTCTAATGACGCCAATCGAGCTGCCAACGCCCTCTGCGGCGCCTCGCTATGTCGTCGATGGAAGTTGGGCGTTCAACAGGTGTTCTCCAAGCTCGAGGCTTGGAGTGAAGACTAGGAGGACGTGGGCATGTCGTTGATGCCGAGCTTCGAGGGGGATGGGTGGTGGATGGAGAAGCTCACGCTGACAGCGCCGCGAGGGTCACGATGGGCGCATCAAGCCAACGGAGCGTGCGAAAAGAGCGTCGGAAGTAGTATGTATGTAGCCCTGGCCGTTGCGAGGGGAATTCAGGGCCCGGCGGCGGAAGTGGTCGTGGAGGAGGTCGACCGAGTTGGGGACTTGGGGTCAAGGGCTGCCGCCAATAATCGCACTGTCTCGCATGCCTAGACCCGCTTTCAGGGTTCGACGGTTCGCCAGTATTTACTATGGTTGCTGCCATATGTTTTGTAAAATGTGGGTCTCGTGGCTGTGCCGATGCTACCAATCAGAGCCCAGACGTAAAGAAAATGGGCCAACCAGCAGTCGCCCGTCTGCTGACGTGTGTTGCGGGCATTTACAAAATATATGGCTTCAACCACAGTATTTATTTACCACACCAAACGACTTATTTAACCCGTTCAGACAGGTCCACCGTCCGCGAACCAGCGGCCCAGCAACGCAGCCGATGGCAGATAAGTAGATTGAGACTGCGTGCGCGAGTCTACGCATGCAAAGCGAACTGGGCTTGTATTCGACATAACTCCACCTCGATGCGGGCCGTCGCGGGCACAGAGTCTTGCAGGTTGCACTGCGCGCACGGCTAGTGGGAGGGCATGCAACAGGAGCGTACGAGGTGGAGAAGTGGTCTGTTCATTCCTCTCATAGTCTACTCCGTACTGTACTGTATGTACTACTTGACTAGCAACTTGCGCAAGGCAGCGGAAACAGACCCATTGCTGGCTGCGTCGAGCCGTAGACACTGAAGAGGCGACAGAGATGAACGATCCGCAATTGTCTTCGTTTCGAAAAATGCAGTCCTTTGGAAAGCCAATGACTCCGCGGTCATCAGTACTGAGTAAACACTGCAGTCTTGTGTTTGGATTTCCCAACTCAGGGGTCGGCATCTGTGCCTGTCAATCCATCCCAAAGCCGACGTGCCAAGACCAGCGCCACACGGTGGCTTGTACCATCACATGCGTCATCTCCTCCACCCTCAGCACCACCAGCTTGTTTCCCCACAAACTCAACCTCATTCTTCTTTCCCAACGTGTATCGTGACATAGCACGTTTCTGCAACACTCCCAGCAAGGCTTCCGGCAGATCCCAGACCAAAATCAGCCATGTGGACCCGGCCGAGATACCACGCGTGAACTCGGAATCCCACCGTCTGAAAGCGGCTGTGGCTGTGCGGCCTACTAGTACTCCAACACAGTATAATCTCTACCACGCTGTTGAGTTGACGTCAATACCATCTCGCCATGAGCAAGCAGGAAGCAAAACACCTCGCCAATCGGGACGAGCCCATTCCAGTCGTCACTGTCTCGTCGGAGGTAGGCCAGTCTGCCCCGGCAACACCCAGGAAGCACTATGCATCCGAGCATCATCTCAGTCCCAACAAGCTTAAAAGCAAGCTTGGATCACTAGGTGATATTGCTGGGCTGGAGTCACCGAGTAGAGTATCGGACAAGCTCTTCACCATGTATGCCGCCCGGAGACAGCGTCTCTTTATCCCATGGCCCCTTCTGACCCTTCACAGGCTCCTCTCCCAAGTCCTTCCCCCTGAAGACTACTCCCTAGATGGGCAACCCTCCCCATCCATCAAAGACGGGCGCTCACGCACCTACGTTGAGCGTCCCGCCTTCAGCCTCCCTGTCATGTCCTCCAACTTCCGCCGATTCAATGCCCGTATAGGCGTAGCCTTCATCTTTCAAAACCAACTCATCCGTCTCTTCACATGGGCCGTTCCCACTCAAACCCTCTCCTTCCTCGCAGTGTACACCTTCATCTGTCTCGACCCTCCTCTCGCCCTCATCCTGCCCCTAGCTGGTATCCTCTTCTTCATCATGGTCCCCGCCTTCCTAACCCGTCACCCCCCAGCACCCACATCCCTCCCAACAGACCTTTACCCACTCTCTGGGCCTCCCCTGGCCGCCGCGCAAACCATCCGGCCCACCCCCGAGCTGAGCAAAGATTTCTTCCGCAATATGCGCGACCTGCAAAACTGCATGGAAGACTTCTCCCGCGCCCACGACGCCGTCATCGCCTTCGCCACGCCCCTCACCAACTTTTCCAACGAAGCTCTATCCTCGACCATCTACATGATACTCCTGGTAACCTCCTGCACGCTTTTCATCTCTGCACACCTCCTCCCTTGGCGCTATATCTTCCTCCTTCTCGGCTATGTTGTAACCCTCATCGGCCACCCCACAATCCAAGACCTCCTTTCCTCGCCACCGGCTTCAGACTACCTCTCCGACATGCAATACCGCGTCCGTGCCTCCCTCCTCACTCTAAGCAAGTCGGACATCCAACTCGCCTCTACCTCTTCCGACCCTGGCTTCGAAACCCGCGAAGTCGAAATCTTTGAGCTGCAACATCGTCCCTTGCACGACATACACGGCGTCTATGAGCCGTATCTGTTCAGCCCGAGCCCGTATGCGCCGCTGAGTCCGGCGCGAGTGGCGGGCGATAGACCCAGGGGTGCACCGTTTTTCGAAGATGTGCTGCCACCTAGAGGTTGGAGGTGGAGAGATAAAAAGTGGACGCTGGACTTGATGAGTAAGGAGTGGGTGGAGGAGCGGTGTGTAACGGGGGTGGAGGTGGAGGTGGAAGGGGAGAGGTGGGTTACTGATTTGTTTTATGAAGAAGGAGGAGAGGGGGGAGATCAACGATGGAGTGGAGGTAAGGGGACAGAGACTGGCAGGAGGGACCCAGCGGGCAAAGAGGGGCAGGAAAGGCAAAGAGAAGTGTTGGTGAGCCCCTGGGAGCGGCCGAACAGGGAGGCCAGGAAGGGGGAGTGGAGACGGAGGAGATGGGTTAGAATGGTTGAGAGGATGCCGGTGCTGGAGAATGATGCATGATGTGAGGTGCATAGGATGTACCATACTATTCAGCTTGCTATCGCCTACGACCGACTGTTGTCCAAGGCCGCTCTTGCAATGTGCAAGTTGCCAGCTTTTACTTCTTCTTGCGCTTGTCATAACCAAGCGTAGTAAAACCGTCAATTCGACTTTGTCTCGCGCACTCCAAAAGGCACATGTACCCGATATGGTACATATGTACTTACCCGAAATAGCTTTTGTATTACTGTGGTACACGCGGCACGGCGCACGGACCAGCGAACTTCAGTTCAGTGACGTCGCCTCTGAGGCTTGGAGCAACGTTCGTAATTCATGAGGTGGGCAGTACTTCGGCGTGCTTGCCCAACTCCACCATCGGTTCTCTTTCACCCTAGTTGACTCAATTATACTGGAGGCGCTCTTGTGTCCCTTTGCATTCCGTCCTGAAACATACTCTACTTAGAATACCTACCTACTAGCTTGATAGGAGGACTCCTCCTGCTTGCCTCTATCGCCTCATACTTCCCTTTGTAATCTCGTAACCTCCTTGATAGCTCCGAGCAGCGACGACCAGTTCGCAATGTCGTCCAGAGGATACCAGCAATATGAGGGTAACCCTTACGGCCAAGCCGAAGCGGGCTACGGACAGAGCAATCCATATGGCGGAGAGGCTCTGAATGCGCCGAGTGGTTACGGAGCTTCGAATCCGTACGGCGGTGGCCCAGATATCCATGGCGAGCAGTCCTCAAACCCATACGGCGGATCCGTATGACGTCTTCTTCTAGTCCTGAAGCTAGGATCTGATCTTGAATCCAGTACACTGAAACATTGCAACCGCCTCCCCCCCTCACCAACCAGCAGACCAACTACTCGCAGTCGTCCCAGTATTCCGCGCCCCAGGAACCTATGCAAACCGCGCCTCCTACGAATCTCACCGGCGCACCTCTTCCCCTACAAGACTTCCTCGGCCGCATCGATGGCGTCAAGCGCCGCATAGGGCACCTCAGCTCCAGCATCCAGGAGATCGCAAGTGTCCACCAGAGACTATTGTCATCAACGGATGCACAAGCGTCTAGCCAACTTGAAGCTCTTATAACAGACACCCAAGTGCGCAACACGCAGATCAAAGACGAGATCAAGTTCCTGGAGCGCGATGCTGCACGGGATCCGTCGAATAGCTCGAAGCGATCGCAGATTGAGGCCGTGAAGCGCTCCTTCAAGAGCCAGCTAGACGACTTCTACGCGGAAGAATCGAGCTATTCGAAGCGCTACCGTGAGGCGATTGCGAGGCAGTACCGCATCGTGAACCCTGAAGCAACGGAGGAGGAAGTCCAGGAGGCGGCGAATGCTGACTGGGGCGAGGAAGGCATCTTCACGCAAGCTGTACGTTATATATGAGGCAGTGAATTGGGAATCCCATCTAACGACATCAACAGCTCAAGACCAACCGCACAGGGCAAGCCGCCAGCGTCCTCGGCGCCGTCCGCGCCCGCCACAACGACATCCAGCGCATCGAGAAGACGATGGCGGAGCTGTCCCTCCTCTTCCAACAACTCGACGAACAAGTCGTCTACCAGCAGACGGCCGTCGACCAAACCGAGGAAATGACGCATCAAGTCGTCGACGACAACAAGGCGGCGCATGAGCAGCTCGATCGCGGGATCCAGCACGCAAGACGCGCGCGCAAGCTCAAGTGGTGGATGCTGATCATCGTCGTGTTGATTATTTGTATCTTGGCGCTGGTTTTGGGACTGGTGTTTGGGTTGAAGAATAATGGGTAGCAGTAAGAGGAGCAATGATACTGGTCAGTAAAAAATGGCGAGAGACACTAGGAGATGATGGAAGTGATATGTGTGTATACGATCGTGGGATGCAAAGGTTGGGTATGCATGGCTAATATGCACTGTGTACGGGGAGAGGATAATCGGGATGTGGACATGAATGTAATTGGACATGAGGTATTCTATAGATAGGTGGGTGCCACGATCACGACACTCTCTCATAATAATAGTTTGCTTCTATTTTCTTTCTGCCTTGGACCTGGATCAACGGTAACTCATCTTCCAGTATCAAGTCGACCCACCAACAAAGTCAAACACCGCGTCGAGCACGCAAGTCTGATCATTACAGAGTAGCCTTAATTTCTCAATCAACTCGTCCAATGCTAATTAAGGCAGTACAATTTGCAAGTCAGCCCACAAATCATATTGTTAGATCACCCCTACCCCACATAACCACTCCCTCCAAAACAAGACGCACGCCAAACTACCACTAAATCTAACCCGATCACCTGTCCATCGCCTCCACACCTGCTCCACCGACGCGTATACACACGCTGAAGTTACTTTTCCTTGTGATTCTTGGCGGACCGCGTTTGCACTTTGCGTCCACTGTGGAACTGGTATGCGTGGTGTGGACCAATCAGAGAAGGGAAGGGTGGATGAAGTAATGTCGATGGGGTAGTGCAATGGTGGTGCAAGGAAAAGAGTTTGTTGAGAGGCAGGAGGGGGGAGTCTTGGAAAGAGATGTAAGGACCTGTTTTCGAGGTTGCCTTTTCAAAGGTGATATCGTCTTCTTTCGCTGCTTCTGGCAGCAGTTCTACCCTACTACTTCACTTTCGCTTTCCCCTCCACCTCTTGTATTTACTCCTTCGTTCTTTCCATACTGGTGACGAAGCGGTCGTCATTGCTCTACACAGAGCATTCCTTGTTTACCCACTCCGCTTACTGCTTGCTCCATTCACTCGCTTTTCCCTGAAAACCTGAGTGCTTCCCAGGAGAGAAAGTCTCGTGTCCATTGATTCTCCGGACGACTAGATCCTTTATCAAGACCATTTCGTCATACGTTATCACTTCTCCTCGCATCTGATTCTCTCATCACTGTGGAAATGAAGGGCGTTGCGGCTTTCGCTGCCGGTCTGGCGGGGCTGTTTGCTGCGGTGGAGGCTTCACCTGCGGCTCCACAAGGCAAGCGTACGGGTGGAATCACGCCGGTAACAGTTAAGGGGAATGGTGAGTTGGAGAGGGGAATGCGGGATTTGGAGTGATGACTGATGGGAATAGCGTTCTTTGCGGGGGATCAGAGGTTCTATATTCGGGGTGTGGATTACCAGCCTGGTGAGTAATTCGGCCTACCTTTCCGCTCCAGATAGGAGAATTGAGTGAACTGACAAAATCAGGCGGAGCATCCGATGCTAAGGACCCGATTGCCGACGTCGAAGGCTGCAAGCGCGACGTCGAGAAGTTCAAGGAGCTGGGCCTCAACACTATCCGCGTGTACACGGTCGACAACACGGCCAACCACGACGAGTGCATGAAGGCTCTCGCCGACGCGGGCATCTACGTTGCTCTGGACCTCAACACGCCGCTGTATTCGCTCAACCGCGCCAATCCTCAAAAGTCGTACAACAAGGTGTATCTGCAGAGCCTCTTTGCTACCGTCGACGTTTTCCAGAAGTACGACAACACTCTGCTGTTCTTCTCGGGGAACGAGGTCATTAATGATGATGCCACCACCTCGTGTGCTCCCTATGTGAAGGCGGTAACCAGGGATGTCAAGTCGTATATCAATAGCCGGGGCTATCGGAAGATTCCCGTCGGATACTCTGCAGCGGACGTGGACTCGAATCGCTTCGAGATGGCGCAGTACATGAACTGCGGGCCGGATTCGGTGCGCAGCGACTTCTTTGCTTTTAATGATTATTCGTGGTGCGATCCGAGTTCATTTGAGGTGTCGGGCTGGGACCAGAAGGTCGAGAAGTACAAGGATTATGGGATCCCTCTTTTGTAAGTCCTGCACTTGTCGATATGATGACCTACACTGACGGTTCCTAGCTTGTCTGAGTACGGCTGCAATACCAACAAGCGCCAGTTTGGCGAAATCGCCTCCCTTTACAGCGAAGCCATGACGCCTGTCTACTCGGGCGGCCTCGTCTACGAATACTCCGAAGAAGGTAGCAGATACGGGCTCGTCGATATCGACGGTGGCAGTGTCAAGGAGCTCGCCGATTTCTCGGCCCTGAAAGCGGCCTTCGCGAATACCACGAGCCCCAAGGGAGATGGCGGTTACAAGCCCCAAGGAGGAACGTCCCCATGCCCGAAGAAATCGGAGAGATGGGAAGTCGATCTTGCAGATGATGAGCTGCCGAAGCTGCCGAAGGGGGCGGAGCCGCTTTTCAAGGGGGGAGCCGGGAAGGGTCCTGGTCTTGAGGGGGCGGGAAGTCAGGAGGCGGGTAGCAGTGACCAGAACATTGGGCCTGCGGGAGACGGGACGGTGACGGATAATAACGGTGGTAAGAGTGGTGAAAAGAAGGGTGATGCGTCGTCTGTCAGAGTGGGCGTGTTGACGGTGTTGGCTGTGGCGGTGTCGGCAATGCTGCTCTTTGAGTGAGGGAGGGTGATGGATCTTATTCTTTTCGATGGATCTGGATAGAAGGACTGTCTGGTGGGTAGGCCCGTCTTTGACGGGATATTTTCTTCTGTATTAGTATCGAGGGTGCATGGGGCGTTATGTTCAGAGGCGTTCATGGGTTATCATTGGTCCCAACAGCGCTCAGATGAGTGCCAAATGGTAATATAGAGGCACAATAGACATCGTTTTCAAGGACCTCTTATTCATTTGATGGGTGGAGATATGCTCAGGGGCCAACGTTCACTCATGGTTCTTAGGGCGGGGCTTACTCATCATCTGAACCCTCCTTATCGATAAGCTCGAGAATGCGACTTCAAGATTCTACTTTGCGACCCCGCGGTTTGCGCCTACAGCTACTACAGCTCTCTCCTTAATACCCTCGTCCCACTCTTCTTTTACTTAATTGCACGCAGTATGCCGCGCGATCCCTTGATTGGTCTCGTAGGCAAACCCTCATCGGGGAAGTCGACCACGCTGAATAGGTGCGTCTTGAACTATCCCGCTAGTTTTTGTAGCTATTCCATGGGGTTGAATGGGTTCTAAGATGGCATTTGCTGTTTAGTTTGACGGATGCCACGTCCAAAGTCGGTCCGTGAGAAACCGCAATCGTCGATGTATATCTGAAATAGAAGGATCTGACATTCAATCGTAGGCAATTTCCCGTAAGCCACCACACTCTCTCCCCTCCTCCGAGCTCCCCACGCACCGAGACAACAATCTCCAATCTCTGACACTGCGCGATGCATGAAGCTTCACGACCATCGACCCGCAACGCGCCATCGGCTACCTCCAGATCTCGTGCGCGTGCGCGCGGCACAACCTCACGGAGCGGTGCAAACCGAATTACGGCTCGTGCGTCGATGGGCGGAGGAGCGTGCCGATCGAGTTGCTGGATGTGGCGGGGTTGGTGCCTGGGGCGCATATGGGGAAGGGGTTGGGGAATCGGTTCCTGGATGATTTGAGGCATGCGGATGCGTTGGTGCATGTGGTGGATGTTAGTGGGACGACGGATGCGGAGGGTATGTGATTTTCCGAGCGTGGAAATGAGAGGGGGAGGGGAGAGTAGATGGCGGAGGGGAGGCAATGGGGAGGGGGGATTGGGAATAGGACGAGAGCTAACGGGCATAGGCAAGGCGACGAGAGGGTATGATCCGAGTCAGGATATCGTGTGGTTGAGGTCCGAGATTGTGAGATGGATACAGGGGAATCTCATGGAGAAGTGGTATGTCTTCTCTTCCCTCCTTCCTGCTTTCATCCACCGCAGTACCTAGTCTCTAATTCCTCTCCAGGGGCTCAATAAAACGCCGGCACGTCGCCGTCAGTACGTCCCCACCACCCTCCCCCTCCACTCCCTTCTCCCACCCACTCACACTGCCCTAGAAGCAACAGCAGTAGAAACCCTGCAAGCGCAATTTTCAGGCTACGGCTCCACCACCGCCACCGTAGCCCGCACCCTGGACCGCCTCGCCCTCAAAGAGCCCCTCCAAGACTGGACCGACGCCACCATCGAGAAGGTCGTCAACGCATTCACCGACGAGAAATTCCCCACCGTCATCGCGCTCAACAAAATCGACCACCCGGACGCCGACAAGAACATCGCCAAGATCGCAAAACTGCACGACCCCAAATCCATCGTCCTCACCTCCGCCATCTCCGAGGTGTTTCTGAGAAAATTGGCGAAACAGGGGTACGTCAAGTACGTCGAGGGCAGCGAGTTTGTCGACACGTACGAGGATTTGGTGGAAGCGGGGGATCCTACGGGCGGAGGTTTGAAACCGCTCGATGAGAAACTCAAGGCGCGCATCGAGAATCTGAAGGATATGGTGCTGTATCGGTTCGGGTCCACGGGGGTTGTGCAGGTGCTGGCGCGCGCGGCCGAGTTGCTGGGTCTCGTGCCCGTGTTTCCTGTCAGGAATATCCACAGTTTTACGAGCGGGAGTGCGAGTTCCACGGCTGTTTTTAGGGATTGCGTGCTTGTTAAGAGGGGCACGACCGTGGGCGAGGTGTATAGGAAGGTTATGGGGGATGCGCCGTTGGCGTATGTGGAGACGGAGGGGGGGAGGAGGGTGGGTGAGGAGGATACGGTTGAGGTTGGGAGGAATGATGTACGTTCGCTCCTTTCTTTTTTTTTCCCCTCTCTTCTTGGCCTTTCGGCTTTTCCGGTAGGATCCAGGCTAATGGGTGGGTAGATTTTGTCGTTTAAGGTGGGCAGGGCTTGATGGAGGGGATATCTTCTTGGTTGCTGCTGTGGGGAAGGCGAATGTGCTGCTGTATCTGAGAACGGGGATACGTGGCTATGGGGAGAAAGGTACAGAGACAAGCGCCTTTCTTCGAGCATCGCAAGAGCAAGGAATCTTCCTGCCGTACTGTGCTAGCAGGCGGGATATCAACATGCTACGAAGGCTGATTACATCGTACCCCTTACTTGGGATGTGTCTCTGGAGTTAAATTTCCTCGACCGGGCCATGCATGCCGCAAACAAGTCAATGTCAACGAGTTCAAAACTGTGAATTCAATTCCTAAAGGCGATCCGTGCCTAACGCTCACGCCCATATCCAGCCATGGCTCTATCCAGGTTTCATGACCCACGAACCAGTGATACCCATCCCATCCCATCCCATCCAGCGGTTTATTAAACAACCATCGCCCACTCGCTGTACGTGAAGTCATTGATTCCTCCTTCCGCCACGCAGCCCTATCCCATCCAGCGGAACCTAACCGAACAGAAACAAAAACAGTAGAAATGGAAACCAGCGCAAGAACCGGGTATCTAGACGTGGGGACGTTCAAAAACGGGGCAGATATCGTTCATGATCAAAGGTCGCTCCCACCAACCGAACCGAACCGATAAACGCCCGTGGATGCAAGGTGTGTTGTCGTTCGTCGTGTACCCAACAGAGAGAGGAGAGAAAATGGGGAGAGCGTCTGAGGAAGGAAAAGAACACAGCCTAGAAGAAATGGAACAAGGGGAAAAGAAATGGAAATGAAGCCCAACACGCAGGCCAGCGCGCGTGCAGATAGTGTAGTCACCCAGCCCGCTTCCTCGCCACGTTGAGTGGCGATTGACCAGGCATAACATATTCAGTGGATGGATGGCTTTCAAACGAGCTCCATCCTCGCGCCGAAGAAATTCTCACTCATGCGCCGCGCGGCGCTCTTCTCCCTCTGCCGAATGGACCCGACATCGCTCTCGTCGTCGCTGTCGCAATAATCCGCATCCAGGCTCGTCTCCCTCTCCCGCAAGTCCACCACATCGTCCGCATCCACCACATCTTCCGGATGATCAATCACCATATTATCCAGCTCGTCGCTCTCGCCGTAATACTGCAGACCGCGCCGAGCGCGATGGCCGAGCCAGTACTCTGTGCGCTTCCTACTAGCGGCATTGGGACTGGACTCGTACTGCGACTGCTTGAAGCGCGTCATGAGGGAGACGGCGGGAGCGGGACTACTCGAGAGGGCGCTTATCCCTCGCAGGTAGAAGTAGCAGACGCGCTTGCGCTCCTTGTTGAAGAGGAAGTGGTGGTGCGTCCAGATGGCGCCGTCGTCGGCGAACGGGTCGTCCGTCGGCTCCCACGCGTAGAATTCGCAGTTCTTCAGGTCGATTTCGCTGTCCAGCAGCTGCCAGGAGCGCGGGTTCCAGACGGGTGAGCCGAGCGGCGTGATGGTGCCCGGTGAGAGGTTTTGGGTGTAGAATTGCGGGCGCAGGTTGCGCATGGCCGTGTCGATGGTGCGCATGAACTCGTGCATGGTTTCGCGGCGGAACTCGTCCGTGTTGAGCGTGTTGGCGAAGTCGTAGTCGACGTGCGTCGCGTTGAGGGTGGCGATGAAGTAGGCGAATTTGTGTCGGTTGCATGGCTCCTTGAAGCTGCCAAAGGGCGTGTTCCGGTCGAGGTTCATCTCGGCGGCGAGTTGTGGGGACATGGACATGCCTTTCACGGCATCTTCCAGCTCCTTGTACCTCTCTTCTAGGGTGGTCTCGATGCGCTTGTACAGCTTCTTGTCGCTACCGGCGGCCTTGATGGTGTAGAGGTCGCAGCCGCCGAGGACGGCGGTGTCGTCGGTGTCGAAATTGAGGGCTTGATTCACCTCGTGGAGCGTGCAGAGATCTAGGTACTGAATATGACGTTAGCCGCGGGTATAGCGTAGGCCCAGGGGTGAACCAAGGTACCTTCATGGTGCCGCTGTGGAGCTATTGTTGTCGCGATAACGAATATTGATGTGATTGCGAAGCTCTAATGCTGATATGGGCCGTTCCCAGGTGGATTCCAGGGTACGCGACACTGGCGGAATCGGATATGCTTTGTTTCGGGCAGGGAAGGCGTGCGCGAACCAGGGCAACTCGTAGATACTGCTCAAGGCTGGCTGCGGAGAGCTGTGAATGCAAGTTGCTCGGCCAGACGGACGTCTAGCAGGCAGATGGCATATATGAAATGAGAACGGTAAGCGATAACGGTCCGGGGAGGGTGTGGTGGAGTGATGATGGGCGTTGCGACAGTCGGACTTGGTGGTGAGCTGGGCCTTGGCAGGTGTGATGCGTTTGTTGCCCTTGATTGGCCAGTCGCTGGAATGCGATTCGACCAGCGATATCGTTGAAAGCGGGCAGATGGGCAGCGTGCGACTCGTCAATTGGCTTTTGGGGTTGGAGAACCGTCGAGAGTTTGCGTTATGATTGCGCTGAGGTTGTTAGTGCGTCAGTCCCCCTCTTGTGCACCTCCCTCCCATTGGAGTTGGGATGGTATAATATCGGTCGTCAGACTTGCGATTGCGGGTTACGTAACGGCGAGATGAGCTGAGTCTTGCCTGTGCGTTAGAAACGACATCAAAAAGCTAGGCATGTTCACTCAAAGGAAAGAATCAAAGGCACAAGTCTCGATGCATGACACAATCATCACGTTCGAGCCTCTCAAGTCCTCATGAGCCAAACCTAGCTGATGCCGGAAGAAAACCCAGCCGTCGCGGTTTGTATTGAGATTGAGTAAGAGTACAGCCATCGCTACTTGCTCAACAAGGCAGAGTAGCAGGTGGTGCATTTCTCCATGTCTCCATCCGTCGTCTCCGTCGTCTTCCCTGACGTTGCCCAACCGATGCCCTGGCCCTGATCCGTCTGTTGGACCTGAACAGCCCGCATCATCATCCCCGACTGTTCGATAGAGGGGTATACCGCTGTCAGATTTGCGCTCCACAACGCCATCCAGTGTGCATAGCACATGGGTTTTGATGCTGCCAAATGTCGTAGTGTGAACATGGTTCATCACATAAATCCGCTTTCTCGAAGCAAGTTGTCGAATTGTTCGGCTTCCTAGGCAGAAGAGAAGAGGCGCACGATTAGCAATGAGCCGGAAACAACGTAACATCGATGGAGGGCCCCTGAGCCTCGGAGAGCCACTGTGCGCTGCAGCTGCGTCTGGACGAGCATCTACATGATCTTTGTGACAATGTCGTCCTCGGCCTGGCCAGCATAAGGTGCGTCAGCGATGCTGAGCTCATGGCGGGACGGTGCTGGGTAATACTCGGCATGGTGGGCAGACAGTCAGACACTCACCTCCATGTCTTCCAGACTGTCCTGCTGGCCTATGCACCTCAAGACATTCTTCTTGCTACTCTCCTGGAGCTCCCCGGCAAGCAAAAGTTCGTCGAGGATGAAGTAGGCCTTTTGGAAGTTGAAGATGATGTCCAGCTCGCACACGTTGCCGTAGTACTTGTCCATCTGTTCTACATAGCGGTGCACAATCTCGAGGGTGATGAGCTCGTTATCCGTAGCATCGCAGCCGGCGATGAAGAAAAGGGAAGCATAGCGACGGTATACGACTTTGGTATCTGGCAATCTTTGTTGGTCTTATGCTGCGAAACGGGGGAACACACTGACCCTTGTACTCTAAGAAATTGCACATGCGAGTGCGGCGAGCGAGGACGAGCTGCGACACATCCTTCACGATCTTGGCTTTGTCTTTCGGCGCGAGGGTGGTGAACCACTTCGCCAGGCGCTGCGGTGAAGGTTGAGATTAGGTTACGGAGGCAGGGGAGGCGCAGAGACGTACCACCTTGCCCTGCCGTGAGAGCAGGATCAAATATCTGAGAATTTGTTAGCTGCTGTAAGTAGCAAGGTAGTGGTTGTGCTCACTTGATGGCCATGGTTGGGTTGGTGAGGAGGAGAATCGGAGGTCAACATGTGGTTGACGCCAAAATCGGTCGATCGGCACCAGCCCCGCGCTCGGACTTCATTCACAGGGCTCACGCACCCCGCCGAGCATCTCTGTACCCTCACCTACACAAACAAACACTTGCATAATAGGGCCAAGAGTTCCTTGCAATAACGTCGGTGGGGATTGTATTGGCGACTGTTCTAAAGCTCTAATCTTTCGTTCTCTGCCTTCTCGGGACTTACCAGTTGACCTACCTCAAGTCGAGAAGCAACATCCTCCATCAATCCCTACGACCAGAGAAGGGAGAAGAAACACTCCCCTAACTTCTTTTTTTCAAGGAGAACAAACTGCCAAAGTTCCGCTGAGAGGCCTCTCCGAGGCCCCCAACCGCCATCATGAAGCTCATCCTTTCCACCTCGTACGCGCCATCCCTCCATCCAACCCATCAACCTCTCTAACCACTCACACACAGCAATATCATGACCAACACGACCGTAATCCGACGCCCCACCTTTGAGAAATCCAACACGGAGCTCGTCGCCTCCCTCCGCGCCAACTTCGCCGCCCACCAATCCTCCGCCTCGCGCTCCCAATCCCCCTCCCCCCGAACCTCCTCCCCGTCCCCCATCTCCACCATCCCGTCCTTCCGCACATGGACAACGCAGCAAGACCAGACGCTCTACATCCCCACGCATAACCCCTCGCCCCTATCCGAACCCAGAGACGCATATGACATCACCGTCAAACTCTTCTACCTCCCCAACATCCCGGCTTATAAACGCTGTCTCCAGACACGCGAAGCCATCGACCTCGTCCTCCGCGAACTCGGCACCACATCCATAGACCTCCTCATCGTCTCCTTCCCGGGCATCTCTTTCGACGCCGACGACGAGGACTCCTCCGACTCGGACCTCGAAGCAGACATCGATGTTGTTTCCCCGAAAGAACCCACGCCCGACAGCACGACTATCACTACCTCCTCCTCCTCCTCCTCCTCTTCTACGCCAGCAACCGGATCCGACGACCAGGAATCACCCCCAGAAGACATCCCCACCATGCTGCAAACCTGGCACACCCTCGAAACCCTGCACGCCTCGGGCCTCGTATCCAAACTCGGCATCGCCGAATTCGGATGCCAGCGACTCGCAAAGTTCCTCCCGCATACCCGCGTCCGGCCCAGCGTCAATCAGATCAACGTCCGAGACTGCTGCGTCGTTCCGAAGCCGCTGATCCTGTTCGCCAAGAAGGAGGGCATCGAGTTGTTGACGCATAATGACTGTACGAATGTCCTGCCTAGGGGAACGCTGAGGGAGTTGTTGGGCCCCGGGGGTGAGGGGAGGGAGAAGGGTGCCGGGGTGTTGGCGGGACACGGGTTCGAGGGTGGGTTGAAGGGGGATGTGGAGCCCCAGTTTGTGGTCAAGTATACGGCTGTGGTCAAGGATAGGGGCGTCGTGGAGAGTAAGGGGTATTTTGCGGTAGCGGAGTTGAGGGAGGAGGTTTGAATGGTTGGATATTGTGGATGAAGCGGGATTTACTTTCTTGTTGATAGGATTCGTGTCGTGAGCATTTTGGTCATTTTGGTCATTTTGGTCATGTTAATATGATGTTATGCATTTCCGTGGGGGGTTCTTGAAAGCAGCAGAGCGAGCCTCGCATTTGAAGACGTCATATACACCACGGGTGGCTGATGAATCTATAAAAACCCTCCGTAACGAGCGTCTGGACATCAGCGATATTGCCTCTAGCTCAACACCATTACAAACGGTCTGATTTCAAAATGCCCCAAGACTGCTTGTAAAAATGCTAGATTATTTAAGAATTAAAATTGACCACCTCCCCACTCGCAAAATGACCGTCAAGTGGACAAGTCCACTATGTATCCCATGCCATACTATACCATTACATCAAGGAGGGACCCGCCAAGCAATTTTTTTTTCGATTTTAAGGGACGGAATCATGAGATTCAAATGAATGTACTCGTTCAAAATTCCACAGTCTTGTAAATCCCTCACTAATCGCACCTCCCAAACCCATCCGAATTACAAATACAAGGGATACCACCATCAGCACCTACAGCTCAAACCTTCCCCTCCTCCTTCTCCTCCTCCCCATCACCCTCTCCATCAACCCACCCCATCGCCTCCTCCAACTGCTGCGGCACATCCAGAAAGCTATCCGAATGCCTTGTCGTCACCTGCGGCGCAACAACCACGTCCCCAGCAGCGGTCGGGATCGCGGGGGAGATGACGGACCAGTCTGAGCCGGCGCCAGAGGAGAGCGAGACGGACGAGAGGGACGCTGCATCGTTGTCGGAGGAGGAGGGGGAGGGGTCTTGGGCTATGGGGGTGGGAGGGGAGACGACGATGTCGACGCCAAAGGGTGCGTCTTGTGTAGCGGAGACATTCTGGTCCGCGCCGGAAGTACTTTGATCGTAGACGGAGGGGGCCAAGGGTGCTGTGGTTGACGGTGTGACGCAGAGGAAGTGCTGGGTGTGTGGGAATGCGGTGGTTTGGGTTTCATCGGCTTGTTTCTTCGTGAGGTCGCTTGCCTTGAGGACGGAGGCCACCGGAGTGGATTCAGCAGTCGGTTTGGGCTTAATATCCTCAGCCTCGTGCGTCTCCGTGAGGTCGATGTCCTCGAGGGCAGAAGCCAAGGGGGCCGACTCAGGGTTGGATTGAAGGTCAGCGGTGGCTTTGGGCTCAACGTCGACTTCGGCTTCAGCAATCACGTCAGGCTCTGCATTCACTTTAAGTTCAGTGCTGGCGTCTGGTTCAGATACGGGTTCAGCCTCAGTATCGGATCTGGACTCGGCGGCGGCTCCAACGTCTTCAGACTCAGCAGTAACTTCCGGTTCAGCGTTAACTTCGGAGTCACCGGCGGTAACAGACCCGTTAGAAGCTTCCCGCTCAGCGCTGCCTTCAGGATTGGTGATGACTCCATCCACAGAAGCGGATTCAGGCTTCGTGGTAGATTTAGCAACGTTTACGGCTGCGCCGGAATTGACTCGGGCAGCATCGGACGGATTCTCAGACTCAGGCCGTACGACTCTGCGGACTTCATACTTGATGGTTACAGGACTGTTGTTGCTCGCCGACTGAGTCCCCTCCGCCTCCTCGTCCGACGTTTCGTCGACTTCCGTGATGGTTATTTCGGCGTAGGATTCCGGGTCGACGTTGGCTCCCAGGAGATTGCATGCGCTCGCGTTGGTACTACGTTCGACATACATAGACCAATATCCGTTTAGCGTGTTCGCATCTGGGAGATGGCGGGTCGTGCGTGATGAAGATCCGTTATTGATATTAGCCCCTTGATGTGTATCTTGTACATTCCCGTGCTCGTGCACAGTTCCCTCAGAATTCGTGCTAGTTGACTTGTCATGGTATTGAGGTTCTACCTCACGACTATCGACTGCGCCCACATTGGTAGTAGCCGGAACAGAAGTAGTGGTGAGTGGACCAGGCATCTGGAGGAGGTCGCCATTCTTGTCTGAGGACAATCCATCATCCTTACGTCGCTGCTCATGTGTGTTCTTATTGGTTTCTGAGGCCGCGTGGGCGCCTGCGGGTTTTGTTTCGCCGATGGTCGTGGGTGGCAGCTCATTGTGGGCCACCTCTCCAGGGAACGCGTGTCCAGATGCACTTGTAGTTTTGATAGACTCGGCGGGCTGCGATTCAGTGTTGGGTCCAGACGACATCCCAGGGGTGTCCTTGGCCTCGTGAGATTCTGGATTAGACGATGGCGTTTCCATGAGCACTGTAGCCTTTTCGGAAGGGTGGTCGAAACTTGCGGAAGGCTGCGGATCATCTTTGGCTCCAGAGGAGAGTTTGATGTCGTCTGTTCTAGCTCTGCTCTTCCGGGTAAGGTCCTTTTTCATACGTTCCCTCAAGGCCACGTCCATATCTCGCAGCTTAGCGGCGATGACACCAGCCGCCAGGTTCCATTCTCGAACCTTAGCAGTGAAGGTGTCTTGGATATCCTCCTGCAGTCTTGAATCATGTGCTCGAGACCGCTCTGGCAAAACGTCGTCTGCACTGCCCCTCATGCGCATGTTATGCAGAGTAGCTGCAATATCGTCTTGCAGCGTCGTCGTCGGAGATATGCGCTTTAGCTCGACCGGCGTATCCGGAGACTCAGCAGGAGGGATATCAAAATCCGGCGAGGCTGTGAGCTCCCATAATGATGCTACCAATAACGAGAGACCGGAACGCAATGGGTCGAATGGTAAAGCCCAGAGCCCCAACAGAGTATACCCGAATACAAGCCCCATTGATGGAACCCACTCGTACTCTGATAGCCGAACATCGCAGAGTTTAAGAAGCAGCCCCGCGCACAATGGCATGTGATACAGGGCCAAAATGTGAAAATATCCTATTTCCCAGAGTTTGAGCAGGCACAGCCAATACACGGACATGTTTTCTTTACGCGGGTGGAGTGCCGCCACATAGAGGCATGCCAATTGCGAACACGAGCAGCAAACCGCAAGGTACAAAACGCCACAAACAAAGCCGAGAGTTTCGAGGATCTTCACGAAAAGATCGCCACGTTTCACCGCTCGCTGCGTACGCTCAACTCTGCGTTGTGCTTCCTCCAGCATCTCCTTGGAAGGGGCAATGGTGGTCGCGGTGGATGTGGGAATGCAGACGAGTTTGCATGGCGGGTTCCTTTCACAGTCCACAAAGTGGAAGTGAGATGGTAGAGGAATGGGTCGAACGTTTGGCGATGGGACTGGCTTCTTCGGAGCAGAAGGCACTGACTGGGGCAAATCTTCGGGAGGAACAGATCCCCGAACCCAACTCTTCACGAGGCCTAGGAATTTCTGGACGTGATGTTTCACGAAGGCCCTCCTTAAGGCCCATCCCTTGAGACGCTCAATCTCCACGACTTTAGTGACCACCACCTGCGGAGTCCAGAAGAGCCTGTCACAGTTGCTCTGGACCCATTCGACGGTAGAGTTGCACACATCCGGATAGTCCATATAGTAGCGTCCAAGGCGGGCGTGCGCGTAGTTGGCACCACGAAACAGACATTCTTGATGGGTCTCCCCAGGACGGTTGAGCAGTCTTTCCTCGTGAAGCTGTGGCAGAGTCCAGCGTACCCAGGCTTCTTTAGCTGTCTCGTTGAGCAGGGAATCATACTGTATCCAGGCTTGTTCCGCAATACCGGTGCGTGAAGGTTGGAGACCAGATGTGCTGTACTGTATGATTGCCAACGCAACGCTGAGCACACACAGCGACCTGAGAATGGAGACGAAAGGAGTCAGTTCCTGTTCAAACGTGAGAACGGACGAGTACGGTTGATCATCAGACGGCGCTTGGAATGTTGCGGGGATTTCTTGGGCGTCCATGCTCGGATGGCCTGGTGCGGTTGTGGCCTGTCTGTACTGGGTGTAGTTGAGGTCAGTGAGATGGCTCCGGAGGAGGGGTATTTATGATGAGGAGCGACTTGAAGGCCAAAATCACGTGTGGGAGCCAGCACATGCATGTGCCTACGCTCAGGGACGGGATGATCCACTCTTTCTTTCACTCACAGATAGACACCCAATAAGAGGAAGGCGTGTACAAGGAATATTCAGTTGAAGTGGTGAAAGTTGTGGAAGCGAAACGAATACCCACCTCGGGAGCACTTTGGAGGTCGGTGAATTGTGAAGCCGCCGACACCGACGCCGTCAATATACTAGCTGCGATCGATCACAGCCCCGCAAAGGTAGGCAGCAATTGCGGGAACCGATCTCGGGGATGGGGTGAATGCTGAATCGTCATCTTCAAAAAGTCTCACGGCTTCCCTCTCTCAGGTTTTTCCGTCGCCGCATGTGTTCGCTCCTTCCTAAATCTTCGATGTCTGGTATCATCGCTTTGACGTCACCTACATCCGCCTCGATGTCACCTCTCCCAACCACCAACCTCTCCTCCTTCTTAATCACGAGCCCATCAGGAACTTCAGCTTCCAAGACAGCTGTCTCCTTCTTGATCTTCCTTGACGTGCCCACCACAGCGGACGGACACAGCCCTCTCTCAGCCAGTCTACACTCCCCACACTTTCTCCCAACTGGTAGGCAGATTGTCTGCCCAAAGCCCACTAGGAGGTTGTTGATGTCGTGCCAATGAGATTTCGGGAGCCACGTTTCCAGCGCGGCTCTGGTTTCCTCAGGCGTCTTCGTCTTATGCCATTTCCAGAGGTTTGTAATTCGGTGCACGTGCACGTCGACACCAATTCCCTCGACCTTTCCCCAGGCAGCTGCGGCGCAAAGATAAGCCATCTTCGGGCCTACGCCAGGAAGCGAGACAAGACCCTCGATAGTGTCGGGAATGTCCGAGTCCCATTTATCTCGCAGAATCTCCGCCGTCGCCTTGATATATTTCGTTTTAAGATTGTGGAATCCGACCTTGTTAATGAAAGCATTCAACGCGGCAGGCTCGATTGCGAGGACGGACTCGAGGTTGAAGCCCTACTTTAGTTAGTGAATGTAGTCCTTGCGGCAAACGTCATCGACTTACACCTGGCATTCTAGCTTGCATTCCCTTGATCGTTGCGCTTGTGACCGTGTCTTTGGTCTGACTGCTTAGCATCAGGGACACCAAAGTCTGGAAGCGCTGATCGCGGGGACTAGCATTCCTGTCTGCTAGGCTCTCGCAGCCCATCGTGTCCACAGGGGCAACATTCTCATTGCGCATCTCACGAGTGAGCGCATATATTTCTTCCCAATTCGGTGGCGGTTCTACTTTGACGTTTGCGCCAGGCCCAGCTCTGTTCTTCGCAGGCAACCGACGCGCCTTCTTGGGTCTGCTCGTCGCGTTCCTGGGAGACGCACTCTCAGTGATGGTTATCTCTTCCGTCTCAAGCTTCACAGTTGCCTTCACAGGGGTCTCTCCCCTTTTCCTCTTTCTCGTCGTGGTTTCGCCATCCTCCCATTCCGATCCTTCAGGCACCGAGCTGAGTTCCGAGTCTGACCCGTTGTCCCCATTTCCAAGTGCTGCTTCTGGCTTTCCAGCTTCCCCTCTTGTCACATTGCCAGCCTCAGCAGCGTTTAGAGCAAAGTCTCGAATGTTTGCTTTTGCGCCGGCGCGCGTTTGACGTATCCTGCTTGAGGCGCGGCTCCCAGTCAGGGCTGAAGCAATCTTTGCTGCGTCTCGCGACAACCTTGAGGTGCGCATACGGAAGGATTGACAATTGCAACTGAAAAGCCGCCACTGGAGTATTGTTTGAAGGTCTGAGGTTGAGGTGAAGTTACTGAGCTGCGGTCCAATCACACGCAGGCGGAGGCCCGCAAATGACAGGGGTAGGGGGTCTCTTCTGAAGCTTGAGCTAGGGTTTCCACGTCTATTGTACGACGGCGTCATGCTCCGGGCACACACTTTGAGAAGTTCGGACGCAAGAACGTACACCCTCTATCTAAGCAGTTGTCGTGCGGCAGGACACCCTCGGAGAATGGATCGCAATCCACAAGAGTAGCTATTACGGTTACCCCCCAAACCTGGAAGACATAACCCCGCCAACCCGACACTGTCCACTACAACTTCAGTGTTCGATATCTCGGGATCGAGCTTATCAAACCATGGCACCACGCGCAATGGACATCGCATCCTTCGCTACGACCCAACTCACACTTCTAGATGCCGAACTACAAGCCGAGCTGTCAGAAACCAACGCCCTTCTCTCGTCCCATACGCCGACCGCCCTCTCGCGCGCCGGACTAGCAATCCTTAACCTCAACATATCTTCTCTGCGCACCGGTCTAGGAGGCAAGACTGTGGTGGAACTATGCCTGGATCCTGCGGTCGTCACAAAGGGTGAAAAGCCCGATATACCAGAACATGGGATTCGAACTGGGGATATCGTAGGACTGCAAGAACAGCCTGCCGGAGGCGCCAAGAAAACGGAGAAGCGCGATCTGGCGAAGAAGGGCGTGGAAGGCGTGGTCCTTCGAGTGCGGAGGGAGAATATTGAAATCGTTCTTGACAAGGAGGATGCGGAGGTTCCGACCGGTGGGAAGCTGTGGCTGGTCAAGTTGGCAAACGATATCACATATAAGAGGATGAACCAGACTATGGCCAGGCTTCAGAAGTTGCAAGAGCAGGAATATACGCCTTTTATCCGTGTCCTCTTCGGTCAAGGGTCGCCGTCACCGGTTCCATCCGATATCAATGATCCCTCGCACCCATTGCACAAGCTGGAATGGAAGGATCCTACACTGAATGATAGCCAGAAAGAGGCTATTCGGTTTGCCCTGGCTTCCAGGGAAGTTGCTCTGATTCACGGCCCGCCTGGCACGGGAAAAACGCACACTCTCATAGAGCTAATCCTGCAAATGCTGAAGCAGAATCTGCGCCTTCTGGTCTGTGGGCCTTCCAACATATCAGTTGACAATATCGTCGAACGGCTAGCGCCACATAAGGTCCCAATGATACGGTTAGGGCATCCAGCTCGGCTTCTTCCTTCTGTGCTCAATCATTCACTGGACGTCTTGACAAGAACATCAGAGGCCGCAGCTCTCGTGCAGGATATCCGTCAAGAACTGGACGAGAAGCAAGCATCTATCCGCAAGACGCGGAACGCGAAGGAGCGACGTCAGATCTACACTGAAATGAAGGACCTCCGCAGGGAGTACAAGGAGCGAGAGAAAGGCTGTGTCGAAAACTTGGTGAGAGGCAGTAAGGTTGTACTCGCCACACTGCATGGCGCTGGCGGGTATCACCTCAAGGGCCAGGAATTCGACGTTGTCATCGTGGACGAGGCATCTCAGGCCCTGGAGGCGCAGTGCTGGGTTCCCCTGCTATGGGTTAAAGCATCTAAGCTGGTGCTTGCCGGCGATCATCTACAGCTGCCGCCTACGATCAAGTCACTGAACTCCAAGGCAAATAAAGCAGCGAAGAAGGATCCAATAAAGAATAATGACAAGAAAACCAAGGTGCCCAAACCTGATGCTGGTGAGGATAATGCGGAGAACGGTGTAAAGCCGGTGGTGGCAGAGAGCTCTCCAACGTTGGAAACAACGTTATTCGATAGGCTACTGGCCTTACACGGTCCGTCCATCAAACGCATGCTAACAACGCAATACCGCATGCATGAGAAAATCATGCGGTTTCCGTCAGACGAGCTATACGAATCGAAACTCATCGCCGCCGATTCCGTCAAGGATAGGCTGCTCAAGGACCTACCGTATGAGGTTGCGGACACAGAAGATACGCGCGAGCCCCTCGTCTTCTGGGATACGCAGGGCGGTGATTTCCCCGAGAAGACGGAAGATGATGATATTGCTAAGGGCGGCAAGGGGATGAGTCTGGGTGATAGCAAGAGCAATGAAGCAGAGGCTGCGCTGGTTAAGCTGCATGTTGGCCATCTAATCGATGCAGGTGTCAGAGCCGAAGACATTGCAGTCGTGACCCCATATAATGCGCAGGTAGGCAAATGCATCATGCACACCCCTCCATGCCCCTCGAGGCTGCTTAAGCGCACAGTATCATTCAGCAATCTATGCAAAGCACGCCTACTGACATGGCATACCATAGCTCGCCATCCTATCACAGCTCCTCAAGGAGGCCTACCCAGGCATTGAATTGGGGTCCGTCGACGGCTTCCAGGGCCGCGAGAAGGAAGCCGTGATAGTCTCTCTCGTGAGAAGCAATGCGGACCACGAGGTGGGCTTCCTGGGCGAAAAACGAAGGTTGAACGGTAAGAAAAGTCGAAACCAAAGCCCCAACATTTTCTTGCCCCCGCCTGCATGCATGCAGGGTTGAGTGATGAGAAAGCCGAGCTGACGAGTTGCTGAAGTGGCAATGACACGGCCCAAGCGGCACCTCTGTATTATCGGTGATGCTGAGTGCGTTGGCCGGTGAGTGTTCCCTTTGACTGCATTGTCTTGGCTTGGGTCTAAACGTGTTTTCCTTTCGTCGTACAACCCCTATATACAGTTAAAGGGCAACCTGGGGCATGCAGTGCTACAGGTCGAAACTCGCGTCGAGGGGCGCCGTTTGGCTGACCACGCACATTCTCTAGGGGCAGCAAGTTCCTGAAGAACTGGATGGACTTCCTCGAGGAAAATGCCGATTTGCGATACCCCAATCTCGCGGACGTCTACGTGGACGAACAAAAGGCTGGATGAGGGGACTGACGAGGCAACTTGACACAATTACTTCCGTAGATGGTCGCGACAGCGCGGCCACAGGCACCGAGGCCTCGGTCTGGGATTTCGCCCGTTCCGTAGGCTGTAAGGGTACCGTGGATGGGCAATGCTGGTTGCCATTCATATTCATCGCTCTGACAGCGAGGCTTTTGTTGGATGTTGAGTGCCAACGTCGTTTAGACCACTGTACCCGAACGGACCCCGGCTACGCGGCTCGTTGTCATGGCGCGAGTCTCCAGATGAGTGAGGCACCGCCGTGTTGCGAGTTCCTGCATGCAGCGTGACTTGGCTCATTCGCGTGCAGTAGCGGTTCGTGAGCGACAGGAATAGGAAAAGGCTGGATTCAGAAATGAGAAACAATACTCCGTCGTGTGGTGAGGATTGAGAGGGGTTGCTAGTTTGGTTGTCTCCTGTTGGACAGAGAGCATCGAGCGACCCCTTTCAATATAGCTTCCTCAACATACTGCAAATTGTAGACTAGAACCGTAAAAGTCCATTCCAGTATTACCCAGCGACGCAGAGACGGATTGCACGCCTATCGATACCGTCCCGTCGAGGGCGCTACAGCACTTCCGGTGGACGTTCCTCGGCCATTATTCACCCACCACTCTCCATCCTCCACAGCATCCACGACGCCCTCAGAACAGACCCTCTTGCAGCATCTCACGCACCAAAAAAAGGGAGCCCCGCCGCACCGACTCACAAACCACGTTCTTTGCAGGGTCCGGCGTTGCACCAATGCCAGGACCCCTCGCGCTTGTTCGCGGCGAACTTTCAAACTGCTAGTCTAGGTAGCCTGCTCGCGACTCGCAAACTCGCAGTGTTCGCAACACGGGTTGCACCTCTCTTGCGACAGCACAAGGCCCAGGGTCCTCTCAAAGTGGGGTGTGACACTGACGGACGGCAGAGCACCCGCACCATGGTCTTCTGAACCGTGTTCTCGGCGTGCGGTCGCTGTTGGGGACAGCCCGGGGGTCACGGAAACGAGGGCAACGCGGTGAATGTTCCAGCGTCTGGGCGGGGAATGCTATGAGCCACCGAACGACGACGACGAGGAGGATGAATAGGACGCAACGCCCTCTTTACGGTCTTCTTTTGCTGACTGGCTCACGCTTGACGCCCAGCGCCGCAACCGTGGGCATCATTGGGCCTCTTATGCGCGGTGCCAGACGCATGTTCGATATCGCTGGTCCTCTTCTGTCGCGCTCCCACACCCTGCCAGAGTCTGAAACAAGCTCCCCGTCAACCCCGGCCAGCACTCGCTACCCGCTTGAGGCTTGTCAGGACTTGTGGTGGATGGTGGATGGTGGAGAACCCCCAGCATCTCGTGCAGTAGGCCGTGGCGTATCGACCCTTTTTCTAGTTAAACGAGCATGCATGCAAGTCTGCATCGATCCACCACCACGCAACAACGCCGGGTGGTGGCTGGCCTCTTCTTGCGACTCCGAGCTTCCCTGAACGGGCCTTCGTCCCGTCGTCTACCACTTTGTTGGTGCTGCTATTATAATACATAACCCCCTCCTCTCCCGCCGCCCCCGCGTGCCTGACCGTCCTTTGTCTAATCTCCAATTCATACAATGCGTCCTGCTGCGTATGCGTAGCCCCGACCATGCACTCCGCCCCGCCGACCTGACGCCCCTGTTCGCGACTTTTACTTTAAGCCTCTTCTGCTGTCCTTCTCGAACGTTTTGCATTCTTCTTCCTTTGTACCGATTTCAATATCGTCGCTCGTTATACCGTTATATCCCACCTTGTTAAGCCGGCTTTGTTGTTACACACAGTTGCATTGCGCCATAAGGTTGGAACCTTCTTTAGTGGGGCGCATAATCACAGCGGATACTGAGATTAAACCTTCGGATAGCGAACTGCATCTCGGCCTTTGTCAACCCCGCTGGATCTAGATCTACAGGGCCGCTGAGCGGATCTCTGGTCTCCAAGTCCAAATTTCCCCGTCTAATCACCATATTGTTTCGTGGGGAGGAAACCCGAGTATATCAGTTCTTCGTTCGAATTCACCAACCAGTACCCGATTTTCCCCCGCTCATGCTCATCCAGGACGACTTCGTTGGCCCGAAAATGAATGTCGATCGGCATTTGCAGCGATCCAGCTGGAAGGCCGAGGCCATTCGGCGGGGGGAGCTGAAGATCAGCGGGCCGATTCCCATCACGGAGGAGACGCCGCTGAACGAGGAGGAAGAGAGACAGTATGCGGAGAAGGGGCATTTGGATCTGCATACGTCGGCGCAGTCGGTGGACTCGGATATTTTGGGAATTCAGCAGGCCCATACGCCTTCAGTGCAACCGGTCGTGACTGAAAACGTGAGTCCGAATGGAACGGGCGACGAGGGAATCGCGGCAGAGGAGCAGGAACCCGTACATGTGCTTAGACATAAGGTGTCGAGAGATAGTCTCCGAGGCACCGGCGAGTTGCAAGCAAGGAGCTCGACGCAGCCGCTGTCGTACGCCGCCAGCAGCCCTTACGCGCCTCTTCCTCGGAGCTCTACGACAGCGGCCGCGAAGAAGAAAAGAGGAGGCAGTATTCGAAATGTCTTCCGCAAAATGTTTGGACGGCGTGGTCGCGAAGAGCAGCATGAGCCTTCGGAACCGGTGATTCGGCATTCGCACCATCGCAGTGTAAGAACTGCCCAATCCTTCACTTACCAATGCAACCACAGCTGATGATATATGTTTCCAGGAGCCGATAACCATCCACGAGTCCCCGAAAATGACGCGAGAAAACGTCTCCGGAACGACACGTATATCCGACCTCCCCGTCCCCGAACTCGAGCCCATCAATCCGCTGGGCCAACATCTTCCCTTCCCCATGAACGTCAATGCTCCCCAGCAAGCAAGTCCGCCGCACAATTATATCTCTTTCGACCGCCCGTCCCTGGAGACTATGGGAAGACGGGCCACTCTTCCGAATATCTTACACCACCATACCGTAGCCGGGCAGGACGACGCCGCAGACCCAGAGCCCCCGCAGCATGACGGCCGACAAATCGGCATCGCCCTGTCCAGTCCCCCGCAAACCTCCCATTCCATTCAGTCCAAGCGACGATCGCGAAGTGCAGGCGCTTTGCGGGACTTGGCTAGAAACCGCCCTTCCGTGGAGCGGAGACGCAGCGACGAGATTCGCTATTGGAGGGCGAGTAATCAGTCCGGGAGCGTTTATAGCACCGTGAGCCCGAGGCCGCAGACTGCGAGGACGGTCGATACGGTGCGCACGGTCGAGGGGTTAGGTGCGACGGTGGTGCACGAATACAGGGTGCACGAAGTCGAAGCCCCCGAACGAGCCGAGTCGAGGACCGCCCAGGTCGAAGAGATTCCCCAAGCGGAGTTGGAGCAGGAATCGCAGGTGCCGCTACCGCTGCCTGTTGGAGCGTTCAATTTCGGCAACTTGCAGAGCAGTTTCCTCGACGTGGAGGGTCCAGAAGACGAAGACGAGGAAGTACAAGCAGAAGCAGAAGCAGGAAGTCCCCACCCAACCCCCCATCCACACAACCGCCTATCCATAGAAGACCGCGTCTCACACCTCGAATCCCACCTCCTCTCCCTCGAAACCAAAGTCCGGCAAATCTCCACCTGCAACAACCGCCACACAATCATATTAGAAAACGCACCCTCGGGACCACAGTACCGCAACCGGACCTCCTCCCCCTCACAACCTCAGACCCACTCGTCCACCCCAGAGCGCACCACCCCACCAAGCCCTCCGCACCCTCATCCTCCATCGCCAACCCTGCAATCCCTCTCCTTCTCCTCTCCCTCTCCTCCTCCAAACGCACACGTCGCCGTAGCCTCCTCCACCGAGTCTCTAACCACCCACCTCACACACCTCACGCAAGCCCTGCACAGCGAGCGCCTGGCCCGCAAAGCCCTCCAACACGATGTCTCGGTCTTGCGCAACGAGATTGCGTCCTTGCACGCGCTGGTGCATAGATTGCTCTCGCGCTCGCAGCTGGGGAGTCCGTCGTATCCGACGCCTTCGCCTGATGCTATTGTTGCGAGTAGTGAGGAGCAGCGGGGGGCTACGCCGCGTGCGCCTGGGCTGGGTGTCGAGGGCGGGAAGGAGCAGGGGGGAGGGTCGCCGGAGACGTTAAGGATGGGGAGGGTGAGGGATACAGTTGTGAGTCGGTTTAGTGGGAGTGAGAGTGAGAGGGATGGTGATGGGGAGGGGGAAGGGGAGAGTGTGCTTAGTGGGAGGGAGGAGTTGGCGAGTTTGGAGGCGTGGGCTACGCCTAGGGAGGAAGTGGTGAAGGAGTTTTGAGGGAGAGATGAAGGGTGGGTTGGGATTGCTGGGTGTGATGGTGTCGTTTGGTGGGTGTGGTTACGCATCGTGTTGATTGGGGCTGGCTGTGATGGTTCACGTTTTTGCCGATTTTTGCTGTTGATGTTGACGGTCTCATGTTGCATCTTCCTCCATTCTTTTATCTCCATTCTTCCTCTTCTTTCTTATTTCCAGCGAGTTCTTCTTCTGCATCTCTGCTTGCGTGTTTCTCCTTCGCGGCGTCTTGTTTTTGTTTTTGCCGATTGAGCCTGAGCATCGGCGCTTGTAAGATACCCATCAGATGTTTCCGGAATTCATCGCTCCCACCAACCCGCTTTGGTTTGGGTGGTAGAGCGTTGGTTTTGCTTGTGAGTCGTATTCGTGGTTCGACGTGTAGGTTAGCCTCTTGCATAGCTATATGTGTGTATGTATGTACGTAGGCATTCACGTAAATACAACTGCTTCCGCCTGTTCCGTGCGTCCGCTTTGGTGAGCTCATCCTATGTGCAGGGATATACCGAAATGGCTACGGAGTTAGTTACTCTCTATCTTGCTTTCCAATGCGGTGGTGTCGCAGGCGGATTCGGAGGGAGGAAGCGGGTCATGGGTGCTCGTCGCCGAAGTGGCATGTATCTAATAGGATGAATGTACTGCGAACCCAGTCTTAGGGTAGTGCAGCACACCATCCGACCGTACCCAGGGTTTAACAACTGTGCTCCCGCGCGATAAAGTGGTAATGGTCAGTAGCAGTATCTATTACTACCTGTTTATTGGACGTGGAGGAGCTACATTACTGCGTACTTGAGGGTAGTTTGACGGAAAGTTGCAACACATGTTCGTCGACGGTTCAGTTGTGATAATGTACGTCACCGTTTGCCCACCTAATCATTCCACTTTGGCTGGGGGAGGGGGAGCTACATGCAGTGCGTACTGTAGGGTAGCTTAACGAAAGTCGCCACTCATACTGCTTTCGACATCATCTTTTTGAACGAAGAACAGGTTTGATTGCGTATAGAAGAGTAAGTGATTGAGGATGCGAAGGGCTTTATATACTTTACGCTGCGGGAAGCGATCTGCATGGGGTTGGGTTGCGGTTTGCGGTTTGTGATTTAAAGAAAGATTTGCGGGGAGGGCTAACGGGTTCTGTGTGTTGGTTGATGATGGTGGTGGTGATGATGATAAACAGCATTACCCGTTGCGTGGATGTGGGGTACGTATGGTTGTAGTGTAGTGTAGCATGTAATTCTCTGAGGGAAGTACGCAACACATATGTCGGTAGGTGAGATCTTTTGGATAGAAGTATAGGTTTGGTCGCTTGTAACGAGGGAGCAGAGGAGGAAGCGAAGCGCGCTCTTATACCCGGACGTGGTAGATGTGGTGGGATATGCATGTGATATGTATGTGGACAGTTTGGAGGCAGGACACTGCATAAATTCAGTTTGTGGAACATGATGACTACTTTTGCAATTAGGATAGAAGGACTTCGCATGAGTAGGTAGGTATATGAGATGTATCGCAAGTTTGGTTTGACTTTGACTTGTAGATCAGTGGTGGTGGTGGTGATGATGATTATAATCATGATTAGTATCGCTTTATACCTGCACTAATTGGCCCTAGGAACATTTTTTGTGTGCAGAAGGTTTCGAGAAAGAAAGCTCCATTAATTTGCGGATGTCCATTCTATTATTTTTGGAACATGAAGGTGATAGCGGCGGTGTACAAGGAAATGTGTAGAGACAGAAAACGAGCGGGTTTTATAGTGGCTACCTGTACGTTTTATGATGGTGAAGGGCACGACTTTACACCAAAGTTAACGGCCCTGATAATAAGCACATGTTGTAGACAACGGAGCTTTTGAGAAAAAGGTGGGGAGATGTCAGCACATACTCTGTAATCCATGCGTCTTTGACTTTTGAGGGAAAATGAGGATGTTGGAGCTGTGTAGCAAGAATGCGGGAAGGAGAGTGAGAGGCTTTTATAGTCATTAAGTTTTGTGATCCTGTGATGATCGTCATCACTACGAATTCTGAACCTGTCAGCTCCAAGTAGTCATTTGAAAATGAATCTCAAAAGAAAGCTCAGTACATAGTTAGCATAGTTTTCTTTTTTTGAATGAAGACGAGTGGAAGTGTGTGCAAGGAATGCAAGAGACGGCTTAGACGGAGAGGGAGATTCATTGATGTTAGGTTTAATGCTGGTGATGAACGGCATCTTCACAAAGCTAGATTGGATTTAATTCCATTACCAAAGAAAAGCAACCTTTGGGACAAGAGCCCAACACATGCGCTCGGAGTCGTACATTTTTTGAAACAATACAAGGAATCGAGTTGCATACTATGGAATGTGTGGAGAGGTAACGAGTGGCTTTATACTTTTTTACCGAAATATGGGGTACCATTAGGCGTGGAATGTGACACTATGAAGACGTGTTATCATGCAGTGCGTAGATTTCGAAAATTCGACATGTAGGTTTATCAAGGAGGCTATGTGCTTGCCTTGAGGGACATGGTGAGAATACGCTGTTTTGGCCTTGACCGAGAGTAGGCAGTATGTAGGAAAGCGCATATGTGTCGTCTCTTGGTAGAAACATAGAGACTAACGGCAAGTTTAGTGGGCAAGCTGAAGCGAACCCGCCTGACCTTGTGAGAGAGAGAAATGTGGCGTGAGGTGGGCATGAGGCTGCAAGAAGAGAGTGCATGTTGCATGCACAAGAAGTAAATGACATTCAACCATATGTGTTGGGTAGACAGGATATGCCCAGAAAGGGGCGGCTAGGAGGTCGTGGTGATGCATTTCATGTAGGATGCATCTCGACTCATGAGTGTCACTGACGCACTGCTTCTCGACGGTGGCTTGACCACTGACCGCTCTCTTACCGGAAGCATTGGTCCCGAGGATTGCAGAGTTTCTCCTATCAGTGTGTATTTCATGGAGGCGATAATGCTCGTAAACAGACATCCGGGCACGAGGATAGCTTCAGCTAGAGGCAACGCCACGGTGTCACAATTACTCGGTCCCGAGGTACTGCGCTGTTCAGCTAAGCACTCTACCAATAGCTGAAAATAACAGTTCAAGGGTGCTCTGAGGATGTAGGTTGCCGGGGTGCATTTGTAATCTGCATGTTCAAATCGGTTAAGTTAGGATTGAGAGAAGTTCGACTTGTCAGAGACTTCGCTAAATCTCCCAATTGGTCCCCGCCACCTGCACGGTCATAACCACAATCCTACATTTCGTAAGGCTCCCAAGTGCAAATATGACCGTTGGAGGCGTGAGGTGGTTGCTGTGCCTTAAATCGAGATATGACGACAGTGAACTTTCTATATGAGTCTCGGTATCCCCAAGATCCAGAGTGTGAATCTCCACATATTTTCAAGCTATTGTGTCAATTCCAGCCATGACCACGTCCCGTATTGTGGAGCTAGCTCGCATAATTGAGAAACATACTTCAACCATTGATGCAGCTCTCACGGCCAGAGGTCTGCCCACCCCTTCCTTTGACCACAGCGCCTCTGTTGTCCTCCCACCCGACCTGACTCCCTCCTACGATGCCGTCCTCGACGCCACTCAGGAGCTGCATGACCTGCTTCTTTCACCCATGGATATTATCCAACGCAAGAGCTGTGTAGGGAATCCCCCCTACTTTGTCTCCATATTGCACACTTACAAAACATAGTACAACAACATGGCAGGCATGAAAGCGATCTCTCAGTACAACATTGCTAATTGCTTCGTCCCTGGTGAGACAGTGAGCTACGAAAAGCTGTCTGAATCTTGCGGTCTGGCAGTGAAGCCGCTGAAACACTTGCTTCGTCATGCCATGACACTGAGGATCTTTACTGAGCCGACGAAGGGCATGGTGGCGCATACTGCGGCTTCCAAGCTTATGCGAGATCCTAATTGTATGGCATGGTTGGAAACGGCAACTCATGATCTTTGGCCATCTTGTGTTAAGGTAGGTCTCGTATTTGCAGCATTACACTGCCGTCCCATTCTTGCATACTAACATCAAACAAAGCTCGTGGATGGCCTTGTCGAATGGCCGAATTCGGAGGAACCACAGCATTCGGGCTGGAATCTAGCGCACAATCTGAAAGAGCCGCTCTACGAAAGGCTCGCCATGGACTCGAAACTTGCAGCACGCTTTGGGGCATCCATGTCCGCCATGGGCTCCAACAATCCCGCTCTGGCTATCAGCCATATTGAACGAAGCCATGATTGGGAGTCTCTCGGAAACGGGCTTGTCGTAGATGTTGGTGGTTCTCACGGCGCGGTGGCGGTTGAACTTGCATCCAAACATAAGAATTTGCGTTTCATCTCTCAGGATCTTGAGGCAACAATTGACAGTGCGCCACCTCTGCCCGATACTGTAGCGGATAGGGTAAAGCTCATGGTTCATGATTTCTTCACTCCCCAACCTGTTGAGGCAGATGCCTACATCTTTCGCTGGATTTTCCACAATTGGTCCGACAAGTACGCGGCGCAGATTCTGCAGGCTTTGATTCCTGCATTGAAGCCCGGAGCAAGGATCCTTGTGCAAGACGGCGTATTGCCTGAGCCTAGACAAATCCCAAGTTGGAGGGAGAAAGACATCAGGTATGTAACAATCCCGGTTGGATCCCCGGCGCCTAGTTTAACGGGCCGCTAACACTACGGAAAGGGACATGGACCTCAGTATGAACGTCTTATTCAACGCATGGGAAAGGGATGTGGATGAGTGGAAAGAACTTTTCCGCAGAGCGGATGGGAGATTCCGATTCATTGGTGTTACGCAGCCGCAGGGCTCCGCACTCGCTCTCATCGAAGCGCGTTGGTCTGGAGGGGATCCGGAAGAACTGGTCTAGATCTCCGCCACGATGTAGATTGGATGCGAGTAGATGCTGTGACTACGTCGTTTAATTCGCAACGAGTGTGCGATTGGACTCCTGGGTTACGCACCTATCGTCACACGTACCCTGAGTTAGGTGCACCGTGCAACAATCAGCAATACATGCGCTGAAGAGCGGTGTGGATATACGGTTGCCTTAGATAAAGGCTACAGAGATTGTGAAGATATAAAGGGTGCCTCTCGGGGCGCCCGTTCCAGTCATGCTCGAGACCCTCGAGACCCACTGCCGTGTTCGACTTAGACGTTGAGGATCTGCCCGTTCAGACATCACCACAATTGACTTTCTGTGATCAGGCATGACCGTTACCATGGCCACGACCTTGCAAGCTGTTCTCCGCAGTAAGTGCATAGGTTTCTACAATTGCTATTCTGCTCTTGATTTGGACTTTGTCCGAAGCGCAACTCACGTATTATTCCCTGTGTGAACCTGACATTGCCAGGTACACTAGAGAACTCCCATCACAATGCTGGGGAGGCCATTATAACCTACCAGCAAGGAGATGTGATCACTGAAAGCCGTCTCTCATACACTCAGCTTCTCGAACGAGCGGAGAACAATGCCACTCTCCTCAAGAGCAATTTGGGGATAAACAATGGCTCGATTGTTGTCCTTTATTTTAACAACCATGAGGACAACATTATCTGGCTCTGGTCTGTTCTGTTCTCAGGAGCCATACCCGCCATGTCTACGCCTTTTCCAGCACTAGAAGAGTTGCGCATCAAACACATCGCCCACGTGGACAAACTGTTCAATAGGCCCATCTATCTTACGCGCAGCGACCTCATCAAGCAGTTTCCCAAAGTTGAGGGCCTCGATATATGCACCGTGGACACTCTCGAAGATTCCTCTCCCCCTCAGGCGACGCCCAATTCCTACACAAGTGTGCCATCCGACACCGCCCTCCTCATGCTCACATCCGGTAGCACTGGCCACGCCAAAGCCGTCCCCCTCACGCACTCCCAAATCTTGGCCTCCCTCGCCGGAAAACTGGAAAGCTGTAGCGGCCCCGAAGCACACAAATGCGTCCTCAACTGGATCGGGTTCGACCACGTCGCTGCCATGGAAGCTCATTTCCTCGCACTTATCTCTGGAGGCGATCAGGTTCATATACATGCTTCAGATGTTGTTACCGAACCATTGTTGTTCTTGGAGATGATGCAGAAATATAAAGTGACGAGGTCGTTTGCGCCAAATTTCTTCTTGGAGAAGTTGAGGCGCTCATTGGAGTCAGCCCCGCCGACGAACCTCGACCTCAGCTCGTTAAGGGTTTTGGTCTCGGGTGGTGAAGCTATCGTCACGAAGACGCTCCGCCAGCTTGGCAAGACACTGGTGAAATACGGAGCACCAGCCAATTCCATTGTCCCAGCATTCGGAATGACGGAGACCTTTGCCGGTTGTATCTTCAATTCGGAGGTTGTTCAAGAGCAAGATGCCGATTTGAATGCACCTTTCGCCTCTGTGGGGAAGGGTATCAACGGTCTTGAAATGCGAATTACACCCAACCCGGAGGTGTCGGACGGCAAGAGCGGAAATGTAGAGCTCCGTGGCCCGGTCGTACTCTCAAAGTACTTCAACAGCGTCCAAGCAACATCCGCTGCCTTCAGTGAGGATGGGTACTTCAAAACCGGCGATTTAGGACACCTTGACGCGGACGGCAATCTTCACCTCATCGGAAGAGCCAAAGAGACAATTCTCATAAACGGCGTCCATCATCGTCCGGATGACATTGAGAAAGCCATAGGAGACGCTCGACTTGAAGGTGTCATGCCAGATTACACTGTGGTGTTTGAGCACCGAAGAAATGGCATGGCCACGGAAGAAGTGTTTGTCGTCTATCTCCCGTCCTTCGATGTGACCGACAGTGCCGCCCTGCTCTCAACTCATGATGCGATTGTCAAGATTGCCATGGCAGTCACGGGGACGCGACCTAGCGTTCTTCCTCTGGATGAGAAAGTACTCCAGAAGTCGTCGCTGGGAAAGCTATCCCGCACAAAGATCAAAAACCTACTAAAGAGTCCTGATCTGCTTTCTCGACAAGCCGCGTATGAAGAGACAATTCAGGAAGCTAGGGAATCAACCTTCACAGCACCCGAAACCGACCTCGAGCGGCTCATCCACCAAGTCGTCGGTACGTATCTCAACCTCCCTCCAGAAACTTTGGGCGTCACAACCCCTATCTTCTCGCTCGGCGTCACTTCCATCGACATCCTTCAACTGAAGAGCAAACTCGAGAAGCGCCTGAAGAAAACGATCGAAACCGGTACCATGCTCCAAAACACCACCATCCGCTCTCTCGCGCTCGCCCTCGATTCCACCACCACGCCCACATACAACCCCGTAGTCACACTGCGCCCTCACGGTTCCAAGAACCCTCTCTGGCTCGTCCACCCCGGCGTAGGCGACGTTCTCGTCTTCCTCGAGCTAGCCAAACACATGGACGACCGCCCAGTATATGCTCTACGCGCCAAGGGCTTCCAAGGCGAGGGATACTTCACCTCCATCCCCGAAGCCGTCAACGCCTACTACACCGCCATCAAAGCCACCCAACCCCACGGTCCGTACGCCCTAGCAGGCTACTGCTACGGCGCCATGCTCGCCTTCGAGACCTCCAAGAAACTCGAAGCACAAGGCGACGAAGTGCGATTCCTGGGCTCGTTCGACCTGCCGCCGCATATTGCGTGGCGGATGCGGCAGCTCGACTGGGTTGCTTGTCTGGCGCATTTAGCTTTCTTCGTCGGTCTGATTACCGAAGATTATTCGCACGATGTCATGCCGCTTTTAAGAGAAGGGAGCAAGCGGCAAGCTCTCCGGCATATCATCGATGTGGCTGATAAAGATCGATGGGAGGAACTCGCGCTCACGGAGGAGGCTTTGTACTCGTGGACGACGCTCGCTCACGAGCTGCACGTCATCGCTGTGGACTACGAGCCGCTGGGTAGTGTGCAGAGCATTGATGTGTTCTACGCGGAGCCGTTGAGGATTTGCGCTTCGACGAAGGAGGATTGGGCAAAGGGGCCGTTGAAGGAGTGGGAGGGGTTCTCGAGGCGGGAGTTGGGGATGCATGATTGTCCGGGTGGGCATTATACGATGATTGGACCGGATTGGGTGGGCGGGTTTGCGGAGATTTTGAGGGCGGTATTGAAGGCGAGGGGTCTTTAGGCTTTGTTTTCATTATTAACTGGAGGGTCTATCGGATTACAGGAATAGGGAAAGGGAGCGGCCTCTTCGGCGGTGTGCAATTGCTGCGTAAGTGTTGATGCCGAACTACAGAGTATTATAGATATTAGGACGCACTGGGAAAGTAATGTTGCTTATTACGTTGAATTCAGCTCTTACCTATCATGTCAGTGTTCTCCTATTCATTGTCTACTGTAGAACTTGAGCGACGCAGAAACCCCTGAGGCAACACCAAACTGTCAGATAGGCCGACCACTGGAATATTCGCTACCATGATAGAAGGCAATTAGGAATGGGAAATCAGATATCTACTTTATTCCCAGCTTTGGTGGATAGTGTTGCTGAGCGCTGATATGTGGAAATATAGCATGAGGAAATACGAATGCATTTGCCAACCATCAACAATGGGCGAACGGCAACTCGGAAGGAAGTCCATCAGATTACAACCCTGATCTTGGTTTCAACTGATTCAGCGTGAACATATCCGACAACGATTTCTTCTATCTTTTATCAATGCAGTCACCGATAATTCCGTCCCAAAACCTTGCAGCTAAATCAGCACACGCATCGTAGGCTTCCTGAATTCGGCCATCGACCAAACACAGCTCAATAGAGACCCTCTTTAATTCTATATCTCCATACTCCCTACTTGCTGCGTTGCTAAGGTTAAGTATCGTGCAAAACCAGACACATGCTGAAAAGGTCGCCGACCACGTGGCTGAACCGAATCTCGCATGACTGCTCTAATCCCCAGGGCACTGTGCTGGCATACATTCCTCGACAAAACATACTGTAACTGCAAGCCCCAGATCAACAGATACCGCCAACGATAGCACATTCCTGTCAACTCCAACATGCCAGCCACTCCATCCTCTGGGTGATGTATATTCACTCAACAACGCCAACCCAAAAAGACTGACTCATCCACCGCAAACCACCCAACACAACCCAACCCCAGCATACCGCTCCCATTAGTCAACCGCTCCACAGCATCGCAATACCCTGCCCGTCAGCGCGGTTACGCGCCTATCTTAGGGCTTATATCCCCCCCTCCCTCCTCCACTCACCACCGCAGCTCTATAGCCACCACCAACACAAACATACATTTCACCAGGATGAGCCGAGTGCAAGATACACCTAATCCAGCACATGCCGCATTCAGACAGACAGATATTTGCATTCCTCTGCAGTGCTATACATGCATACACATGGGCATTGCGGAGCCGCAAAAGGTCAGCATCGGCAGATAGGTATGTACCTAAGTACGTGCGGCCATGGACCGGGATTGGAGGCTTGATTGCCTGATGTGGGAACTTTGCAGGCCGTATCGAGGAGGACCGTGGCGAGATTAGGCGGGCCATGTATTGTTGATTGTTGCGTCGAGGGGGAATTCGCCGATTAGGGTGCATGGACTAGGCTGATCGGTGTGGACTGAGTAAGCATGTGCAGCTAGCTAACTTATCGGCTATCGTTGGAAATACGAATAGTACCTACTGTGTAGGGGTGACTGGGCAGATGATGACGGAGTTGGAATAATGAAACTGACTCGTAAAACGAGTGAGCAACAGCACTAAAAGAGTAGAGAATTGTATCCAAAGAAAAGGGAGGAGAATACAGAGTATTTTGTAAAACCAAAGCAGCGCTGATGGAATGTCATTCGTACTGTACTATGGTTGCCGGGGTAAGTTTTGTATATTGCCACTCGGGAGGCCAGGGTGCCAGCACTGGCCATGGAAGCTCGGAGAAATCTTAGATATTACATATTGTCAGCACCTATACAATTTTATACGGTCAACTAAAATTCCTAGTATCTTACTCCTTTTCGGCCCTTCCCTCTACAATGGCAACCCAGGAACCCTCAACGCCTACTCACCAAATTGCTCCTCCATCTCACACTCCAGAGGCTCATTTTTCCATGCCGGAGTGCCAAGAATCTTTATTTTCAACACCTCCACGCGTAGATGGAAGACGCCGCCCTCGCCCTCCTCGAACAACTCCTCATCCACGCACTCTCCACACTGACAGAGATGTACGATTACAAGTTCAAACGCTGCACCAATTTGGCCACTCCCTAAAAGAGATATCCAGGGTGCTAGGGATCACGTACAGGCAGGCACAATACGCACATTCATGTGAGCGGGTTACACCAAGGAAGCGCTCAGGTCACCCACCTACACTCACGGAGGAACAAGTTGATGAGATAGAGCTATTTGTTGTAAGCTCACAGGTTGGAAGACTGCTCCCTTACCATAAGCTTGCCCAGGTATGTTTTTGTATAAGAATTGGCTTGTTCTAAGGTCTAACATTTCTAGTTATTCTCCCACTATGGAGCTACAGAATCTAGCATCCGTCACGCCCTTGAAAAACGCGGTTACCGACGTCATGTGGCACGCCAGAAACCTCCCCTCTCTGAAGCTACTAAACACGTACGCCTTACCTTCGCCCAGGAGCATCTACACTGGACTGTGGATGACTGGAGGAAGGTACTATGGAGTGATGAGAGCTGGGTGCAGTCCGGGAGGCACAGAAAACAATGGGTTACACGCAAAATTGGAGAAGAGCTAGATTCTACCTGTGTGCTTATTAAGCATCAGAGAAGGAGAGGATGGATGTTCTGGGGCTCTTTTCACTCAAATAATAAGGGCCCTAGCCTGTTTTGGGAAAAGGACTGGGGAACAATTACTGGAGAGAGCTACACTGCTCGAGTTCTGCCACTTGTTAAGGCCTATATTCAGCAGCATGGAGGAGCCCTTAGCTTTATGCAGGACAACGCTCCTGCCCACAAGCACCAGCTCACTGTACAGGAGCTCCAGGAAGCTGGCATTATCTTCATTAAGTGGCCTCCCTACTCACCTGACCTGAACCCGATTGAGACAATCTGGTGCTGGATGAAGGATTATATTGAGCTTAAAACAGGGCCAAACGCCAACCTTACATATCTACAACTAAGAGCACTTGTTCAAGAGGCATGGGAGTCAATTGAGCCTTACAAACTTGAGAAGCTCATTCAATCTATGCCGGCTAGGATGCAGGCAGTAATTGATGCTCAGGGCGGCCACACGAAATACTGAAATACTACACTAATTCAATTATCACGGGTTTCCTATTTAGGAAAGGTTCCTGATCTCATCTCCATAAGAAAACAGTGCCTTACAAGTGCTAAGATAGTGCAGTTTTGTTTCCATACAATTCAGCTTACAAATGTGACCCTTAAAGCTGAGCTTAGGTAATAGAAGCTTCCATGGCCAATGCTGGCACCCTGGCCTCCCGAGTGGCAATATACAAAACTTACCCCGGCAACCATAGTAGTGCTTTCTACAGGGTATCCGTACCACAGTCGACCTTCCTCAAAACAGCAGCACCATAGATCGATCCAACAGCTCGGTGCCTCTGGGCCGCCAACATTCATCTCACGTCCCACCCGCTTCTTACCGACACTCCCGCCCCAAGCCGACAACAACAACATCTCATCATCGAACCCCGCACATCAGGGTCGTCTGGGCATCTGAGTGGCTTTCTCGAGCTGAACATGTCAAATACCCCCTCCAGCCAATCACAACTCCCAAACGCACTATCTCTTGATTCCAAACAGAGACTCAGGCCGCCACCCGCGAACAAGCTCGACGCCACTGAACGGCGTGTCCGTGGTGGAATGTGATTAGAAGGAAGTGTGCCGGTCGGCTGGGAAGAGAGATAGCTTATAATGTGTTGGTTTGTACCTGCGTCTCCAGAATCAAGCGATGGTAGCCGGGGTTGCCAGGTTTCAGGTTGGAGGGGTGTGGGTGGCATGAGAGCATGTGTTTGGTCCGCGGGTTGGGGGCTGGACTGGGTGTACGGATGCGGGGTGGAAGGTACCGAGATTGATGTTGTACATTACGTGTTGGTGTGATTGTATCTACTCCGTAGATGCATTATTATAAAGTGTAGACAAACAACGACGTTTCCGCAATTAAGATTGTGTGAAGGGAGCAGGCTGCCTAAGTATTCAAGGTGAGGCAATATCCTGAATCAGTGCAATCGCAATTGTGAGCCTCTATAGATGCATGTGCATATTCGCAACGCGTCTGCGGAGTACACAGAACCACATTCTGAATGTCACAGGCAGAGTACATGATAGCTCAGGTCCTTTATACCCCAAATTACACACTGTCGGCCCTCATCAGCATCCAGATGAGGGTTGCATTGTCAGGACGATAGTGTGCAGACCTCGTTCCGACGAAGGACCGGAAACCAACGAAATTTCGTAGGAACAACTTGAATGAGCATGTTGATGCTGATGATGTATCGACGAGCTGAATAAGGAAACTGGTTGTCCTCCCCATTCCACTCATTGGCTGGCGTGGTCCTCATTGGGTGAACTGTAATTCGCTTCTGAGCGGGGCCCATCCTAAACCACTTCGCTGGGACTTTCTTTCCCCTTGCAATGCACCCACAAGGCCCTTATTAAAGAAAGCGCTATTCATCAACCATGCACAGCTTGTAGCCTTCTTCCACCTTCATTCTCATTACCCGAATTGGCAAAGACCCGACCGACAAATCCCCGGCAGCACTCCGGAACCCGAACCCTTGCCAAGCCGCGAAATACTGCCGCGCCACATACGCCACAATTTATATCCGCCGCCACACCTTGGCATTCTTCAAAGAGCGGAGACAGATGCGAGATTAGCAATTCCGCGAGATTGCGAATCCTTGTGACCATGCAAATCTCCTAGTTGCACGAAGGCGAATGAGCTGTGCGGTTTGTGGGAAGGATTCATCAGGCTCGTACTCCGTACAGAAGGGAAACATGCCAAATAATGAAAGGAAAAGGGGTTAGCCAGATTTGGTGCCCCTGGTTGTGCTACCCAACAAGATTGCGAGGGTCTCGGTTTGGGAATTGCAGAGGGATGCAATACATAACGAATGCATTCTGAAACATGTTGGCAGTCCGAAGTCGTGCGTGACAGGTGGCGGATGTACCCGAGCGAGATGCTGCACGGATCCTTCTGGGAATTGGCTGTGTTGTTAATGCCTGCTACATTCGTTGTCGTATTATTGCTATTGATGTTTGATGAGGGTAGATTAATGAGACTGCAATGAAGAGTTAGCGGAGCCAAAGTATCGTTCTCGAGTCCAAATAGAGAACCGGGCCTGAGTGGGCTCCGACCCTTTCTGCAATCTGTCTAGCAACTGCAGCAAGTCTGCAGACCGCTCGACAGGTGGTGTCTGTCGTGCTACGTGAAGCAGATATGGCCACCGTTTTTTCCTTCTGCATATCGGAAGTCTTGGTCCGAACCGGCGTGATATTCGAGTGCTCGATTATTATCGTGAAGTTTCCTCATCACGAAACGACTTCTAATGTACGGCACGGAGGCGGAGAAGTCGTGTCCCGAACTGCCCGCACTATGGAGATGTACTGGCAGTTTGCAAGGCGGCCCGAATGTTTCTCAAGGAACGGTTTGCTAGCTCTGCCGAGACCCGGACGATCTCTATAGAGCGATTCCGACAAGGACCAGGAGAGACATTTGTGACGTTTGCAAATTAGACGACTCGTCAGATGGCGCACGTCGATGGGAGGGCTTGGCCGAGTTTCTCCGGATCGCGCACTGCATCCGAAGTATCGACTACGCAATCACAGGTATCTACCCGTCCGTGGCTGCTGCAGCAATTGTGGGGTGAGAGTTCCGTTTTGCGATCCCGCTAGCATTTGCACTCCAATAATGTCTTGCATCGATCCTAGATCTCATGGAAGCGGGGCTCCTGGCAGGTGGCGCTCTTGTGATTGAAGCGGACTGTGGAGGTGGTATGAGAACTTTTCTATCAAAAGCAAACATATACTCTGCAGAAGACTTTCTTTAGCGCACTATATCGGTCTGAACGTGTTCGGGCTCAGGACCATCCTGGTTGGGCAAGCCGATCAGCAGATAGTACGGAGTACATTGTCGCACAGGACCGCTTCAAGGCTCTGGTGGTGGTACGGAGTAACTGGCACGAGATGGGAACATCGCTGCCTCTCCTCGTACAAGTAATTGCTGGTCGCGAAGCTGATGTGTTTGAGGAGCTGGATGAGCAAAAGCAACACAGTTGGCCGTTGTTTGCCCCGCAGGGTTGACCGGCTTCTCCGCACTCTCTGCCTATCAATCCTACATGATTGAATCCGGAGAGGCGATTCAATCTCGACTCTCGAGTGGAGGCGTCCCTGCTTGCCCCCTGCATGGGATGCCAAGCAGCGCATTTGAGTCCTCCCGCGGTTCGCGACCAATTATTGACGTGGTAGGCGAGGGTGAGAGTTGCGCCCGGGCATGAAACACCGCCCGTCCTTTTGCCATGCATCATGCCAATCCTTATGTCGGCCGTTGAGGGTGAGCCAGTCGTTCTGTCTGTTGAGCGATGGCAAGAGTGCACCACTTCTCGAACGGCAAAGGAATCGACAACGGTGAGCCGTCTCTGGGACTGAAGCATGCTGCCAAATATGTCTTTGAGATTGGTAGCCACATACAAGTATAAAGGACATGCAGCTGCATGTTGTTTGCAGGCGCCCGCAGCGAGGAAGACACGGAGGCTGGGTGAGGGCTGGTTCGAGAACTCATGAGTGAAAGCAAAGGTTAGCGCACGGTAAGCAGCCTGGACAGCAACAGTTGTTGCTCTCGTCGACGGCCATGAACCCTCGGATGAGGCCAGCTGCACCTTGTTTGGTTGCGGAAGGCAATAAGCCTGCAGAGCGGCGAATGTACATCCAGAGTCGGCGATGTACTCGGTTTGAAGCGGCACTCTGTCGACTATCTACTACACAGTACGGAGCATTGTAGCGCCGTCTCTGCTCCGCAGCTCCGGTTGCGATGGAAATGTGAGACCTTGAGAGTATGCTTTCTTGTCGCTGCAGGCACGGTGGTGGGCAAGATGGTGGGAGATTTGCTGGCACCTCGTGATGATGATTAGCGGCCGTGCGAGATGAATGTGAGTGTCTGTGGGAAGATGAGTGTGATCACTGCACTGCCCGGCCTGCCTGTTGCTTGCGTGGCCAAGGTGGAAGCCCCTCGATTCCTCCCCGCACGCGGTTGATGTGCACTCTTCCACTTCTCCCACGGTCGGTCGGCGATCTGTGATGGGCGAACTGTGGCTTGCTGTTCCACAGTGACGCTGAGGGTGGGGAGCAAAAGTGAGAGATGAGAGATGAGAGATGAGAGATGGCTGCGTGGCAAGGGGGATTGCGGTCGTGTGCAGGGGTCTGCGTGAGCAGGCGGGGGGCTTCCCTGCAAGCCAAGCCGGTCCGAGCGTTTCGGGTGAAGGCATTCTTGAAAGTAGCCCGCCCCGTCCTCGCTTCTCACCACCCTCACTTGGCTTTCCTCCCCCGACTCCATTCACTTCCTCCCTCCCTCCTCCTCCGCCCTTCCCACCACCCACCTCCTTCCCGCGCTCGTCGCTTTCTGGAGCCCCATTGTCGCATTCGACGGCGGCTCATGCACGCTGTCGGTCGATTCTGAGGGTGTCTGTCCGTTCCTTTCTTCACAGTCCCGTCATTCCTTACTTGATTCTCCTCTGGATGTACTGGTCTTCATCCACATCCGACCATTGCCGCCATCTGGAACTATTTGACCTCTGCCAGTAGTCCAGGCATACTGTACGATTTTCCTCCGGGCCCTCATGCCGCCTTCTGTTCCGCCTGCTTTTGTTTGCGCGCTGACTTGTGTTCCCATCTAGTAATCGCGTCAGCTCACTGTACACTGCGAGCGCTTGTTTCATCTCAATTCCTCTGTGTTCGCCTTCGTAGCACCTCGTACACTCTCCGTCGACCAACCAGATCGCGTCGGCGCGTCTCTCTTCTTCGCGGTACCTGGAACATCTGCGGCAGATTCCACCATTCAAACCCAAGCATACCGTTTCGCGTCCATTGGTGCAATCCCTAATTTCGTTAAGCTTAGCTACGGTTCCTAGCAACGCCCGCAAGACGCCGTCCTCTGCTCAAAAATGGCTCAAATCGCTTTGCCACGACAACAGGTTACCCAGGCACCAGAATCCCCAGGCGTAGGCTCACCGCTCTACCAGCGCAGGCGCACTTCCAATGCCGGACCCGTCGAACTAATTCCGAATCCTGAATTCACATTCCCTCAGCGAGGCCCCGATGCATCTTTTGAGCCCACTCCAACGTCCACGTCCCGACCGATGTCTCTCCAACCATCTCCCGCTGGTCGCAGAGCCTCGGCGCCGGGACCGAAACAGAAGTCGGTTTCCGCCCTGCCTGACTTCACTTTCAACCCCGCCGGATCCGCCACCTCTCCCAACGCTCGATTCACCCCTCCGCATTCTCCCATGGGCACGCCCACGACGCCTTCACGGCCAATTGGACATAGGCGTGGTGGAAGTGAGTTGATCGGAGGGCGTGTTGGAGGCATTCCCTTGCTGAGCTCAAGCCCGAGCCCGACCAGGGAGGGTGTACTGTCTTCCAGCGCTCCGCTGCCGCCCGGTCCACCTGCTGTCCGTCGAGGACATGCCCACCGCCGCTCCGGAGCTATATCTTCTCACGACTTGTCCGCCATCATGCGCTCCGCCAACCCCAGTGCTCAACCGACGTCAGGAAGCGCGCCTGTAACACCTCATGATGGTGATCAGTTTGTTTTCGGCCATTCCGTGGACAAATCAATCTCCCAACCGTCTCTACGTGACACGGGGTTGTTTTCTGAGGACACCAATTCCCCACCGCGACGCCCCCCTTCCAGGGCACGTGTGGGTTTCTCCGAAAAGGTCGAGTACATCCGACCTTTGTCCACAATCTCATCGGAGACCGAAACCTCGATGTCGACCATCCGTGGCCACTCTGCTACAGGGAGTCTGTCGTCGATTGTAAGTACCGGAGCCACAACCCCGCCACGGCTGAGCCGCCCTCCTCTGACGACCACGATTGAGACGGAGGAACGTCCCAGCACCGCTGGTGCCATTCTCGACATGTCCCCACGGAAGGGTACGCACTTCGGAGGTGACCTCTTCACCCGGAAGCGTCCGATGTCTGCGGTTCCCCCTGGCTCACCTACAGTTGTGTTTAGTCCGACGAGTTCTCATGAACCAGCTAAGCGGCGAAGTTTCTTCCGCTTGGAGCCTCGACGCACTGAACCTATGTTGGCCAAAATCCCGACAAGTGCTTCGGACCCAGCGCTATCTGCATCGTTCTCAGCCTCATTGCCTTCGCCGATGAAGGACGATGCGGCTGATAAACGTGGGCAGAGAAAGGAAAAGCTCACCCTCCGCAAGACCAGCAAGAAACCTCGCAAGGTGAAATCCTGGGCAAATTCGATCATTTACCGAAAAGGGAAACACAACGGCAAGCCCAAAGCGAGGGCTCCTACGCCTCCTCTCGGAGCACTGGGGGACGGCGAGAATCTCTCTTCGGACTCGGAAGATTGGGATTTTGAAGCCAACTTTGATGTGGATAATACCGTGACGATTGTCGATTCTTCAGAGCAGTCTACTCCCCGGGCCAAGTACGAAACGGACATTGCGTCCTGGAAACCCCGTGCTCTGAAGCGGGTCGATTCAGACACCATGAGCCCCGTGATCGATCTCGATGCGGCACTCGGGCCCTTTAATACTCCCGATGGATCCAACCCTCGAGTCACTCAGCGTGGGTTTGGTGCACATAGGCGAGCTTTGCATAGCGCTGGAGGGTTGTTGCAGAATCACCGTCGGACAGAAAGTGCCCCTGAGCTTGTGCCCTTTGAGCTAAGAACAGCTGCGGTGAAGTCGAGCTCGACCATGGCGGACGTCTTCGAGGAGGATGAACCTGAAGAGGAAGCAGTCGCATTGAAAAACTCTAAGCCTGTAGGATGCAGCAATAAGGAGAGCCACGACTCCGCGGAAGAGCCTAAGATTCAGCTTGTCGAAAGTGATGAGAGTCACAAAGGGACAGCCATTCAGTGGAACTTCACAGACGGACTTGGTATCAAGCGAGAGAGGGCTCGGCAGTCGGAAAAGTCTGAACAGCTGTCTCCGCTGCAGGTCCCGGCTCAGCTACCGAAAGAGAAGGAAGGCAAGAAGTCACTGGACGTCAGCCCTGTGGAAGTAGTCGAAGACCACGAAGAGCCGCGCACGTCCTCCCTCACCCACTCTTCGGATTCCACGGTTACTCCACAGCTGACTGCTGAGGAGGGCAAGCAGGCTCAACCCGTCATGACCTTGCCGTTGCCGCTTCCACACCAGAGCTTGATGACACCTGATACATTCACATCGTCCTTCTCATCCCCGGACTTCCGATCCAGCCAGGCCTCCTTCGATACCCCAAGACTTGGTACTTCAGCTTCCTCGATGACTGACTATCGTACTCTGCCGTCTCCGCGTTTTAGCGAACCTGGACCGGAGATGCGTGTGTCGGTAGACGATGTGCCTTCGCTCTCATCGTCAAGGTCCACAGCCAGCGCGATGCCCACCGGATTTCCTCTGCTTCCCCCTCGGCGCCCGAGTGAGCGCTCGTCGTCTCTCTGCTCTGTGCCTAGTGAGCTGGATGATCGTCGCCGTAAACGGTCAAGCATTGCTAGCCTGTCCCGATTGATCAATGGCTCTTCTTTTGGGGAGAAGAGCAAGTTGTCGATTGAGCAGCGACCTCATTCTGAATATCTGGAGCCGGCGAAAGAGGCCAAAAAGAAACATCGACGTCTAAGCAAGCTTATGTTCTGGAAACCGAAAGATTCCTCTGAACCATAGACTTTACGCGCGGACCGAACTCTAACGCTTTTAATTGACGAATGTGGCTGACGCTCGGCGGCTATGCACACCCCGATTGAACGACATCATGGTTATAACTACACACCCCTCTTCCCGCATGACACGGAGTTTTTGCTACGGCTACGAATCTTCCCTATGGCGCACACAGCGATGGCATGCAATGCAGCATATCACGCGATTTCGGACTACTGTTTTCGTTATTCCCATAATTCCCTTCTCCGCATTGGGTGGCATTTGTGCTGGAAGGACAGGTATCTAACATGGTTTCAGGAAAGCGAAATCTGGGATACTTCACTGGCACATTGGCATCACATATAGTGCGTGAATGTTTTCATCTTCACATCTTCGTGTCAGTCGTTTTTGGACTTTTTTTCATCAACCATATTATCAAAGTTTGAGGCCTGGGATTTGCCTGCCCTGGCCCTTAGAATTGCGGCTGTTTTATGCACCTCTCTCTCTCTCTCTCGAATGGAGGATTGGTGAGATGATGAATGGATAGGGTTGATAAATATCAAATACTTTATAGCTTGGACCCTGTGGATGGGGTTCAAGTTGCACTCGCTACTCTACGCTCGCTACTCTACGCTCGAACCTATGCAAGTGCTTGTGACGTGGGCTTTTGACGTTGGACCGTTCCTTGCGGCGTTACCCTCACCTGCTCCTTGTGTGATATAACGCGGCGATCTTCATCTCCCCACATTCCCATGCGCAACCACAAGTCTCCCGTCATGACGTAACTAAGGCTACGAAGTGGAGATTGGGATCTCAGGTGAGCCGCAGGTTTTCTTCTTTTCCGTGGTAGGCGAGGTGCAGCTTGTGTTGATCTTAGGTACTGTACTACTTACTTTCCTGCGGCGGGAATGCGGATGGCTGGGTTTGGGTTCGGGTTCGGGTTTCGGGGGATTTGAGATGGAAGGGGTGTTTCGAATGGGTTGCGGGATTTGGGTCTACAGTCTAGCATCTTACTGTAGATCTATGGAGGTTAATTGCAGGGAGGGGGAAAAACTGTAGGCGTTTGTGTTTAGATAGGCCGGGAGTGTGGGTGTGTTGTTTAAGAGTGATGTATCATTTTGACTACATTCTCTGTTAGAAAGGGAAGGTACTTGAGTATCGCCTCGTCTTTCACTGCGCTTCTGTCTCTCCGCCATTTCTCCACACTGCCCAGGTGGTTTCACGCCCGGCCCTGACGCCCACGCTAGTTACACCGCTAACCGAATACGACTACGTTCCCCAGCTCAATCCGACCACTTGGCGTCCGGCCTTCACGTCAAGCTACATCTACACAACTATTTACAGCACGCAATCACACCCTCTGCGACCTCGATACCTCAGACTAGCTTCTGAGCAGATAGCATAATCACAATGGCCGACGAAGACAAAGAAAAGGCCGAGAAGATCGCTGCGGCGAAGAAGAGGGTAAGCCTGTCCCTCTTGCCAGTTCCCGGGGAGCTTCTGACAGCTCCTGTACACATGTTGAACATGACATTCTGTGGCGCGCCTGGTATTACTGTGCGCTAATTTACTCAATGTCCAGTACGAGCAATTGAAGAAACAAAAAGCGAAGAAAGGCGGCAAGAAGAAGGACGACAAGACCTCCACCACTGCAACCGACGCCTCCGAAGCCGAAGCATCTACCTCCACCGCGGACAAGGCCGAGGAGCAGGCGCCTGAGGATACGAAAGCGGGCCCCGCACCCGTCGAAGCTGCAAGCCCATCTGCAGGACCTGTGGAAGACGATGAACCGAGCGAGCTTCCCAAGTCCACTCCCACACCCTCGCACGGACGCAAGCCCTCCGTCGCCGTGGAATCAAGACTACGTTCAGAGTCATTTTACAGAGGTGGTGATACGGGGACACCGACATCGCCGCCGCCGATTACACCCGGGGGAGGGGTGTCGGGGGATATATACCGGGAGCAGGCGCATAGGATCGAGGAGCTGGAGAAGGAGAATAAGAGGTTAGCTTCGGAGGTTGAGGAAGCGGAGAAGAGGTGGCGGAAGGGAGAGGAGGAGTTGGAGGAGTTGAGGGAGGGGAGAGGTGATTTGGCGCTGGCTGCTGAGAGGGGGAAGGAGGTTGAGCAGTTGGTAGGTCTAATCTACATCTTTGGTTTCACACTAAGACCGAGAACTGATACGTCATACAGAAATCAGAGGTCGAGTCGCTGAAGCGCCAATTATCGCATCTGCAGACGGAGTCCAAGAAGAATTCGCGGAGGATTTCCACAGCGTCGCCGAGCCAGTCGTCGTCCATCGATGATCTCAACGCGCAAGTAGCCTCGAAGTCCGCGACCATTGAATCTCTAGAGCTCGAAATCTCGAACCTGAACAAACAACTCGCGGAGCAGACGAAGAAGAACAATGATCTGCAAGCGCAAATCACCACATTGGAGTCGTCGTTGCAAAAAGCAGAGCAAGAAGCCGCCACCGCAAAAACCGAGCTCTCGGACCTCAAGCAAAACCTGGAAAAAGCAAGCGAAGCCGCCCAAAAAGAGGGTTCGGACCGCACGTCGGCGGAAACGCGCATCGCGCAGTTGGAAGCCGAACTCGGTGCCGCGAACCGCAAAGCTTCGGATGCGGCATCGCGAGCGGAGTTGTTGGAGAAGAAAGTCGAGACGCTGACGCAGCTGCATCGGGATAATGATGCGAGGAACCAGGCACGCTTGCAGGAGCATAAGAAGGTTGAGCGGGAAGCCGCGGAGCTGCGCACGCGCATCACGGGTCTTAGCAATGAGAATGCGAGACTTCGGGAGGCGGAGCAGCGGCGGCGGAAGGCGGATCTGGGGAACATTGAGGATTCTAGTGTACAAGAGTTGCTGGATGAGGAGCGAGATAAGTTGCTGGCTCAAGTCAGGGCGCTGGAGGAGGAGAACTTTGAGCTCAAGAGGGGCGTCTGGAGAGAGAGGAGGCGCGATATGCAGCCCTCGATCGACGATCATGATTCCGGGTTCCAGGACGTGGATCTCTCGGGCTCGACGCCGACGCGGCCTGCGGGCAGGCAGGGCTCCACGCTGCAGGATGTGATCAAATCGGGCATTTCGGCGTTTACGGGCCAGGCGTTGCCGGTGAGGCGGAGCGATGCCGTTTCTCCCTCCCAACACCCGCACGGTGCGGCGGCGAGGCCTAGACAACCGAGTCTAGCGAGCTTGGACGAGTTCGAGTTCGATGAGGATGCGTTTAGGGCGGCGCAAGAGGAGGAGCAGAGGAGGAGGATTGAGAGGGTCAGGGAGGTGAAGAGGGGGTTGAAGAATTGGGAAGGGTGGAGGGTGGATCTTGTGGATGTGAGGGCTGGGTTGGGGGGTGTTTTTGAGGTTTGAGTGGGAGAGAGAGAGGGAGGCCGGGGAGAGGAGTGGGGTTCGAAGTAGAGATGACGCGGTGGATGGATGCAATGGGAGGCATGGGGTTGATCATGAGCCGTGTTACGTAGGACGATGAACATGGTTTTGCTTGATGTGAATTTTAGGCTCGCAGAATTTCAAACTCTAGAGGTGCAGAGCATGCTAGCTATTGGCGCAAAACATGACGCACATGACGAGCCATTCACTGCAGGTGGGTTTTTGGAGATTTGCATGTGATCTCTTATCCATCGAGTATAGATTCGCTACTCTGATCCTTTGCCATCTCTCCTCCTGCAGCGAGTACTCCGTACACAATTTGTCTAAAACTCGATTGACGCAGCTTCTCATGTGTGTTGCTGTGTCCTTGGGTCCATAGTCGCGATGTTGATTTGTGTTTGCTCCCTACATGATGCTTGGATTTGAATGAAGATGCGGTGGTGCTGCTCGTCGTCATCATCAACATCATTAGCGGATTGAACTTGGTATGAACATCACGAAATCTGGGTATGGCGTTTTACTGTAAAGTGATGTTCGAAATGCCATGTGTGTATATAGAGATCCCTGGGGCCGGATGGGAAAGGTTTTTTTTTTGGTGGTGGGAGAAGGGGGGGGGGGAAACGTGTATATAAACCCCTCCTTTCTCACCTGTCTTTCTCTCTTTCTTCTACACATTCTGGCTGGGAAGGGGGTCGGGAGTAGTAAAAAATTGTGGACGTGGAGTCCTATGTTGGACGGTTCTGCGCTGTGGTTACGCATATCCTTCCGTATGTGCCTTTTCAAATTTTGGAAAGCGGTGATGATGAGGATGGTGATGCTTATGAAACGAGAACATGGGGTGAGGTACATCGATGGTGCGTGTGACGTTTGCGCATGTACAGAGCTTCGAAGGGGTACGGCTATATAAACACCCTCCTTTCTCACCTGTCCTTCTCTCTTTCCTCTACACATTGTGGTTGGGGCCGTCGGGGCGTACAAAAAGCATCAACGGCGGTTTCATGTTGGACGATTCTGTTCCGCGGATACGCTTATTCTTCCTTGGTGCTTTGTCGAATTTGGGGGAATTTGGGGGAATTTGGGGGAACTGGTGATGATGATGATGTTCTTGATGACATGAGAACATGGGCGGAGGGACACGGTGCGTGCGTTGTTTCTTTTACTACATGCATGTGCTTAAATCTCGAAGGATTCGAATAGAGAGTTGAATGTGTCTCTCCTTGCTATATGATCGTTTGGGAGGGTGCCAAGGGTGGTGACGGGGCGGGGAAGGGAAGTGTATATAAATGTCCTGCTTGCTTGTGTACTTCCTTTCTCGTTTAACCTGCGAGAGGTGAGGAAGGTGACAAGCACGAAAAGCATATCCAACAGCTCCAGATGTGGGGAACTGTGCGGCGTATGATCTGTCTTTGAAGGAGTTATGTAGAACGTTTATCTCCACCTGCGGCTTCCTATTACATCTTTGCAGTGATGAAGATGTCCGTCACCATCTCGGAAACGTCGAAATGAAATTTGGCGCATAACATTCAGTTCTAAAAGCTACAAAGCTAACGACATATTCCTTGCGACGGATTTCGAGGGCAGGGAGGGTGAGAGTATATAAACTCCTCAGCAACCTCCTCCTACTCTGCTAACGTGTTGACGAGGGGTTCACAGAGAAGTCTCTAAAATGCTTTGGAGTTCGACTCATATGGAGAAGGTTCCGCTTTCGGTGTCCTTGGATTTACATTGTTCTTTCTGAATTCGATTTTAGGAAGTGTAGTGCCTCAACTGATATTGATGATGATGATGATGATGATGATGATGATTCTAGGCCACGCTTAAGATATTTATCAATGCATCTCAAGCACATTGTCTTGAATCGAAGGCACGTGAGCTATAGCAGAGTTTGCACGAGAAGTGTATATAAGTCCGTCTTCTTGCGCACTGTTCTAGTACCTATGCATTGCTTTCTTTCCACAACAGCTGCCAAAAAGTACCCGCGAAGAGAGTATGGTTTCAGTGTGCGTTCCAAATTTCCATTGTCTTGCTTGATGTTCGTTGCATAGGGTGTTCGACTGCCTTCGGGGGAAGGGGCGGTGATGGTGATGATTATCATTGGTTTGAGCACCGTAAACCGAGAAAAGAAGGCTTGATAGGGTGAGAAATTTAACATGTGCAAGTTTTTCAAAGAAATTCTAGGGGATTAGACTTTCTATAGCTTTGGTTTCTCTCTGCTTCTCTTTTCTACTTATGAAAACCTCAAGAGTGCATGAGTCCAACGCTAAGGGAGTACGGAAAACATGCAACGCCCCCACAGTATGTAGCTTTTCCGCCGTCTAGTGTACAGTATAAGGCTGCCTCCCGCCCCCTATATCTCCACCGCAAGTAGCGATAATGCTTTCGACTATAGCGCCTGCAACATTCTTGAAATGTAGGCTCTTCCACGGAGACTCTTAGTCAGGCGGGAAATGCTGGGTATATAAGCCACTCTCTTTGCGTCCTTTCTTTTGGACTCCGCAACTCCTCTGCCGGGTGCCGGAAGATCGACCTAAAATGAGGTTCGAAATGGCCGATGGAGCGACACGGCGATTGAGATAGGCTTTGCTGGTCTGGTATGAGCGTTATTAGGATTCTGTCTAAGAGTTTTTCCTACCTGTAATGCTGGTAGTAGTATTGCTGATGATGATAATGATGATAATGATGCCATTAATCAACATTTTCGTACATGGATGTGCTATTTAGACATAGAGGGCTTCTGAAAAATGTAAAATGTTGCGATCGCCTGGATCGGATTTAACAGGGCTAGGTGTGCATATATAAACCCTCTTCCCTACTGGCTTACTACTGCTGCAACAATCAACTTTTTATCGAATGAACAAAGGATTGAAGACAAGTTCCATGGTGCTTGCCTGGTTTGTGACGTTTTAGAGTTTGGCCTGTAATGGCAGAACTGAGTGTCATGTTTTCCGCGGTAGAGAGAAATTAGGCGGTGGAGATAATCATTATCGGCCACTCCGTAATGGAAAATGCTACGGAGGTATTCATGGGGTTATTACAAGAAGCTGCAAACCATGCATTTCTCACCAAGCAGGCTAGCTTGCCATCGAGCGCATATAAATCCGCCTCTTAGTCCTCCGTGTTCTTCGTCTAGTGCAAAATTATCGGACAAAATACTAAAAAGCACCCGCTATGCCTATGTATAGAGCGTGCGTCCGTTGTGGGTAGTATACACAATCAAGATCTACTACATGCACCATTTTTTTCTCGCGACCAGACTAATGATGATAAATAGCATCGTCTTCGACATACTTTGCGAGATACTACAAGAATCTCCTGCAAATTTAAAAAGAACATGTAGGTATGTTTGCCTCCTATACTCATGCTTAGAACTGCCACTTGCTGCTGAAGCTACATATAATATATAAAGCTACCGTCCTCCTTATACTTCTTTCCTTCCCCCACACATCTGCTTGGAATAGGCGTCCCTAAAACTCTTGTCCGGTGGAGCCCCATGTTTCTGCTGGGCGGGTGTGTTTGGAAGTAGCAAGGGAGGATCTTGGTGTTGTTGATGTGACTTTTATTTCAGCGCGGAGATCATTGTGTGGGCGCCACGGTGATGATATCCATTACCTTTCGAGAGGGTTCTTACGAAATTGTGCAATGACTCAAAAGATTCTTGGTCGCGGTATGTAAGAAAGTGTTCTTGGCCACGTGCAAAGCTATATGACAGAGCCACTAGTATATAACTGTCTCCTTCGAATAGACTTTCCTTCCTTAATTGCATCGTGAATCAACAAATTTGACTCAAAACCAGTCGGTCAACTCCTTGATGGGTTGGGTAAGACGTGCAGTTCGTGATTAGTTTTTACATGCTATTTGCATTTCTTTTTTTTTCGTTGCGTAAATATGCGGAGCATATACTAATGATGACTCTCACTATTATGTTAGTTGCACAGTAGAGACCGTAGGCTTCTCCTACTTGCCTTTATTTCTCCCTAGGCCGCGGGAACTGAGGGATTATATTCGATCTAGAAGTTTGTATGTACATCCTAGCGTAGCGCTGGTAACGGCCTAGTCCTCGGTTTGGTATTATTGGAGGCCCAGGAGTAGGGATTGCGAGCAGCGTCATCACCAAGTCTTGCAAGAATTCGCTATCATATATTAATACATGATCTCTTTTAGCGTAGGCGGGACGTATTACCACGTACGTAGCCACTACCGGGGGTACATAACGCCCGTTCTTCTACCTTCCCTTCTACAAGACTGCTTGGGATAATTCGGGACATTAAGAAAAAAGACTTTCGAAGAGATTCATGTGGCATTGTCCGCGATGTCCATCTCTTCCATAATCGTGTATGATCAAGATGAGTGTTATCATAATCATCTGTGTCCATGCAACCCGATGCTCTTCCCGTGGGATAGCGAAAGCTGTTAGATTAAACAAGCAATTAAGAAAGTTCTCATTCCACTTAACACTGTCCTGCTACAGCTCTCCACGGTGGGGATATAAAACCGCCCTTCCGCTCCTCATTCCTCCTTCCTTCCCTCCGTGTAACAATGTTGCAGCGAAGTTTTTCGAAACCCATGACTTTCTTTGGATGTGGTTTCCTACCGTGGCCCAGTTTCAATTAGCGATTACGACAGTAGTGATGATGATGATGAGCCTCTTGCGCGCAGAGCATCAGTTTCTACTATTGCCATGCTCGCGTATTTTCTTCTCTATAGTAGGCGCGCTCTAGATTGATCTGAATATATAAACCCCTCCGCGTGCACCTTCTTCCTTGGTTCCTTTTAGTCACCAGTGACCGATTCAAAGTAGTATACCTAATCTCAAAAGGCTGCAAAGAAAAGGCATGGTGCTGCTGTAGGCGTAAAATCGCTCATGCACATACACATGTTGGCTTTCGTTTAGGGGAAACCTGCTGAAGATGCGCGCAGTATGCGATGCTGATGCTGATTATCATTCACCCCACGTACATCAGAGCGCGCATAAAGTTTCAGACATATCATTAGTATCAAATAGTAGTACTGCCCAACTACATCCCAACAGTAAACTTCCGTAGAATCAAGGACCCAAGCCCGCTATGCGACAACAGATAAACCCCCCGCCATGCGCTCATATCCATAAGAGACTGACTCAAGAAAAAAGAGAAGTTCAGGGCTCGCCGTAGCATACAGAATCAACCACACGCATAATCTTACAAGAATATACAACGAAGAAACCCGTTGCCCGCCCAGGCAGAAGCGCAGGACCAACGCTCTCACCACGCCCTCAACCCAACCCTCTGAGTCGCAGGCGTCCTATGCACGTGTTGCAACGTCACATGCCTAACTCCCGTCCCCGACCTCTCCCACCCTCTCCTAAACTCATCGGGCCAGATATTGTCAACAGGCAGCAGCTTGGGCATCTGCTCGTAATGCTGAATGGAGCGCTCGATCTCGTCGTCCTCTTCCTTCGCGGACATGTTATTGTTCTTTTTATATCCGCGTGTGGTTGGAGCTCTGGGCTGGGTTTCACGAACCGTCTTCATGATTTCCCTGAGCTCCTTGTCGTCGGATGTAATCTGCGCTTTGACGTATGCGAGTGCGGCCGTGCTGGTGGGCGAGTCGTTGAGGGCGGCCATGACGGGAATGCGAGGGGTATACGATGCTGCGTACTGCTCCACTTGAGGAGGGTCGACAGGCTCGATTGAAGGGTCAAGGCGAGCAGCTTCGCCTTTCTCTAGGAGTGAGAGGATATCCAAACTCTCACCGTGGGGAATCTTCTCTTTATGACTGGGAGTCACACAGTCCATATCGACTTCTTTCCGCAAGACATGGTCGATGTCAACTGCCGAGAAATATGCGCATGATTGGGGCAGTTCGTTGATTCCCATCTGTTGGGAGAACATGGCGCGAGTCCACACGTTGGCGACTTGCAACGCCATAGCTGCGCGGTACTTGTCTTCGTCCTTGACAAGATACCGAATCTCGTCGTGCACAGTGAGGGCCAGACGAGCATTGATATTGAAGCGACGGGTGAGATGGTCCATACTCACAATGAGGAGGTGCAGGTAATCAACACCAGAGGACTGAATGGCCCAATTGATTCTGGATGTCATGAAACCGCCTTTGCTAAGATAGCGACGCATCAGAGCCTCGGTTATGCCAGCGCCCAAGACGGGCGTGCGAGGTCGTTCTTGCTCGGCGAAATCTTCCAGCTTGTTGAAGACAAATGACTCTGTTCCCCCTCTCCAGAATGGCCGTTCGTGTAGTTGCTTCCTGGTCGTTTTCTTGCCTTTCGTTTCGGTGTACAAATCTTGCGCCGTCTTTGACGTTTGTGAATCGGTAAGCGATGGGTTGAACTGGCGGAGAAGCGTCGCCGCGAATTTCAGCCCTGCCCCATATATGCGGCCGTAGTTGAATACTTTGGCGTCATTTCTCGATATACCGAGGATGCTCGCTGTGCGCGAATGCAAATCGGTCCCAGCGGCCTTCGTACCTTCCAGCGTCATGAAGCCGATAGCATTACCCCCATGGAGCTTGAAGGTAGCATCCCCTACAAGACTGGCAATCCAAAGCTCTTGAGAGTCCACATCCGCCCCCACAAAGCAGTATCCGGCCGGTGCTCGCACCATGGACTTGAGCTCTGAACCGACGCGATTCGCTTTCGCATTACTAGCTGTGAGCCATGTGTTTTCCACAGCTCTGCGGGTGATGGTTCCCATAGGAATGATCTGAGGCAAGATGAAGCCGACCTTTTTCCCTCTTCCCTTTCCAGAAGCAGACACGAGGTTGCTCTCCTTAGAGACCTCTTTATCATAGACGACAATTTGAGACATGATCCTGTCCCTTGCGCTGATCCAATACGAACAGGAGGCGTTCATCTCCAGAGCCTCCTTCGCATATGGGTATTCAGACGTCAGCTTGCCCTTTTCCATATAGGACAGATAACCTTTCGCTAGTGGATTCGTGCACCGTGCCAGTGGGCCGTCCTTGTGTGGGATCTTGTAATATCGATTTCGTTCATCATTGCGAAGCTGCAGGTTTTCCTCCTCGGACATGTCCAATTCTTGTATTCCTTTCTCGTTAAATAGGAAAACTTCATCCATAGGCACCTGATAGGTCCAGCCATGTTTGTCCGACCACACTAGAGGATATCCGTCCCACGATAGTTTCAGCAGTATAGGCGCTAATCTGGTTCGTACAGTTAAATTCATGGGCGCGTCGTTTTTCGAGAACAAATCTTTGTACCATTTAGGCATGCCGGGTTTCTTTTGCCTAGCCGCAGGTCGGGGCGGGTCGTTTTTCTTCTTTCCCTTAACCATCTTGATCTCTTGACCGGACCAGTCCAGCTGGTTCAGCCAGGGATCGTTTAGATAAATCTCCGGCTTATCCTTCACTTCCAAGGCTTGCTCTGCGAGGCTTACCAGGCGTGCACGAACATCACCTTCAAGTTTGCGGTACGTCGCCTCAGCATTCGCAATGTACGCATTCCAAGTCTCATTGACCGGAAGGATTTCCGCAGCCAGAAAACGTAGCGCGGCGAAACTGACCGGATGGGGACATGTCTCCAAGAAAAGCGGAAGCACTTTCTGGTACACGCGATGCGTGATCTCAACGTCGGCAGCACAGTAATCCAGAAGCTCTTCTAGTTTTCCTACGACACCGTCTCTGTCTAGTTCGCCGAAGTATTCGCGTCGAGCCTTGTCGATAGTGATGTTGCAGTGGAACTTGGCAACATCCCGCAGCGAGTTGATGGCACTCCTGCCGATCCACAACTCCTCCTCTTCATCCGGGATGGCCCCTGAATCCAACAGATGCGAAAGCTCGGCATTCTCTTCCGAGGTTGCTATTTTCTCTCTCAATTCTCGACTCTTTCTGTGTTTCATCCACGACGGTCGCTGTCGCGAGCACATGCCGTTTGAAGCCACGTGTAGTGACATGGTATCGATGAACGAGTTTTTCGTCTGCTCGATGTTGTATTCCTCCGCTACACGCGCCCTGTCATAACCGACGTTATGTCCCACTATAATGCGCGGCTGCGATGGGTCACCAAGGGGTATGAGGTGCCGGTCCGTCTTTGACTCTTTCAGCAACCAAGGAGATATCCATGCATACCACGCCGTCGGACTGACAGCACAAGCCATACATGCGAACGAACTCTCCTTCCACATGACCTCGGTGTCGAACGTTAACATCGACTCTTGGGGTGCGTCTATGGCCTCGGTGGTGCCGTCGCTGTTGTATTTGGTCCAACCGCTGCGCGCAACCCATTTCCGAGGCTTAGGAGGTGGATTCGCCCAAGCCAGCTTCTTCGCCATCGAGAGATATGGTTCTGCAGCATCCATGCCCAACTTATAGAAATGTTCGTCCATTGTCGCCCCCTGTAGCGTGGGGAGATCGAAACCCACGGGAGGAGTAGAATCCTGGTTCTTTCCGAGGAGGTCATGGCGAGAGAGATGATCTTTCGATAGTTCTACGAGCTCTGGAGGAGGTGACGTGCTTGCGCCAGGAAAGACTTGCTCGTGGACGTGGGTGCTGAGTTGCTGAACTCCGATCTCGTTGAAGCGAGCTTCTGAAGGTACTTAAGAGAATCAGCCAACTATGCCGCTAGGACAGGATGTGATACGCTTACCAGCGAGACTCCGCTTTCTAGGGCCAACTTCATCGTTGGTGGAGCTTGACGGCGCAGTAGTAGCTAGTGAACGGCGAGGTGCGCTCCATTGCTGAAGGCGTTGCGGACGAACCGCCGGCGTTGCAGCGAGCGCTGACGAGCGACCGCAACGTATTCTCACCGCATTCCGCATGCTGCATTTCGCTCCAACGATGGCGGGGAAGCATTTGAATACGGGCGTGAAGTGATGGTTGCCTCCCAAAACTGCCCCCAGAAATTCTTGGCGCGATCTGATAATCTATAGATTATCGGGCCCTGCATCTCGACTTCCGCCAGCGTGGGTTGTGGCGTGGGCGTGTGCGGGTGCCACCCGGGGATCTTCGCTCATCTCTCAGCATCTTCGTCTGTCCATCAGGAGCCGTCATTATGCACACTCACACTGGGTACTTCGACGAAGGCGATTGCGCTCTCGCTGCCGCTCCCCCGCGGACAATACAATGTCCGGCTCCCAGTCCCCGAACTTTGAGAACATCAGGGCGTACGCGACTCAATCGCCAGATCCCTTCCTCCACCCCACTCCCACATACTCTCCTCTACCTTTTCGGAGCTTCCTCGACGACATACTGAACACCGACCCACCTCCCTTTTCGTACGAAAACTATCTCACCTCGAGAGAACAGCGGCGTCTGTCACCGTACATCTCAGACATGCCTGCGACTCGTGCTGCTGCCCGCCTTCCGAACGGCTACGTTGACCTCACGGACGAACCCGACATGCCTCCGCCTCCAGAGCCGTCCCGCAAACATCCTCGATCAAGCGCTACCCCGGGCCCTTCCGCTAAGCGTCAAAAGCGTCAAGATGGGGCTAGACGAGGTTCTCAGACATCGGTGGCGGCGCAAGCTACAGAGGGACATATAGAAGAGATCGATCTCTCCGACGATAAAGTGGACATCCAACAAATTCTACAGAAACAACGTGTGGACGCGGTAAAGGCGCAACAGAAGCCCGAGGAGATCAAATTCGGAACCTCCAGCTGCGTAATCTGCATGGACACTCCCACGGATATCACAGCTACCTCATGCGGACACCTGTTCTGCCACTCATGCCTGATGGAGGCGCTCATAGCTGGAGAGAGTCGCACGGATCGTGGCGAGCAGAGGCGATCTCAATGCCCGGTGTGCAGAAAGCACATCAATCGGACGAAGCCAGGTGATACCATCTTCCTCAACTTCTGGAAGCTACCCAAGAAGTCGGATAAGGCATGAAGCTGGAGCCATAAATGGAATATCGGCGAAACCACTAACAGGCTTGTCTGTACTACTCGCTATGAGGATCCGTGGGTTTGCGAAACCAGAGAAATTCAAGCCGTGGTGGCTTGGAGAAGAACATGGCACACGGCTTCAAGCTTCCCTCGGTTTGGCATACAGCGTTAAGGTGCGATGATCACGTCTCATCCTAGTATCACCAAGGTGATCAGGGTTCGTTTATATGGGGGAACGAGGTGAAGGCAGCCAGGGTGCTCTCTCAGGGATTCGTGTATTTAATTACACTGGGAATGAAATGACGCATTGAGGGGATAATAAGAAGGCGGCAAATATTGAGAACGCCTCATTGTGGCAGAGGAAACCGCCTGGGCGGATTCATGGCGGCATAGCAAATGGTTCCCAACAACCAACCGGTCAGCGAAGAGCACAGACTTAACTCACATCTGCTCCGTTGTGTTCAGTGGTCCCAACGTATCTACACTTCTTTGGTTCTGTAGCAATGATGGAACCCTTGGAAGAGGGGATAGAGCTACTACAATTCATGACCTAGATATTTCCTTACGGAAGCTGACGCGTGACTGCATCATCTATCCTTGGATTAGGGAGCCGCTTTATTAAGGTTGTTTGGACGTCGCAGCATCTTGAATACTCTGCGAAGCTATTCCAATAGCCAGCGGCTTTCCAGCCGTCGCATCAAGATGAAGATTTGTTGTGCTTTTACTTATACGTTCTGTTACTGCACATCACAGTTTGCTAAGGATCTCCTCACAGAGGGATCGGTTTTCCAACTGTCAGCCTCCTTCGAGCGCGCCTGATCCTTCTTGGCGGAAAGCTTCCTGCCCGTGCGACTCGCCTCATTCCTTGATCTAGACTATAGGAAGGGGAAGGACATCCAGAGACAGGCCAATGCGCCAGCCAAAACGAGAAAGACGGCTGCTTTTACAGACGATCACTCAGCTCGTATTTTCCCAAAGCGACGTCACCCCCTCTCAACAGTGTCGGCCTCACATACCTCATGTGTCTCCAAGTCGCCTCTTTGCGACCAATTCGACGCGATGCTAAGCGCTCGATTGGCTGAGGACGTGAGGCAAGCGCAGCCCAACGCGTACGCCGCTTGAAGCTGTGCCTCTGCTCAGCCACACGCGCGCTCCAGATGTCACCGAATGAGACATGGCTTCGGTTTCTTCGCATGGACTAACCGCTGCTGGGGCCTCCAACGGCGCAAAAGGAGTGTTGGTAAAGGAGGAGGCAGGAGGATTCCTTTGTTTGCTTCATTCTGTCGTTTCGCTGCTTTCATTTAAGGTTTCTTAGATTCCCAATCTCGATCATTCTTCCTGTCGTTATCGCATTTTTATATTCATAATGTCTTCTTTTTGGGAGACGGTGCTTGATTGTAAGAAGAGCAATTCAAGTCGCGATTGTCCTTTACCAGCGCTGGTGGACGACATCGCGAAGCGCGACCCTCGTCGGGTCTGCCTGTCGTTTCCACGCTCGAGGAACTTCGCTGAGGGATTTCAAGATATAACCTTTCATACCGTAAGCCCAGTACTCACTGAAACACGTAGACGATAGGTAGTTGACGATTGTAAAGTTTGCCAATGCCATCAATAAAACCGCTCACTACTTGCAACGAGAAATTGGCCGGAGTTCCATGTTCGAGACTGTCTTTTACATGGGCTACCCAGACGTGAGACACTACATTGTGCTTATCGCTTTGTGAGTAGTTTGCTTCAACCGCTGTACAGCGCTGACCGAGGGACAGAATGAAAACTGGGCATAAGGTTGGTTGCAACATTTATAGCCATCAATGGCTGCAATGCTGATCACGCACAGGTCCTGTTCCATAGACAGCATGAATCGCTAGCCATGGAGATAGAGCTGATAAAACGGACGGATTGTAGCATCCTTCTCTTTACACCTGGAGCGCCAATTGAAAGGATACTCCAACACTGCCGTCTCGAGAGCATATGTATGCTTGAACTCGAATATCTGCTCGATGACAGCAGAACATGTGCCCCATATCCGTATATGGCCACTCTCGATCAAGCCAGACTTCATCCATGCGTAGTCACACACATACCATCCTCGACAGGACGACCGAAGCCCATAATATGGACGCACGGAGCGCTTTGGGACGCCCAGCAATGGCCTCACCCAGCCAGCACCCTCCGTCACGATAGTCTGTTCGATACATTAGCTCATCAGCCATTGAGACTCTTTAGCACTTGCTCGCGCTTCGATGGGCCAGAGATTTTTCGGAGTCTCAAGCAAGCACTCTGCCAAAACACCACGATCGTAATCCCACGTCCGTATTCAACCTCGGTTGACGAAGTGCACGAAGTCCTGCGATATGGCAATATTGATGTTTTGGAATGTACATCTGGCACATTGGATAAGATAACTACGAGACTCGATATCTTGGAAAGACTTCGAAAGCTCCAGAATGTGACATGCATCGGCGGTGGGTCTTGCGCGGTAGCTCCAATGGCTAAAACAATGTTAACAAGTCGCAGGGAAACTCTCGTCTCAAGCGCTGTTTATTCTATCGCATTACGTTCAAGTACACATACCTAGAGCGAGAACAGAGCCGAGCACGCCTCTTCCTTGCAGGGCAAGCCTGTCAACCCGGCGGTGAGCTCTTTCCAATAAGCCTACAATTATTGCATCGACGCTGCTCTCGCAAAGTCAATCCGCGACATTGGATAAATTGCTATTCAACAAGATGTCGGTGAGACGGTCCCCGTCCCAACTACATCTGACCATTCAAAACAGCCCGATTGGCGAGTCGGGCGTACTTACATTGTAGAGATTGGTAATCCTCGCGAGAATACCTTCGGCAGTAATGCGTTGTAGGTTTCTACACCATCCCCGCAATTGTTGCGCCGCCGCCGGTTACACCAACTGAACACGTTTCGCGCCTGCAGCCCCGTCGATTGGGTTCCTGGCTGAGGCTGGCTCACTCCACCTCGTGTCCCTGCCAATGCACTGTCAGGTTCCACTATCCGCTCCCCCCTCTCATTGGTCTCTCCAACGCGCAAAACTCCGTTTGGTGTTTGTTGTTTTGTCATCAATCTTTTTCGAAGACGGCGACCGGGGCATTAGGATTTCCCGATTCGGCAATCTGCTTAGGAAACACGACCCGCGACACGAAGTTTGAGCGCGTGAAGCTTCGCGGACGAAAAAATCGAAGATTCCAGTTGCTGCCTGCAGGTGGACGGACGACCGTGGGCGATGCCTTGCATGCCCTATGATTTCGGCTGCTAGTCGGCCGCTAAGGCGCGGAGTACGAGGCACACGAAGCCACACGTGTGAAACCTCACACCGCTTAGGTCATTCCAACATCTTATTATCTATAAGAAGAGGAGGGGTCGCCGCCATGTCTTCCACAAGAGACCAGCTCGACAGCCTTGATTTTCTCCAACACTGTTAAAATCCACCCACCAACCCCCTTCGCTCCAGCAACCTTGATACCCCCCTAAAAACACATCAACACACTTCCAACAATGCCATCCCTCTACACGCTAGCCGTCCCCGCCATTCTCCGCGGCGTCAAAAACGCCGCCGCATTCCTTGCCTACGCCGAGAACTACGCCAAACAGAACAACATCGACCCGGAGGAATACCTCAGCGCATCCCTCTACCCGGACATGCGAGACTTCCGCTTCCAGATCTACCGCATCGCCGACTTCGCGAAGTACACGGCTACGCGCGTGGCCAAGGACGTCGATTCCTTCTCGCAGCCCGACACGGAGCAGACCTTCCCCGAGCTGATAGCCAAGCTGCAAGCTGTGATTGCCTTCCTGGAGGGCGTGAAAGAGGAGCAGTTTGAGGGCCAGGACGACAAGGAGATTGTCGTGCATGTGGGATCGGAACGGAATTTGGAGATTAAGTTGAGTGCTGGTAAGTCTTATGGATATGCTTCAATGTGCGGATGGTGGATACTGATGGCTGGATAACAGTCGATTACATCAATTACTACAACAGCCCCAATTTCTGGTTCCACCTTACTACGGCTTACGATATTTTGCGCCACAAGGGCGTCGATGTTGGCAAGGGTCACTTCCTTAACGCTTCTGGGGAAACGAAAATCACCGTTCTGCAGAAGTAGGGATGAAGGCGGGGATTGCGGAGCAGCGGGTCCGATAGGAAGTAGAGACGTTTCCAGAAAGGTACACACTTGTTGCCTTTGGATCCGCTTAAATATTCCTGAACAGCCAATTCTGATGTATATAATGCGTCGATTCGCAGAGCCATCGTGTGAATGTTCAGCTGGTTCCATCCTGCTTGACCCATTGACGAGGGTTATATTCTATAATCGTGACTTCCATCAGTTGATCAAGGCCGGTGAATCAGATATCACGTGACGATTATAAATCTCATCGAGTGGACACAAAGGTGGGCATGGAACAAGTACTGTGTATACTATCGGTTGGCCCAGCCTACCCTTGTGTACAAGCTCAGGAATAGTCCTGGTCATCCTCGTCCGACTGGTCGGCTTATCCAGCGGCATAAGTAACGTACTCTCTTCCATGTCTTGAACGCCCGGCCATGCATGGCTGGCTGATACGGAAAAGGGAGAAGGCCGCGGGTACGAGCTTGGTACCGTTGTGCGGCCCATACAACGTACCGTGCTTGTTTCTATTTGCCTGCGAGATGGCAGTGGGGATAACCGTATGAAGCATGATGGGTCGTGGCCGGCGCTTCAGAGACTGCAATCGTCATGCTTGTTTGGGATCACCAGCACCTTGGGCAATCGTCAAGCAATCAAAATCTCCCCACCCATCTTCTTTACCTCTGTAACCCAACAAAGCGCACCCTCCTCTTTGAACCTCCACACCGCTTCCAGCACCCGCTTCACCGTATGTACATAGCCCCAGTGCATCTGCGCATAGAACGTATCCAGCGATCCCATGATCCAGGCGCGCTCGTCAGGGTCCTCAGACTCAGCACCCGCGAGGAAAAGCGGCCAAGTGATGGATTTGTACAGCGTGTCGCTGGGCGAGAGTTGAGAGAGATGCTGCACGACGTCATTGGCCAGGCCTGTCAAACTCACGACGGCAGTGCCGCCGGACGGGTCGAGAAGTGGATTCGTGATAGGTATGAACCTGACAAGGTAGATGCACACGGCAGAACGAAGTGCGGACACGATATGGAAACGCTTGCTAAGATCCTCGAATGGCGAAGCCGGCTTAAACTGTTGCAGCCAGGCTGCAGGGTCGAAAGACAGGGTCATCTCAATCAGTTCCTTCAGCTTGAGCTCGTGTTGGACGGTCAGGGATTCCTCGCTATCGATTGAGTCGGAGAGATTGAAGGAGCCGAGCATGATACGTAGAAGCGGAGCCGGACAGGAGAGATAGTTGTTGGTTTCGGCGTATTGGAGAATGGGCTCTATGTCTACGGTATCGGGAAAGAGCTTCGCGCTAGACGAAAAGCGGAAAGTTGATCCGAGTACGGAGAAGCTAATAGGCTTGTTAGAGAAGAATATGTGAAATAAAGTAGCCATGATACTCACACTAAGTAGTCAGAGAGAAGATAGATACGGAGATGGCTCATGGACTTGCCCGGCAGGATATACGGTGGGGTGCCAAGAAGGCTGACAAGTTTCTGAGCGCCTTCGAGATGAGGCTTCCATTGCTCCTTTCCAGACTCGATGAGGTCGTAGTTGACGAAAAGCAGAATCGCGGCAAGGACTAGGTCAAAGTTGATCGGGCTAACAGTTGCAAGGAATTGCGCCAATGACCCAAGAGCCTTCTGCTTTGCCACAAGAGCGTCGCGATAGAACTTCTGGTTGGGTGCATTACGCCATATAAGTTCTGCGTTGTTGTGTCCCTCTTCCTCCTGGATATGGATGGGACCTTTCGAAATATTGAACACATGGAAGGCTGAATTGGCAATCATGATATGCAGCAAGAAAGGGAAAGACGAGGTCGCTGGAACTAACTCCCGCATCGGATTCTTCCCTGGACCATCGTAAGCCACCATGTCTGCGCACAGTTTGGTTGCAAAGTGGACGAGGTAATCGCGATAGCGTTCATCAAGGTGCGCAGTGAGTGGTTCTGCCAGCGCCCTTGCGATTTCCCTCGCTGCCGGATCCTTGTAGATGGCGACTGGAGCAATTGAACGGTCAACTCCTGGCGATGCCAAACCTGCTTGAGAGGCGACGACGACTCCGGACTGGTTTATGACCGATGGCTCTGATGTTGGGTGGCTTCCTGAATGGGATCCTGCTTCCCTCTCTTTTGACAGTTTCCTCGTCCCATCCAACGGCTCGGTATCCGCAAATGACTTGCCCATCATTTTTCCCCTGCTAGCCACACCCTGATTCCAGATGAAGAGCTTCCCATATCCGAGGCACTCGGAGCCCGTCGAGAGGCACTTTTGACAGGTCGGAAGGGAACGATCGCACTTCCATCTTTTTCTCCGGCAGTTATGGCACGCTTTGTTAGGCAGCGAGAGGCCTGATGAGAGCATGAGATGAAGATTAATGCAGGCGATGTTGTTCAGTGACTAGAAGCGGACATAGTGCCTTATGGCGACATATTCAGCTGTTCCACGTCTGTGTGGATCAGTTACGGAAGATTGGGCCAGATGTCGCCATGACTAATGAGACTGGAACTGTTGGGTAGGATCTATAGCTGCGTCGTGGTTTGGTGCAGGAGGGAAGCAGTTGTCAGAGGTCCGACGACGTCAGGATGGCGGGCCCCGATGTGGTTTAGCCTGGACAATGCCAAGTGGACCTTTACTCAAAGAGGCAGCCAAGGTGCTAGCGTCTTCTCCGTCCATTCCCCGCGACGTTAACTGCACTTTGTTACTCACAGAAACCGACGATTCTAACAGATTCTATTAGTCAACAAGTCGACTGTATTTGTAGTCGCGATGAACCTGGAAACCTCCCGCCGGCAGCGCCACCTGCATGCATATAGCAGACCGTTTCCCGCCATGGAAGAAGTACTCTTCATCCGCCATTCCGTCATTGAACACACCGCCTCCGCGGACCCTCTATAACTTTCACTTGCTTGCAGAGCTTTATAATTTTGCTTGCCAATAATCAAGCCTTGTTTAACTTCACTTGCCTACCAAACCTCTTATAACTGCATCTATATAACCTCACTTGCCTATCAAGCGTAGCCTTATTCTCTCTCGATCGCTACTTTTGGGGTTCTGACTCCTTCGATGACCGACTCAGATGTGGAGGGGGGACGGAGCCCTAGGGGCATGTATACGCCCTCTGAGATTGAAAGACTAGGAAGAGAACGCCCAGATGCGTTCAAAACAATATGGGTCGAGCTAGGGTTCTGCTTCTCCCTCCTTGGTTCCATGTTCATCGCTGAATATCTCGCCTCGGGCTTCAATATTCTGTTACCGCCTGTCAACCATGAGCTCAACATGCCGAAGAACGCTGCCACATGGCCCGCCAGCGTGTTTGCTTTGGTCACCGGAGCATTCCTTCTACCATTTGGGCGACTTGCAGACATGTATGGAGGATACATTGTCTTCAACGCTGGCCTGGTATGGCTGCTGCTTTGGTCGATAATCGGAGGGTTCAGCCAGAATTATATCATGCTCATCTTCTGCCGAGCATTGCAGGGCCTTGGTTCTGCAGCATTCTTGCCCTCGGGCATTATGCTTCTGGGGAGTCTGGTAAGTCGTATAATTCCTGGCAGAGCTCTTCCAGCATTGCTAATCATCATCTACATGCAAGTACCGTCCTGGACCTCGAAAGAATCTTGTCTTTTCACTTTATGGTGCCTTAGCTCCCATTGGATTCTTTGCAGGAATCTTTTTTGCCGGCGTGTCTGCCCAATTTCTAGTCTGGGGATGGTTCTTCTGGCTGGCTTCTATCATCCTGGCAGTCATCATTGGTGCATCTTTTTTCTCTATCCCATTCGACCGGAAAGCCAAACAAGGCAACGGCATCAAGATGGATTGGTGGGGCACCGCGACTATCGTTCCGGCATTGATCCTCATTGTCTATGGCTTGACCGATGGATCTCATGCTCCTAACGGATGGGCTACCCCCTACATTCCGGTGACTTTTGTCCTGGGCTGGATATTTGCGGGATGCTTCGTTTATGTTGAAGGTTGGGTTGCTGAACAGCCGCTTCTTCCCGGGGATATGTTTAATGTCAAAGGACTGAAAGCGATGGTCGTGGCTCTCTTCTTCCAATACGGGACTTTCGGTATCTTTCTGTTCTATGCCAGCTTCTACAGCCAGGACATCCTAGGCGCATCGGCAATTCTAACGAGCGCATGGTTTGCCCCAATGTGTGTCGGAGGCATTGTCTTGGCCACCGTTGGAGGTTTGGTTCTGCACCTCTTGCCTGGAAGGATGTCAGTATGTCCTTCCCATACACACATTCAACGCACTACTAACCTGCATCTAGTCTTCTCATCATCAGCGGCACATGCTACATATTTTGCACCCTTCTATTCGCCATCATTCCCCAGAACCCAAACTACTGGGCCTACATCTTCCCCGCCATGCTCTGCGCAACCCTTGGTATCGATATCACGTACAACGTCACCAACATTTTCATCACGACCAGCATGCCACGAGCTCGCCAGGGCCTCGCAGGGGCGCTCATCAACAGCTTATTGTTCCTCGGTATCTCATTTTTCCTGGGATTCGCTGACCTTGCTGTCTCCCAGACGGAAGACCAGGGTATGAGGAAGAGCTACAAGGTTGCCTTCTGGATGGGTACCGCATGCGCGGCGTTTGGGCTTATCGTCATGGCCACGGTGCCGTTAGGAAAGGCGGCTAGTGGGTTGACGGCGGATGAGAAGGCGGAGTTAGAGAGGGAGTTGACGAGGAGGGAATCGAAAAACTGAGAGGTATCATTTACATTATGATGATAACGGCCGTGAGATTATACCTGTGCGCTTATAGCGCTATGAATATTAGAGACGATATCATAGAATAATATCTTTCCCGCATCTCACCACACGTTCTCTTGCTCGCTTACGATTGCCACACCATCTTTCATCTCTGAAACCATGCGATCAGCAAGACCAGATCTCACCCGTCATTCTGTCATGCGCTATTTCGCCACCCGCAGTTTCTTTCTCTCCGGCTTCTTATCCTCTTCCTTGTCTTCCTCAATCCTCCTCCTCTTCCCCGTCACACCCCTCGGCCTAACGCTCCCATCTGCGGGAGTCGTATACTTCGACAGATCTTTCCGTGCAGTGCCATCCCTAACAGCAGCATCGTCGGCCACAAGTCGTTTACGAAGCGTTTCGGCGTTACCACTACGCTTCAAGCCGCGAATGCGACACAGTCGAAGGAGCTCACTGTACTCCACGTTGTCGTATGGGGTAGTACTCTTGGACGGCTGTGACAGAGCCCAGATTAGGATGGAGGGTCCAGCGGGTGCATGGTTGGGCGCGTTTTCTCGAGGGTGGGCAGCGACCTTGGTTGGAGGTCTGGCAGTGGCTAACGGTGGAGTTGGTACGGACACGTTGTCCGCGGACTCTGATGAGGACGAAGGAAATGAGGATGGTGGATCCGTCATTGAGGACTGCGTACTGGATGGAGATTCAGCGATCGCTTCGAGATCTTGGGGTTCCGCTTTATCCTTCATTCCAATAGGCTTCTTGTTCTTTCCAGGAGTGTCGGGTCGGGACTTCTCAACCACTGAGTAACGCCCCTGAGTCGCATCCCCAGCTCCTCCGCTTTTACACTCTGCCCTACAACTTTCCCCTCCCTCCATTGACTCCGCGACTCCATCGCTTCCCTCCGCGTTAGCAGCAGTATTGCCCGTAGACCATTCGCTATCCCGCCTTCGCACGAGCGGATTCCCATCATCATCAATCCTGCCCGCCTCCCAGTCCTCCAACCACTTCTTCAGTGCAACATCCTTCCGATGCTGGATTCTCTGGGCTCTTTCATAAGGCATGATATCATACTCCGTCACCTTCTTGCTTGGGTCGAGATACTGCTCTTCCCAGATCGAGCCATTAACGGCGCCCTTCTCATGCCAGGGCACACTGAGCTTTGCTGCTTGGGAAGCGGAGATGACGCCCGCGGCGAAGAGTGAGTCGGCGTGAGTCTTCATCATCTTTGATTCCTCTGCGAAACGGGAGTCGCCCCATGCGTTGCGGGATGTCGTGTCTTCGACGGTGTCGGGGTTATCTGTTGGCTTGGTTTTGGGGGGATCTGAGCGGCAGGTGGAATCTGGAAGTGGAAATAGGGGTGCAAGAGCTGGGGATACTTGGTCGGAATTGGTATTTCGCGGAGTACTCCCTCTTCTTGAAGGGCAGGCAGAAACATCGCCAGACCTTATAGCGGGGCCATTATTTGGAGAACTGAGCTTGCTGGCATCCAGAGTTGCTTGGACCAGCTGCGTATCTGCGAGATTCAGAGCACTGATATTGTGGTCATGGTCTTTATCAGCTGTTGACATTTGGGTTCGCGGCGCGACACTGTGGCTCCGAGACCTTGTCATCATGGGTTCCGTGGTAGGTGCCGTGCCTTCGCTGGCGGAAGTTTTGCGTTGACCAGGTATTTTCGTTGCTGATCGAGCGCTGTGAGCTTATGCGTCACAGTTCGCCAGTGCAGGTAGACGCTCGAGAATGACTTCGATTAGAATGCGTAGTCACTTTGGTCGTAGTGAGGTGACGATGCGATCGCGAAATACGGGGAGTGCTTGCTTGCTCAGATAAATGGTTTGCTCCGCGTCAAAGAAATGAGACAACAGATAGTACTCTCTTTTGCTCAAGACAGTGCGACAAATCTCAGCACGGAGCACAAATTACTATCCGTGCGAGAAAGACAAGATGTCAATTGAGCTTAGGAGTGATGGACTGAAGGAGTGGAAGTAGCCAGGTAAGGCAGCGGGTGTTGTTGGTCTATGGCTGCCTGTGGCAGGAAAGACAATAGAGGAGAGACTATGGAGACGACATTTGTGAACGAGCGGGAGCCTAGAGTAACATGTGTCATATCTCAATAATTAGCGCAGTGAAAGAGGTCCTCGGATTCACTCACTCGGGGGTACGCTTGGTTTGGGAGTCTGGTGAAAGACGCCTTGTGACCGACCCATGTCAGTGCATCACCACACCCTTTCACAACAGTATCATCATGGGGCATTGGGCTAGCGATAAGTTTTATTGGGTTATATATTCTTGACAACAATTAAAAGCTAAAATCGTAGTTTGTCATAGAGTCTTTATTGGGAGCTAGCGCCGCGCGTGTAATAAATAATGGATGACTGCTATGTATTACGACGCCTTTCACCACCCCGTGACAGTTGCCCTGGGACAAACAATTGCACTTAGCATTACCAGTTCTGGGCTGCCCTGAACTCAAGCAGATGCCCTCAGTCTCGTCTGGATGGTAAGAAGAGGCTGAAGAGCAGGCTATCCGCAAGTGCTTGGTCGTGCTATAGTACAGATTAGAGGTTAAGAGCAGAAGCATGATGTAACCAGAAGTCTCCCAATCCCAAAGATATTTATACAACCGAAGCCGTCAATCCAGATTATTCCACATAAATATGTGCGAACTTGAAGAACAGAGCAGTCACCCAGCATTCTAACGGCGTTACGCTCTGGATAAGGATAAGATATTCTGTCGCAGTAAATCAGAGAAACGGCATGCCTAGTGAACGTTTATCAAGATTTCACCTCACGCGCAAAACGTAGATCGCATTGATCAAGCGGGTAGGGGATATCTTACCCCGTTGGCATTCCACGACGCGTTGTGAAGATCTTTCGACGCTCGTATGTTCGGCCTCGCAAGGGTCTTTGCAAGAAAACTGACCAGATTAAGCTGTTCGAAAAACAAGCTCGTAGACTTGCCACCTCAAGATTGTAGAAATGTGCCGTATTCTGCTGTCCGCCTTTGAGACCCAACACTCACATTTCTTCTAAATCAATCAGAGCTGCGTTATTCAAGGGCCTACACGAGGCAGCATTCAGCATTCCACTTGTATGCGAACAATCCCAAGTGACACTCATCAACTTCGTAAGACAAAACTAAACCTTTCTCTTCTTAGTTAGGTCTAATCACAGATTTTTGACCGGCAGAATTCTACCGGTTGTGCAGGCGTCGGCTCAGTAAGCCGATCCTTAGGTTGAGGACAAGTGCGTCTACAAAGCTTTGTGTCATCTGTATAGAGCACAAACAACCCGAACCATGATGCATACTGGGTTTGCTCAAATTTTGGAAATGAAGATTTGATTCTCAATTGCTTGCCATTCCTATGGTCATGGCGCCTGCTCCGTCACAAGCGATTATCCTACCGTAAGGTTTTGGTTTCTAGCACGTCCAAGCACATGTCTCTGCCAAAGATCCCTTCACATATTCTCCAATAAAGATATCAACACAACACAAACAATTTGAACCTCCCCTTGACTCAGGAAAGCACTGCGTCGCCATGTCTCACTTTCACACAACCGTGCCGATGCGCGGACCGAAAATCGCATTCACAAGCCCCTTCAGACTTGGATGAAGGGATAATGTCGCAAGAAAAGCATCAACAGTTTGGTTCCTGTTCCCTTCCCAGCTTGAGCTGGCACTTGCAAGCTTGGCTCAAAGAGCAACTACCCAACTGGGCACAAACTATGGGAACAGAGCTGTTGAAAAAAAATATGGGAGGTATGCATCAGCGACGCCTTTATGCCTAGCAAATCAATTCGTGAGCGCAGTTCGAGAGTTTTGAGTGAGTTTGTCAATTCAATATTGGCCGTCCAAGGATAGAACTGAACTTGCTACACGGTTCTGTGCAGTCACAAATATAGTCCAACACAGCGGGGCCAATGGTTTTGACATCTAGTGCAGGGCCACGAGACGGTGCTGATGGTCGATCATGTTATTGAGCCGCACAAGTTGACATGGACAATCACTCCAGAATGAGACAGGCAAATAATCGCCGCAACTCATGTGATCAACTTCAAATCGAGGGACAGCTAAAGTTTGGCCACGTGCTGCCGCCCCAATTCTCATGGGGACCGTCCTGATGCGCGAGCAAGCTGAAACGGGTATCAAGCGGAGTCTCGATTAACGCAAAGTACTCAGAATCAAATAACGCTTGAGTAAAACACACAATCACAGTGATTGCCAATGCGTTTTACATCTCGGAGCATTACCTAGGTTATATAAGAGCGCCTCTGCCCTTTTGAATTTTCTCTTCAATAACAACCGTCCACATTCACGCACATCAATTCAACAGCTTCCAAGTCCCCGTCACTACTGTCTACGTTCACATCCGTTCCACGGCCAAGTCGTCATTATGGGCTTGAAGCCGGCCTTTGAAAGAGATATTCGGCGCAAGCTCAAGGAGAACGATTCTGACGAACCTTGTTGGCGATGCGGAGATGCTGGTCACTTATTCCGCGACTGTAACTTTCCGGCGCATAAATGTTGGCAGCAAGGTCCTGGTGCTCGTGAACTGGCACAGTGGAGCGATGATCTGGAGGAGGATAGGAATGTTGCAGAGGCAAAGTATCAGGAAGAGCTGGCAAAGTTGAAGGCGAGAGAGGATGCAAGACCGACGAAATCTCAAGCTCCAGCAGCTACGGCCACACCTCAACAAGCGATGGCGCCTTCGAATGTCAAGCAACAACCTGGCCGTGCTCCAATCATAGTTCCCCAAGCTCCGGCAAAAGGAAATGCAACATCGGGTGGAGTGGGAGAAAAGAAGAAATTGGATACGCCAAACCTCGGGGCCATCAACCCAATTCAATACAGATTACCCAAGCCTTCACCGGATCCGCCGGGCAACGAAAACAGGGTGTACCGCATAAATGCTGATCACCTCGGTAGAAAGGATCCCCGTCTTCCTAAAGGCCATATCAAAGTTGTCACCAACTATGTGAAGGTAACAAAAGTTCCGGACTCTCTCTATGCATACAGCCTCAAGTTTTGGAGGCCGCACCCAACTAATCCGGCAGAGCAACTCCCATTCAACAGACGCCGCGAAGTCCAAAGTGCCTTCAAAGCTATCCTCAGCTCTGGTCAATGGGCCCTGCGTACTAAGATCTGGGCCACTGATTACAAAGATCTCTGGACTGAGCTTAACATATCCGAAGGAACCAGGTACGGTCCTTTCCAATGGTCGCCGCCCAACAAAGCGCAAATCGATGACTTGTTCTTGACATTCAACTCGAAGCGGGAATTGCGAGGCATACAACGTGCCTTCGAGCAGAAACCGGCCCATGAACTGTCCGAGGAGGCGCGCGCCCTCAATGCCATCATTGCTCGATCGGTCCAGAACCTGGGCAACAATCGGATCAACCAAGTCGGAGCCAACAAATTCTTCCTCAGAGACGCATATAAGGCACTGTCCAGTTCTGGTGATGGAGTTTGGCTTCATCGCGGATATTTCAGTTCCATTCGACCCAGCAAGATCGGAGCCTTGCTCAATGTGAACACTGCCACCTCCGCCTTTTTACCTTGCATGAAGCTATCGGACTTTGTCGAAAGAGTGGGGAATATCGCTTATGCTGCGAGGCTTCTGAGAGGCTGTACGGTGCGGATTATGTACGAAAGGCAGCTTCATGAAGGGGGCGCTCCAATGAATGATGAGGAGAACCGTCGAAAGACATTTCAGGGTTTTGGGTTCAAAGCGGAAAAGCAGAAGTTCTACAGGTTTCTCAAGCCCGACGACAGCGATTCCAAGAAGAGACAACAGAAGAAGACGGAAACCAAGGGTCAGTCCAAGGGTGATAAACGTCAGACCGATCCCGCCGACAAGGGTACAACCGTCTTCCAATACATCAGTGAGCTTGAGGGTCAAGTCAGGTCATTGGCGAACAGGGATGTTCTATGCGTCAATGTGGGGAAAAGAGTGAGGACACTGAAGCGCGCAAACGAAAGCGATGACAATCTCATGCGCGAACAGTGCGTGGAAGGTGCAACCTGGATTCCAGCGAACTTGTTGGAGATTTGTCCTGACCAGCAAGTGAAAGCTGTCCTCGATTCTACCCACGCAAGGACGATGATCAATGAGGCCTGCCGTAAGCCTGTGAGGAATGAGATGTTTATTGATTGCGAGGGCCTGCCATTGTTGGGCATAAAGGGTGCGCAATCTCAACTGGTACGTCTACGACGCTATAGATCGGCATTCCAACCACTAACTAGGCCTTAGAAACCGATGAACATGAGCATGGGTCAAAAGCTGATTTCCATTGATGCTCAAATACTGGAGCTTCCTCGAATCTCGAGTACCGCGCCCAATTCAATCGTGCCCACCAATGCACAGTGGAATCTTAAGCAAAATTTCCAGTTCTCGCGGCGCGGGCACATTGAGAAACTCCATATCTTCGGTCGTGGTCTGAATGAAGCGGGGTCGAATAGGTTGTTCGGCATCCTTCGCGATCTGATCGAGCAGGCCGATGTCCATATGAGCCTCAATCTGATGGAGAAGTTCAACGACAGTCAGATGTATGTTGAAAATGCGGCAGAGTTAGAAAAAGCAAACCATAGGGCGCGAAACCGGCAGAATAAACAAGGCAGCAACCGACACGGCGGATATTCACACTCTGATCGTGCATCACAATCTGAACAAGGCTACGAGTCTGCCGAATCTTCCACGGACGCAATGCTGGTTGCTAAATTGGAGGATTGGTTCCAGCACACTGGGGCGAAGGATATCACCATCACCGTTCTAGCGGGAGACACTGACAATGATTACGCTACGATCAAGAGAATTGCCGACCTTGAATATGGACGACACGTTCTATGCATGCAGATGTACAAGTTGAACAAACAACAAGGCACTGGTCGGAAACAATACTTTTCCAACGTGGTGATGAAGCTCAACATAAAAGCGGGAGGCATCAACTATGCACTCAACTTTGACAATCTCGCCTACAAACACAAAACCATCATTATGGGTGCCGATGTCACTCATCCAGGCGTCGGGCAATGTGCTGGGTTTCCTAGCATTGCCTGTGTGGTTGGAAGCGTTGACGATATGTTCATGAATTATCCCGGATCCATGCGTCTGCAAGCTGGTCGCCAGGAGGTAAGTGATTGTGAGCAATTCGGAGTGGGGTACTTGGAATCTAACTTTTCCGGCAGGAAATTACAGATCTGGGCTCGATGGTCACGGAGCGCCTTAAAGCATGGCAGAAGAAGCAGGGCGGGAGAGTTCCAGAACACATCATCTTCTACCGTGACGGCATCAGCGAATCACAATTCGAAGCCTGCCTTCGGAAGGAGATCCCCGCGATCAGAAATGCGCATAGAGAATTCGCCACAAATGTACCAGGTCGGAACAACCTCAAACTTACATTCATCGTCGTTGGAAAGCGCCACAACACACGGTTCTACGCCCTGGACACGGCGGACGTCACCTCGATCAACTACGAGGAGGAAGGCAAATCAAACCTGAATGTCAGGGCCGGTCTCTACGTTGACGACTTCATTACGGACCCCATTGTCAAGAAATCTGAGGGCGGCACCACGGAATTCGATTTTTACCTGCAATCCCACCAAGCCATCAAGGGCACTGCGCGTTCGGCCCACTACCATGTCCTCACGAACGATATAGGCCTGTCCAAAGCCAGCTTAGCTGACCTTACGCACAAGCTATGCTACGCCTTCAGTCGAGCCACAAAAGGTGTCTCTTACGCCGCTCCAGCATATATCGCAGACCGCCTCTGCGAACGCGGCCGGGTATACCTGAGGCATTGGAATCCATCACTGGCATACTTCAAGCCCGTGCTCAACGGCCAGCCCTGCAAGACCCACGACGAGACCATGGAATGGAAGCGGCAGATGGCAAGGAGCCTGGCTCGAAGTCACCACTGGGGTAAATACGATGAGTCGCGCCAGCGCTATAACCCCTGGCACCCTGACCTCGACGACACTATGTTTTGGATGTGAGAGACCGCGGTTGGCCGGTGGCCGTGTTGACCTCTAATGAAGTGAGGATATTCCGATGGTTCTTGCCAACAAATATCGATTGACTTCATTCCTTTTCATCATTTTCCAGCGTAAGATTTTTGACTTGACGCTCATAGACTGGCTTTCCTTTTTACCGGGCATTTCTTCTGGCCCATTGTATCATCCTACCTTATCTCCTTTGATAGACAGTTGAGGGGAGTTCATCATTGTGCATTCAAGAGTCTAGAAATAGTTTGATTTTCTTTTCCACAAATTTCCTTTGCCTAGATAAACGTTATCCCGGTTCATCACTTCTCCAGTTCGGTCCACATAGACCAATCACCAATAGACCCGTTTCATAGTTTAATTTCCATATACATGTCACACTCGATACTCCACCAGTTGCCCATATACTCCGCAAGTGAGGATACCTACCCACAAGCCCACCGCATGCCCACTGTTAACGATTGCATTTGCTAGGTGCCCCCTTCCCTAGTCTTCCGCCGTGTCTCCTTCCCCCATTTCCCTCCCTGTCTTTACTTTCCATGAATAGAATGAGAAACACGTGTTACACACTCTCTCCTCCCCTCCACCCCTACTCCCCCTCGTCCCGCCAGCTCATCTCAATTTGGCATCAAACACTCCATACATTCAAATCCCTGCCTTGTGCTGATATATCTCAGCGCGCCCCCGCAAACCCAACACTCCCCCAGATACGCAGAAGTGTCATCCTCGTCGTCATCATCGCCTATGCTATCGTTAATCCCCTGCTGCTTCCGCGCAGCACCGTCTTTACCGTACGAACCTCCCTCAGCATACGAGAATGTATTCCGGGCAGAAGCTCGGGGAGTTTGATTTTGTTTGCTGTGTCTAGTCGCCGCTTCACGCTTGTTGGAGGGGTTTCTCGTTGGCGCCATTGTTAAGGCGTTTCCTGGTGGGGTTGGGATATTGGTATTGCAGGGAGGTTGTCGGTAGGTTCAGTACTTTGAGGTCCAACGTTCTGTGCGAGGGAGGATATTTAACACCTACGCGTGATGGAACCGCCTGTGAAGCTGAGTTGGTCATTCCCGGTGCTTCCAGCATTAAGTGAGTACAATGCAGCCGTCACTACTACACGAGACCGCGAGACCGCGGTAGGTGAACGAGCAAATCCAAGGCTGTGAGAAGATCGAATTACCAGTGAAGTTGAGTTACCATTCGCCATTCCTGGTGTTTCTAGCATTAAGTGAGTACAATAAAGCCATGCAATCCAGCCGTCCCCGTCACTAGTACACGCAACCGCGAGACGAGGAAGGTGAACGAGGAAACCCAAGCTTGTGAGGATCTAGAAGCTACGGCGACATGAGTGGTGAATTTCCGTTGAAGGATAGCCCTGAGCGAATTCCCACAAGCGTGACAGAGAAGAGAAGACGAGGTTCTTGTTGTATATCACGTACTCCAACAGCCCAACCTTACCGTTGAACTTTGCACTAATACTGGTCTCTGCTGCGCACTCTCCACCCACCGCAACGCCGTGAAGCCCTTGTCAACAATCCCAACCCGCAGACTTCTTGTCCCGCTATCTACACCGCTACGATTGCCACTCACCCTACTCTTCTAGTACAAAGGCAGCACTCATGTCTTGACGGCTCACTCTCCGTATATGATAGTATTGTCTCAAAAGAAGACTTGCCAGGATGTCACCAGCGCTAGAAGACAAGAGCAGAAATCCGAACATGTCCCCCTTTGCAATGCTTTTTCTTCTGGGGATATGAGACAGATCCGCGATTAGTACGAAAGTGTTCAGGACGTGACTGTAGTAATCCAGCTTGTATCACGCTCTCCGCTGGAAAGTGCGATAGGGATAGCGTAACTAAACATACGCAGCGTAGAGATAACGTGCAAGTACCTCAAAGACGCGAGCCAAAAAAATAAAAATAAAAATAAAAATAAAAATAAAATAAAAAAGACCCAAAGTATTCATCCGCTCCGAAGTTGCGAAGAGGTTCGGGTATCATCTCCAAGGGCTAGATGATGTTTAAGACGGGAACTCGTCGTCTCGAGCAAAAGAACACACTTGTTACTAATAATAACGAACTTCCACAAACCCCAAACAAACACCAAACCATCAACCCCCCTTCAAAGCCCTCAGCCCTCAGCCCTTAGCCCTCAATCCTATCCCCAGCGCCGTCTAACATGCCACCCAACAACCAAAACAAAACAAGGCCAAAACCCCCGAATCCCATAAAAACAGAGTACACCCACATACACCTTCCCACGCTGAAGAAGCCCTTGCCTTCAAGCGATATATCGGTTTCTAGAAGACAGGAATGAAAATACCTTGAATGGCCGCAGTACTCATCCATCCGGCGGATACTGTTAGCAATGTTATAGTCAACTCGCTACTACACCTAGCCGCACGCCATGCCACCCCTCTCCCATCTCCCGCCATCCGCCAGACCAACCGGCAGTTCCAAAGGGCCATACATACATACCCTTACGGCCTGCCCGCCCAAGGCGTGACATGTTGAGAAGGCCAAAGTCGAACGGTTGTTAGTCAGACTCATGACTGATCTTGGTCCCCATTTTAGTAAACTCATGACTGGTGAACCAATATTCCAAATTGCTGACGTACGTTCAAGTGACAAAGTTGGCTGAGGGAGGCAACTCAACTTGGTCTTTTCCACTTTTCCGCCACCCGTGCTGGATCCTCGGGTCTACTGGTACAAGTACACGGTACTTGTAGATGTGGCAAAGCTCCTAGGGTTGCTACCTGTGCCAAGGAAGGGCCATGATGGCAGTCATTGATCGTGGAATTTGATCACAGCGAACGACAATAGGGTAACTGTGAGCCCCCCATCCCGCCCTCCCCCATTCGATAATGGAGTCTGAATGCATACTCTTAGTTGGAACAACGGATACCGGACACCACTGCCCGCAAAGCTATCCTGAAAGCTCGAAGCATCCTCTTCTCCGGCACTGCCGGATATTGCAGGAAGCCGGAAACCGCTAAAACTGGGCGTGGGGTGATGTTCTACATGTACTTACAATGGCAATAGCGTAAATTCAAATCACTACTGGTCTTGTTCTTGTCCCTGCATACTTAGGGCGCGTGGCCCCTAGCTCCTGATGGCAAGATCGTCGTCTTGTTGGGAGAGGTGGATATTTTTGGGTTTTACTGTTGCTAAAAGACGCTCACTGACGATCGCCCAGAAGAGGGGAGATATCCGTCTGGTCTTGTTAACAAGGCAGATCAAGAAAAGGGAGAGAAAATCCGGCCAATCGGAAAAATAAAAGCAAACAATAAGAATCTGAGAGCCTTGGAACAGCTTGATAGGTCATGCACAGCTGAGCTTGCGAATTGAATGGTTGGCGAGCAGAAACAGCTCTTCCTCATTCGCTGATTCTGGCAGCCGGAAGGGAAGGGTAGAAATCATGGGGACTTGGCGCAGTGAAGCTAGTGGACTTGGAATAGCGCCCGTTTCGGAGACGGAGGTTTTCCGACGGGGAAAGGGAACGATGTTCTCCATACTGCCGAAGCTTAAGCTGCCTCAGGGTTCTGATAATATGATAACTTGTGCACCTCGGTGATCGAATCTAGGTTAGGGAATCTCGACAAGGCAGTACAGAAAAGCCTCTCAACATGGTGCAGATGGTTTGCTGTGAGAGCAGTTGGTGGGGTGTCAGGGAGGGAATAGATGCCAAGGCATACCACTAATCTGTATCCAGAAGTCGGGGCTTGGCAAAGTGAATACTGTGTATATCACAGTACACAGTACGCAGCAGCAAAGGCCAGTGGGTGTTTCCGGAGAAGATGCGTGTTGATGTGACTGAAAATGCACGATTATTGCTGGCCATAAGCGGATGCTTGCAGCAAGCCGGGTCGAATAAACAGGTCTGGAATCACGACCAGGTAAGCGATTCAGGCTCAGATGAAAATCCGGGGTAGCTGAACAGGGCCACCCATGAGCTGGTAATAACGGGATGTATAGTCCGTAAATCCAACGGTGATGCTGACGCGAGGTAAACGAAGAAAGCATTACTGTGCTTCAATCTGATGTTGTCCAGCAGGTGCTGTGCATCATTAGCAGGGAGGAGGATTGGTGGTAGAATGCGCGTCGAGGCATCTGTTGTTGAGGCGCTTCATTGACCAGGCTCGCGCTAATCATGCACCGAGACCACGGAGAACCGAGGGCTGCGTGCGACCGTACTTGTTAGTATGTACTCAGGTAGCTTCGGAAGTCTGTCGGAGTGATGAAGACGTACATGGAGGCTGCGCTTGAATGCAATCGTGAAGCACATGGAGGTGGTGATAGGATGGCAGCTGTTGGGAATGGGGAGCTCATGTCAATTGATCGCAATTTGTACCGCAATCAGATAGAGTAGGTGGGGCAGGGAAGTAGATGGGCCAAGGTCAGCAGGCGCGAAGTGGGCTGCATTCGACCTTACCCTAACAGGCAATCAGCTCCCCTGGTCAATGCGAAGCACCATGATGCTATCTGCGCACTCGTCATCAAGGACAAAGGCGCCACCAGCCTGATGGCGCCCGTGATTCGATATAATAATAAGGTGGGCACACACCTCGGGATCGGCTGGGAACGCGGTCTTCCGTCCGGTAGCTTTCGAGCTTCCGAAAGACAAGCGTTGATGTGTACCTCATGCATGACGGCGCGTGAAAGAAGGGCGAATACCCTGAACAGGGTGCGTCCGGAGCCGCGTCGTCCGATAGAACGGGTGAGCTAGGCCCTGCCTCCACTGCCGTCGATTCGTCGAGAGTCCTCAGGCATGCAGAGAAAACGGAGGATGACGTCGAGTTAGAGGTCGCGATATTGTGGACGAGCAATGAGAATCGAGCCAAGAGAAGTCATCGAAACTGGTGGCATTGTAGGCTCAGTCACCTGCTCTACCCGTCTACTTGTAGAGGCGAGTCCTCTTTCAAATCGAAAGGATTTCCGTCAGAACCTCCGCGGTGTAAGCCGTATACAGTTGAGTGCAGGTATGCAGACAAAGAATCGCCCAGACGCGAAATATGTGAGTACTATGGTAGGGACGCGGTACGGAGATACATGGCAGCCCTGCGAGTCCACCAATAATGGTGATTGCTTCCAGGAGCGATTCCAGACGTGTTCTGCCTTTACACGGGAATATTCTCTGTGGACGGTTGATTACGTACAGGCCTCAATGAGGCCATTGTCGCTCGTACGATCGAAGCCCAGCCGGTGGCGAAGAGAGGGTGGGAGGGTGACATGGCTCAATGATCAGGGTCTCATCGAGTTTGCCGCCAACTGCTAGGCACTCGGTTGGTTCGCCAGGGAGATGATAACAAGTGCGCCTAAGCAACCAAAGATGGTGCAAGTCGTCGAAACGTGTGCCCTGAACGGGTAGCGGTAGTGGATCCCCGGATGGTCTCTGCAGGGGCCCGCCCGCTCCGTACTTGTAGTATCACGCAGTAACCTGATGTTTAAAGCGGGTACTCTGAAATCGATGGATCTGAATTTCTGTTGCCGACTGTCCTTCCAGGGACTCTCAATGGACACTGGCGGACTCACGTGCTCCATCGAGGATCGTTGGAGATGCCGTCTTCCCGATTTCCTCCTTGTGACATCGCGACTGCCACCTCCTTAGGCTCAATTGATTCGGGATACGTCGAGACCACGCCATTTCTCTGCGAGGCGACGAGCGTAATTGTTTTGGCTCGAGTGAATCTCGAGGGGGACGACATGTTCGCAGGTGTGTGAGCGCCATCAATCCCATCCGCAGATAAGCGAACCATTCAGAGCACGACCTGAATATTTCATGCAGACGGCCGCGCACGCTAAGCTCTTCCTGGCTTCCCCAGGTTTTTTGCAGTGCGCACGGGCCTTTGGAGGTCATGCGCCGCTCGCTAATTGTTGCTGCGAGCCCGGCCCAAGCAAGTCCCCTCTCCCGTCCAGTCCGCATTCAAATGTTCCTTCACAGTGGCTGCCTGTGATGGAAACCTTCCAAGGTTCCTCTCATGACGACGAACTGTCAGCCGCGAGAACGGCTGTGTGAGCTTCTGGCCTGACGACTGGCGACAGCAGGTCATTGTGGCGTCAATGTCCTACGCTGGTTTCGGCCTGGTACCATCTCAACAGACTTCGGCCGGCCCTCAGTGTCGGTGGCAGTGGCTGTCCCTGCTGTCTGGATGCTGAGATAGGGTTGGAGGCTTGGGAGACATGGGCTCGCATGTGTGCTGCAATCCAACCCGACGGCCTTGAGAGATTGCTGCTTTATAATACCAGAGGTGCTATATGTAACGGCCATGTCCCGTGCCGGGGCCGAGGCCGTCCAGGTTGAAACGTCCATCTCGGAAAGTCGAAATAAGGCAACATTGAGTACTGTGTGCCCTGGACGACGAGTGAGGAGCTGGCACATTGTCAACAAGTTGTCATGGCCGTTAATCTGTGCCGCCTCAAGGGGACACAAGCAATAATAAACTACAGCTATGCTCCACCAGGCGAGATGAAGGTTATAGTTCAGGGAGAGCAACGGCTCGATAATAATGAAGGGAATAGGTGCTTTCCGCGCAGCGAATTGATTACCGCTCACGCAGCACGAACAGGGCAGTGTTACCGTACTGAACCACGAGCCACGACAGAGCTAACGGCCGCTTCGCAAGCAGCCAAGACGTTTCGGCCTTGGTTGAGTTATCGACTCTATCGCCTCTCTGTGTAAGGCGGATGCCGACGTCCCGGGCCTCTCTGCGCTTGTTGAGTACTGTGTACGGAGTACAGTATGTTATGGTTCTTCTTCTGGTATGCAAAATGGATCAGCAGCAGTTCTTCAGCGACCAGAGCACCTTCTTCTTTCTGTTTTTGCTCTCCTGCCGCTCATCGTTGGCTGTCGCAGGACGAACCACGGCGGCAGAGGCCAGCATGTTCGGGAGCAAAGGTCGGGCGGGCCACCTGCAACCGGACCCAGCATGGAGACATGCGATGGGCACTGCAGGGCGGGACGCGATGTGGGTCTGTGGCTGGCTTGTGCGGGGAATCATTGGAGCACGAGCTCCCCAGTGCATGGTAAGCCTGTGCCGCCGTCGTACTTGTAAACGTAGACGTAAAATATTGTTTCCATCGAAGCGTTCTAAACGACGCAAACACCCCGGATGGATGCCGCCCCTCCCTGCTGCTTTTCCTGCTGTAATAATAACTCCCTTCACCCCAGATGCACCGGCCGGCAAGGGCCCTGAATAATGAAGCCCCTTGCCCTGCCAGAGCCAGAGCGAAATCATGGCCCTGGCTGGCCCAGTTGCCAGTTGCTGGTGTTTGAAGCTATCGACGACTGCGTGCTAGAGCAAGGCGCCTGGGCAGTCCTCCAGCCGTCATGCAAACGACGAGAACGACCTGGTTCAACAAGATTACGAGTTACCGGCCTGGGGGATCTGCTTACATCGAAGACGTGCCCGAATCAGAGTGAACGCCTCCTGCCGACCCCCCAGCCCATAGTCTACCTACCTTCCTCTGCACTTCTTGCTGTTAACCTAACCCAGAGCTGGGTAGCTGTCCTTTTCCCTCTCACTCTCCTCTCCCTTCCCTCCTCCTCCTTCGCGCCCATCTCTTCTTCCCCTCTCCAATGCTCTTGACGCTGGGCTGCCGCCAGTGAGCCTTGCAGGAACATCATCATCAACACGCTGCACTGCAGGTTGTATGAGAGAGCTGCTGGGCCTGTCCCTTCGCTGTGCATTGTCCGACCAGCCAATAATCGCGCAGCAACCACCAACCGGCAACCTCAATCAATTGCTCCCATCCGACGCTGTGTGCACTCGCAATTCGAGCCTGGCCCTCACCTTGAGCGTCGTGCGCACCCTTTCCAACGTTGCCTCGTTCTCCCGTCGGTATCCAAACAGCGAGCGCTGGCGGTCCAACTGGCGGCCTCCCTCCGGACCTCTGCCCCAGGCCTACTCCGACGATTCCCCGCGGTTGTTGCGCAGCTCCACCGTCTTGCCCAGCGGCCCACCTAGCAACCTCCACACACCAGGTGCGGCCAGACAGCTAGCCGTCGTCCGGTCCCGTTAGCAGCAGTTTCCAGCGTTCCAGTTGCGCCCTTCTCCCTAGGGACCGGCTTGTCGTCCGCATCTCGGCGAGCCTGCCGCTCCCCCCACGTTGTCCATTTGGGTCGCCTGGTACCTTCCCCAACCTCGACCGCCGCAGCCAACTTCTAGTCCCGCGAGTTTCCCTACCGAACCGCTTGCCACACACCGTCCACCCGACCCGCGCTACCATTACCTCGCTCTACCTCTCACATCTCCGACTTGACGCTCCATTGACCGCCAATCACTGCCTTGGGCAATCGGACTTAACTTGGTTGCTTCCGACCACCACCCAGCGGCTTCGGCTCGATCACTGAGCCGCCATTGAACGCACTGCACCAACGGTGAGCATTTGGACTGGCCTTTTTGCAGGCGTGATCGAAAGTAGATATATGCTGACCGGATTGAGCGTCTAGCTGTGCGCCTCTTCTTTGGCCAGTCCTTTGTTGAGCCACCCGAGCCCATCCACCCCACAGAGCTTCCCCCAAACTGTCGGCGAACAGCGGCTCCTCCAGCAAACCGCGAACCCACGCATTTTCTCCCTTGTAAAACCAGGTCCAACGGCTACATATAATTGTTCATTGCTAGCAGTGGACATCCTCTCGGACTTTGCTGCGCCTTGCTCGACCTTGGAAGCTCACGCTTTAGGCAAGCACCAGCAATTCCCGTCGGGCATGTCTGCAGCGCTCGACACGACAAACTCAATGGGGGCATCGAGTCACTCTGGAAGCGACTCGAGTGCGAGTAGTGGCAATGGTGAGTCTTAACTGCTACCCAAGTACGCTCACTGACCATGGTGACCTCCGCAGTGTCCGTCCAGACCGCGAAGCCTGAACCTTCCCAAACCACTCCCCCTTCATTCCCCCCGCCAAAGACAGACAAACCACGCCCACACATCTGCTTAACCTGCACACGTTCATTCGCTAGGCTCGAGCATCTCAAGCGCCATGAACGTTCACATACCAAGGAGAAGCCGTTTGAATGCCAGCAGTGTACGCGCGCCTTTGCACGGCGAGACCTCCTCTTGCGCCATCAGCAGAAGCTGCATCAACAGGGAGCGACTTCCTCCAAACCTCGCTTGGGACGGAGGGAGAGTACGACAGGGCTTCCCTCTGCCACCGGCCGCGTTCGGAAGAACTCCATAGCCAGCAGTGTGACCGGTGCTGCTGGACCAGAGTCTGGCATGCGCCCTCGAGCAAACACCATCAGCCATATCGACCCCGCTGCGCTGAACAGCCTCCTGGCCTCGCAAAACGTGCAAATGGCAAGAAGCCCCGGTCCCCGGCAACCTGGGCACTCGCATCATCCGAGCCTTGGGAGCATCGGTCTCACCGACGGGCTGGACTTTCGGACCATGCAGGGCCCCATGGGCATGAATGGGCTACCGCACACGGTTCCCTTGCCAAAACTCGATACCCACCTTGGAATGGGCATGGGCGGTGGACCTCGTACTGCCCCCATCACAGGGCTTGGTATGGACCATCAAGATCCCCATGAGATGGAGTTGCAAAAGTTTTTCGGGCCCGGCTCGACCATCAATCCCAATCAGTTGCACCATTTCAATGTCCAAATACCTCCCCCGTCCCCTTTTAATCTTTTCCACAATCCATTTTCTAACACACCTCTGGAGGAGGACATCGCTTGGACGCCGGCATTTGAGAGCGACATGGTGTTCCCGGGAGCTAACGAGACAGCCTTCGATGGTTCATCTCCCTCTGCAATCAGCACGGCTAGTCAAAGCGGATTCAGCGAAGTGATGCTGGATGGATCCGGTCAACCCACGTCGGCTGCCGTGTGGCAGACGGGTCTAGCAGCCCACCCTACCCTGGATCATTCAAGCATCTCTCTCGAAGCAATGGCACCTGTTTTTCCGGAACTCATGATGAATCAAGTCTCGCCAAAAGAGATTGCAGATCAAGGTGCGCCGGCTGATTTCTATCTTTCAACACCCCCACCAGCCTCATCTACGAGCCCAGCCGCGGGCATGCAAAGTTTCCAGACCCAATGCAATCCCTTCCAAAATTGGGCATTTCAATCTGATTCAGGCAGCATATCGTCCACTTCCATTAATGGGAGCGCAAGACATAGTTCAGTAACGTCCATCTCAACTGACACAATTACGGACGCAACCAGGCAAGCCCTCCTCATGAACCTGTCCCAGGCCCAAAACTCCGGACCCATGCAAAGGAAATTCTCGCAGCCCCATATCAGTTCGCCTCTATCTGGTTCTGCCAACGGTAAATCCCAGATTGCTTCGCTCCCTAGTACCTCCGACCTGCAACGCTACGTCAACGCTTACATTCAATACTTCCATCCTCATTTGCCATTTCTACACATCCCTACTCTGTCTTTTGACCCTGCTGCATTCAATTATCACATGCGCGGCGCGGGAAATCACCATCACAACAGCTTGGTTAGCGGCGGCGGATGCCTCATCTTGGCCATGGCAGCTATTGGCGCCCAGTACGAATTTGAACACATCGCCGGAAAGGAGCTCTTTGAGTCTGCGAAGAAGATGATCCTGTACTCCCTTGAAGAGAGGCGCCTGGCAGGGCTGTCGGCCGTCAATGGAAGCAATTCCGCAGATGACTCAATCAACAAGCCTCCGCTTTGGCTGATTCAGGCTATGTTGCTGAACCTGATTTTTGGTCATAACTGCGGTGACAAGCAAGCTGCTGAGGCTGCCAGCACGCACTGTGCTGCGCTCGTCAGCCTTGCTAAAGCGGCCGATTTGGACAAACCAGCGGAGATGCCTGTCAATGACGCGCCTGGGCGAACGAAGGGCAGTGGCATGAGCGGAGACGTGGAGATGATTGATGGGACCATGCCGTCGGATTTGTTTTCGAAAGCTACATCAACTGAACCAATGGACGAGCACGCACAATGGCTTCAATGGAAGATGGCAGAAGAGCGCAAGCGGACATACTTTGCGATTTTCTCCATGACGTGCTTACTGGTCTCTGCTTATGCACATGCTCCTCGCATTTTGAACTCCGAGATTCGACTGGATCTGCCATGCGAAGAAGATCTCTGGGCCGTGGACAATGCGCAGGCATGGGTCGCAAAGGGCGGACCACTGATTGCGCAGAGCAAAGGGTTGTCGTTCAACGCTGCTTTGAGTTATTTGATCCAGGCCAGTCTGCGACAGCAGGCACAAGTACGAGCGCCCTATCCGCAAGGCTTCGGCCCAGGTGCAAACCCCGGTGATAGCCCACAAAGCGAAATCCGTCCTAGCACATTCGGCTGCTATGTTCTGATCAATGCGCTACATGTTTACATATGGGATACGAGACAAAGACACAATGGACGACCATGGAAGCCCCAAGAGACGGAACAACTGCACGCCCTGATTGAGCCAGCCCTGAAAGCGTGGCAAGCTGCCTGGCGCAGCAATCCCAGCCACAGCTTGGAGCGTCCGAGCCCATACGGTCCACTTGCCGCCGATTGTATCCCTCTCCTAGATCTGGCCTATGTGCGCCTCTTCGTAAACCTTGCTCCGTCGAAGGAGCTCTTTTGGCAACGGGATTTTGAGGGCATGGCCAACGAATTGGCGAAGGGAGTTGACATCGTGGGCCAGACTGATGGCTCACCCGACCGTTTCTCCGAGTTTGCTGATCGGTTGAGAAGCGCGCTCGGCGACTCTTCTGGCACTCCGCTAGTATTCAATTCGATCGAAGGAGTAAGCCCCGGCCAGGCTGGTTCTGGCTTCCAACCCCTGCAACTGTCGAAGCGCGAAAGGCATCTGCGAAAGGCCGCATTCTACGCCGCTGACTCTCTAGCCATGGGCGACAAGTTGGGTGCCACGTACGTGGAACTCTCAGCTCGGGAATTGCCCAACTCTTCGGCTATGTGCAGCTTCGATTGCGCCCAGATCCTCGCAGAGTGGGTGGCTACCGTACAGGACCGGGTAGGGCGCTTCATCGGCATCCTGGGCAAGGATGATATCGATCTCACCGCGGTACCTGCCATCATGCTCCTCGAAGAGGAGGATATCCGGCTGTTGTCTAAGATCAGCAACATACTGCACAATGCAGAAATGAAGCTTGCATACGATATGCAAACCATGGGCTCTTCCAATGCTCTTCCCATGCTAGGGGGTCTGACAAACCTTAGCCAGTGCGGCTATGGCACCAAGTTGTTGATGGTGACAGCGTACATGCTTGAAAGATCTGCTGTATGGCCTGGTAAGCATATGAAGTGAACGTTAGGCGGATGAGCAAACTCTGATAACACCACAGTTACCCACACCATGGCTCTCGCTCTGGAGGCACATGCCCATCACATCAATCAACGCGCCGAAGCCTCCGTCAACGCCTCGTAATTCTGTTATATCTGTCCTGTACATATTTGCACTATTTTCGATGTTTGCGCTGGACGGGTGATACGATTGATACCCCATTTCTACCATCTGTCACGTTCACGACCCCCGTTGTCATCCCCGGTTGTGCGATTCACGACTCCACGGCCATAGAGTATTGTTACCGCCGCGATAACTTTCCTCCGTGTCACAATAGTCATGGACCACCCTCGAATTGGCCTATCACAACATACATAACGCAACGGCCGGAACTATCGCACTTTGGCTCATCGGCCGATCGAGCCAGTTGCGACAACCCCATAGACGAACACGTATTCACCCCTTCTCGGTGCGAGAGCGCGCCATCGGATCTTGAAGGCAAAATAGATAATGTGGAAGTGCGGAAAAAGCGATTGACCCAATGGGCGACATTGTTACGCCCAGATACCCGCTGCGAATGTTGGACTTTTTGGCTGCATCTACTTTGTATTCTGCAGCCGCCCCTTGTTATTCAGCGATGCCGCCTTGAGCGTTTCCTACCTTTTGATGATTTGGATGGTTGGGGGCTATTCTTTCCTTCCGTTTGTCGCAGCCGCGTGTGGGGTCAACACGGCAGGCGGTAACAATCTCTCGAGTAAAATGTAGGGCAGGGTTACCTTTTTGTTTACACGGTCTCTAGGGGCTGCGGTTTTCAAGGGTCTTGTTGTATGGATCTTTTCTTTAAAGGCTTCTTGAAAGACGCCTTTTTCATCCGCTCTTTCTGGGAGGAAATATCTCCTCTACCCTCCGAAGGGAGGGATCACCGTGATCGGGAAATTGAGACCAGTACCTTTTGGAATGGGCTGGGCGGGTTTCTCGGAAAATGTGGCTTGGGTATGGTTTGGATATGGAATGAGAAATCCACTTTTGGATATTTTTCGTGATGGTTGTTGCGTACTCTGGTCTTCGGAGTGACAAACATTGTGAATGACTTTCCTTGTAGAAGCAGCCCCAGGCCTGAAGATGTATGAGGGCACGTGATAAGTTCCTGCTTGGAGCATACTATTATCCCCACAGTGCGTTTCTCGTTTTGCTTCCCCAGTCATGAAGTAACATTTGAAGGATCCATGTTACGAACGGTCACTTTCCTAGAATTGACAACTTGCAAGTGAGACTGGGACATCACGTGGCCTTTTGCATCAGGTGCCCAGGTGGACCGTGCGCATCTCCGTTGAACCTTTCCCGTTTCGGACCCAACGACAATCGACATCGTTCGCGTCGAACGTTCAACAACGACGACAACAACACGACAATAACAACAACGGCAGCATTGTGTGTTGCACCGGTGTGAGTCGGGAATAAGTGCTGGCTGGCTACGTCGACGGCGGCTTTTGTCCCGTGCTTGTGGTAGGCCTTTCTTGCGGCTAGGTATAGTATAGGCGGGGTTCTGGGAGTGCGACGAGAGCAAGAGATAGGGAGGGAGAGGAAGATAAAAGCAAGGAAGCAAGGTGGGGGAGAAGGAAATAAGGAAGAAGGGAAGAAGAAAGAAGGGAGAAGGGAAGGATGTCCAGGCCTGTGGCGAGGAAGGCGGCGCCCAAGGGGGAGTATATTGAGACGGTGAGTTTTGTCTTTTCTGTCCCTTGTGCCTGTTTTGATCTTTTTGGGGGGGTTCGACTCGTGGGTCGTTTTTCTTCAAAGGAGGATGCTAGGCTGTGGATCGGGGGTTTGAAGGTGTTGCTTTTCTATCTTATGTCATTTTGGTCTTTGATGGGTACGGAGAGGTTGGCGATGGTATCAATGGAGGGGCTGGATTCTTTCGTTTTTAAGGAGCCTTTTCTTGTTTAGCACTCGGGGCATTGGTTTTCTGGTTTTTCTTTGTTTCGTTCTCGTCTCAATCATGTTTACGCTCCTTCTTTATCTCCTCCTCTCCCCCCTCAAATCATCTCCTCCATCTCACCCCCTTCCCCTCTCTCAATCCGTCACACTAACCCCCTCCCAGGACTCCGGCAACAAAGTCTCCCGCCGCGCCGCCATCACCGGCACCGCCAACATCACCCTCGGCGGCCGCACCGTCATCATGGCCGACGTGCATCTGCGGGGCGACCTGCACAGCACACGCAGCGTGCCACAGCAGGCTTCTTCTTCTTCTTCTTCCAGCGTGGGCAAGGACGGCAAACCCGCGGCCAGCAGCGTGAGTAGTACGCCCACGGCGATCGCCATCGGCAGGTGTACGGTGATTAGCACGGGGACGGTGCTTCGGCCGCCGCAGCGGGTGAGCCGGGGAAGTGTGCATTTCTACCCCATGAAGATTGGGGATAATGTTTTTGTTGGTATGTTTTTGTTTTCGTTTTTTGCTGTTGGGAGTTTTGGTTGTCTGGAGTTGGAGGGAGTTTCTTGTTTATTGGTTTTGAACTTTTTTTTAGCCACTTTTCTGAGTTTTATTTGGATCCGAGGCGAGGAGGGTAGAGGTCGGCTGTATACTTGAGTCTTGTACCTCTACCTCTCTCTGTCTCTCCCTTCTCCGCTCTCCCCGCCTTTCGCCATATTATCCCCCGACACACAGCCCCTTCCATCTCAGACACATCTAACCACACCACCCCAGGACCCAACTGCACCATCTCCGCCATCCAAATCTCCTCGCACGTGCACATCGGCGCAAACACCATCATCCACCCCTTCGCCATGATCAAGGAAAACGTCAAGATCCTGCCGCACACGGTCGTACCCGCCAACATGATCATTCCGCCTGGCTCCGTGGTTGGGGGTAGGCCGGCGAGGGTGATTGGGGAGGTGGGTGAGGGGTGGGGCGTTATGAATGGTGGGAGTTTGGGGATGATGGGAGGGGGAGGTGCAGGAGGGGGGGAGAAGGGGTGGGTGGAGGGTGGGGATTTGAGGGAGTTGGTTAGGAGTATTCGGTAAGGGGTGAGGTGGTGAGGTAGCTGGGGGGAAGGGGGAGGGGGCTGAGGGACAGACAGGTGGGGATGTGGGAGTGGGTGGGAAGGTGGTGTGTATCCGGATGGAGATGCTTGATGGACTGGTGTGTGTGAGGGTTTCGGGGAGGAATATCTTGATACCCTAATTTTTTTTCTCTCCGTCGTTTTGCACGTGTGACACGTGCACTCGCATTATATACACACACAAACAAAGTGGCCTACACAACCACCCATCCATCCATCTATCTCCTAATTTCTTACACCGTTCATTCCATTACGATAATAGCAGTCTACTTACTTCCATCCCGTCCTGAAGTCAATGACGCCATCTCATGCGATTTACAGCCACCACTCAAGCCCACGTCACCGGTATACATTGTAAGCACTCTTTCACATCAAAGTCTATACAGGACGGACTGAATTAGCTTAGGGAGTTAGAGAGCAGATTACCATGCGTTCCCCCAAGTAAACAAACCCAGCAGCCTACACACCACCCGTCCATCCATTCATTTCCAAACTTCTTACACCGTTCATTCCATTACGATCTGATGATAGCCATGTATTTTTCATATTCCGTCGCCCAAGTCAACGACGCGATCTCATGCGGTTTACAGCCACCACTCAAGCCCACGTCCTCGGTATACATCGCAGGAAGCTCTTTCAAAGCAGAGTCTTAAAGGGAGACTAACCGAGTTTGCTTGGTGTAGGGAGTTAGGCAGCGGATTAGCATGAGTTTGCCCAAGTAAACAGCTCAGCGCTGCTGGTACGCGTACCGCACATGTGCTTCTCATTCCATCCCGTCCTGAAGTCAAGCGCCGTATCTCATCCAATCCACAACCCATCACTCAAGCCCATGTCCTCGCTATCCATAGCAGAAAGCTCTTTCAATGCAAAGTCTATAGAAAGAGATTGAATACGCGTGCTTGATCTAGGAAGCGGTTTAGCGTTAGCATGAGTTCCCCCAAGCACACAGTAAACAGCTCAGCGCTGCTGGTATCAAGGTACTCCACATGTGCTTCTCGGCACGGTCTCACATGCACGATTGTGTTCGTGCGAGAGCGCCGACTCCGGCCGGTCGCGCCCCGGATTGCTTGTCGTTCCCCGTCCTTTGCGCGATATCCGTTTGGGAGATGGAGATGGTTCCCAGGGTTCGTTCGGGAGGGGGAGAATGTACGTCACGCCCACGCCCACGCTCACGCCCTACACCCGCGCCGCCTGTACCCTAGGGTATCCGTCCATCTATCAAGCAACTAGGGTACTGTGTAGACTCGCGGTTCATGCCGAAGTTGTTTTAAGTCCGTGACCTGTGGTATTTGGCATGCCGACGTTAGGACGCCATTGCTCGGTCGCGGGTCCCGGACGCGTAACCCGCCGATGGCTACAGTACGCGTAGGTACGATTTGAGAAGGGTTAGATTCCTGGGTTATCTTAGCTTGATTGTGGCGCTATTGATGATGTATGTGGGATGTCGATGCCGATGCCCAGGAGACTGGTTGGCTAATGTACCCTATGTGCGTATAGTGGGATAGTAGCTTGGTTTGTCTACTATAGTACGGTGGCTAATCATATCTACATCATTATACCTTCGCACTAGTAGAAAGTTAAGGGCGAGGGGAGATAAGGAAGGGTTGTATGTACTGTGTATATCGTGCACGCGGGGTAGGGCGGTAGAGGACGGGTAACTTAACCGATACAAGTAGTCAGGGCGCCGCCGGGGTTAGTTACCCTAGGTAGTGACGAGGACGTTGGATAGCTATAGGTAGCCTAGCAGTAGATTGCCATTGCGTGCGGGACCCTCCGCATCTCTAGCTACTTCTCAACGGGATGGGTGATGGTACGATGATGAATGGTACGATGGATGGTACGATGGATGGTACGATGGATGGTACATAGGGTATGTTGAGGCTAGGCGGCTGTACATCGGAGGGACTACCTGAGACTTGGATCAGCGCGACCTATGACGCATTCACGATACCCTAGGGTATGTATAGCCATGTGAACTTGAGGTTACATTGGCCCTTACTAGTGTTGAATTTCGATAGGGTATGTGTCCTGCGTATCGCAATCCTGGGAAGATGGAAAAACAAATGGACGTGTACAAGGTAAAAGAGAGACTGCGAAAAAAATGAAAGGCTAGCAAGCACTCAAGGGCAGGCAAGGGGGAGCAAGGCAGTCACACCGTGTATTCAAACGAACCGCTCAGGTCTGGAGACTACCTAGGTACTGTGTACTGAACATATACTCTTATACCTATAACCGCGTAACCGAACTAGCCTTCCTTGGTCCACGAATAACAAGAAAAACGTGACTGACATCCAACCTATGATAATGCAAGTCTATATGTGCGTCCAGTTCGTCTCTCCTCACATGAGGATGTTACCACAACGACCTTCACACCTTCCTCCACCTCCAGAAATGCTTCCAAATTGTCAGTCTCCCGGCCGCCCTCGCCCTATCCTCCATCGACTCCAAACCAACATCCTCAACCCCTGCATCACCCCCATTACCTACATACTCAACCTCCCCAATCTTCCATCCCCTAAGAAAGACCACGCACAATGCAGCCGCCGCATAACTAAACCCAATAAATAGCTGACTGCTCAAATACCCTCCCGTGAACTTGACCAACTCGAGAGAAATCGGCTCGCTGAACGTGCACGGTAAGACGATAACCAGCCATTCGAGGTTCAAAGCGGAGGGAAGATCCTGAAGCCCAACCACCTCGACAGCCACGGGTCCGATGGTAGCCCAAAACGTCCCCGTCACCGTCCCACCCACCAAGGCATAGAAAATCAACACGCCATAGCTCTTCGCGGGGACCCATACGGCAAACGCCATGACCGCGCAGAAGAAAGTGGTCAGTGCAGCCATGTTGATTCTCCCCACCCCATCCGAGAAGTAGCCCGTTGGCGGCCTTCCTAACCCTTGACCGAGATTCAATACCGAAGTGACGACCGAGGCCTGCGAAGCGCTCAAGCCGATCCTCTTCGCGTAGTCGGCGAGCGAGAAGACCAGCGCGATGTAGCCCAGCATGGAGAAAGATCCGTAGCCGTTGAGGAGAGGGTATTCGGGGCGTCTGAAAAGCTTCAAATCAAACGCTTTATGCCGCCTCCCGATGATTTTGTTCCTATCGCGGATCAAGAGCGTGCAGATTGTGTTTACCACCAAAGCCAATAGGCCCAGGATGCGGAAACACCATTTCAGTCCAATGGACGGGGAGCGCAGCATGGCGCCCGTGGCAAGGGAATACAATAGACCGCCGAACCCGGACCCGGAGGCAGCGATGCCGTTGGAGAGGCTGCGGCGCGTGGTGAACCATTGCGGTGGTATGCCCACCGAGGCGACGAAGAGGAAGCCCATTCCGACGCCGAAAGCGAGGCCCTGGGATAGGGCTAACTGCCAAATGGTGCTTGCGAAACTGGCGCCTATCAACCCCCCGGCCTCGAAAACGATTCCGAAGATTAGCGTTTTGTGCGTGCCGAAGTACCGTGTTGAGAGTGTGGCTAAGGGGGAGATGAACATGGCTGTGGATATGGAAATGCCGCCGATGATGGCGAATTTGAGAGGCGTGGCCGAGGGATACAAAGAGTTGGAGAGGTAGTAGGCTAGGAAGACGCCGTAGGAGGAGTTGATGCCCCAGGTATGGGCGTTGATTAGGGCAACGCAGAATGTGACGATCCAGCCGTAGCCGCCGTTTGGTGGCGGTTCGGGGCCTTCTTGCGCTCGTGGTGTTGTGGTTTCAAATCCATTTGGCAACCCCGACGGAGGCTTTTCGTGGTCTGGGGATCCTTTCGAAGATTTGGATGAAGACTTTTCGGCATCTTGGATGGATGGTGGGGCGATGCTGGAGGCTTTTTCGATCATGATGGCGGTGGTTTCTTGTGGTGAAATCTGATCCACGTCTGATTTGTTGATGGTTGGCATGCTTTCCCTGATTGTGGTGGTACCGGTGTTCAAAGAAGGACGGACAATTGGTACACAGTCACCCTAGAAAATATATTTATATTTATAACTTATGTTAAGCGAATAATGCAATAGAATGCTTAGTAATATTTAACCAACTTGGATGTTACTATTTAAATTGCTAATAATTCTTTCTAAGGGTAGAGAATGCTTGCTATTCTTCTAAAGCCTAGATAGGGGTCTAGGAAATCCTAGATTCTATTTCTTTGCTCTTTCCCCTTATTTGCTGCTAGAATTAGGCTTCTAGGTTATAGACCCATCATTCAAACTGTGTGTTCGTAGTTGATCCATATGCTCCAAATCATTTTTTCTTTGTCTATATCATATGATCCGAACCGAACTATCGAAAGAACGTAATATCCCATTCTCAGCTCATTAATGGAGGGATCTCAAGCCCTACCGCCTTCAACCCATTCCCCTTTCTCGAGCAAGGATCCGGAAAGAACAGCGTATGTAGCGGCCTCCCATCCTCTGTGTCCCCACTGGATTCCGATGAAGCACCATTGCCCATTCTCTCACCATCATAGTACTCCAAAATCTCACTGACCACGGACGGCCGTGATGAGGACGCAATAACAGTAAATATGCCCGCTGCGGATGCGATTTCCGCAGCGCGCAATTTGGTCGCCATACCGCCAGTGCCGTTTGCGGAACCAGCGCCGAGGTCGGAGAAATCGACTATGAAATTGTTCGTCAGTAAATTCAAACTCGAAGTAGACGAGAAAATATAGGGTGGGTGGTGAAGTGACGTACGTCGTTCTCTGAGCGAGCTAATACTCGTCACCAAATCAATCCTCGAAGCATGAACATCGTGTTTCGGATTACTCGCATAGAGCGAGTCTACGTCTGTGAGCAGGAAGAGGTAGGAGGCATGGACCATAGTTGCCGTTATTGCGCCGAGGGTGTCGTTATCACCTATTTGAATTTCCTTGGTGGACAAGGTGTCGTTTTCGTTGACGATGGGAACTACGTCGATGGAGAGGAGTTCGTTGAATGTGTTGACGGCGTGGTCGTAGCGTTTCGGCTGCTGGCAGTCAAATTCCAATTCCGCATTCACAGATGCATCTAAGAACGTACTGATGCAATGTCGTCATGTGTTAGCAGGACCTGGGCCACAGCAATGCCTCGCTGGGAAAAGACGTTTGACCACATTGACATCACCTCTCCTTGGCCAATTGCTGCGAGTGCCTGGATGTCCAAAAATCCTCAGCCATTGTTTCGAAGGGAAAGTGACCATAGCCTCACCTGCTTGCCTAATAGGCTGCTAGGACGTGATGGAAGACCCATCCGTAGCAACCCAAACCCCACTGCTCCAGAACTTAGGAGGACAACTCTGTACCCCCCATCCCGCAGAGCTGCAACTGTAGATGCTACGCCAGCAACAATGTCGTATTGTATGTCATGAGTAGTTTCGTCAATGAGGGACGATGTACCGAGTTTGATAACGATTGTACGAGCCGGTATCATAATGAATGGATGAAGCTGGAAGACTGAAGATCAATGGCCCCGCAAGCTTCACACCATGAACGAAAGCCGTGTCCAACCTACAAGAACCGGAATACGACTTTGCAACGGAGCGGGCCGAAATCCGGGAGGCTGCAGCCGCGTCGGAGTACCTGCATGGCGGTTGAATAACGCAATTCAACGTGTTGCCCTTCGTACGAGGGCCAGTGATAAACTCAACGAACTCACTTCCAAATACGGAAGGTTCTAAGTCGCACAAAGAACTAAGACTGGTGATGTTGCAGATCAGGTCAGCACACGCAGCGCACGCAATCTTGCGAAGGGATTCTTACATCGTTCAAGAACCATTCTGTTGCCTAACTATTTCCTGTTTTGGTGGCATGCTGCGATTTAATGCAATCCTACGGGAGAATCCTGCGGTTTTAGACTTGACAGCTTTTGGGTATCGATCAGTGCCGGGTAGTATGTTTTTCTGTCTTTGCTCCGCGGGAGCATACAGGTATGCATGTTACTAGTTGCTTTCGGAGCCGCGGGGGAGCCTGTGCCGCGACCATAAAATCCTTGAACGTCGAGTGGAGGACGACACGGAGATTGGAGTAAAGTCCGCTAACGCGCATAGATGATGTACTTAGTAAGGACGTTTCTTAAGAATGCGGCCCAAAAACGACCCAGGCAGAGTTAGGATTGCACCATTGTGTGAAAGAATACGAACCCGACTGTGGATCAACGTAAGCAGGGGCGCACCATCCGGTCAATCGTAATTACTTCCCATAGGCCAGAACTCGTAGAGTACTGGATTGTTGTAGCGAGTCAGATCACGTAGCGAGCCAGCTATCTCCCGTACAGATTCTACTTGTACAAAAACGGGCAACAACCTGCAACTTTGCAGCGCTGCAGCCTAACGCAACCCGTACACCGACGCTAGGCGTGTAATTGCAGTATCAAAGACTACGCTTTTATATACTAACCTATTTTTAAGGTAGACTTTTTGCGCGTGACTGTTTTCCTAAAACAGAGGGTATTTTCTTTCTTTTTCTCCTTACAAAAGAAACTGCCTTCTTTAAGCAGTTAAAAATGTAATAAAAAGCGCTAGTAGCCTGTAAAATACGGCGTGAAAAAGCAGGTTTCTTAGGATATATGTTAATCTTAGGGCACTGCGTGAAAACACAGCGCTACTGCGAACTGCAAGTTTTCCGCGTATTTTCTCGGATTTTGTCTAGGAAAATGGCTCGCTCGCTCCGTGATCTGACTCGCTACACCATCCGGTACTCTATACCAAAGGTAGGGTAGCAAACGGCGGTGAAGCCATAGGGAAAGGCTCGGCCCGGGGACTGAAGAAGGAACCGTGTAGATCCTAGGGAGGACTGCGGAGTACAGTCTGAGAAGTTCCCCGAACATTTCAGCATCAGTGTTTTGATAACATTTCAGAATCAGTGTATCAAAACACTTCCATCCTTCCCCCGTTAAAGCCACAATCTTCTCTTTTTATACCACTCTTCACCCAGTCTTTCAAGGTAGATCTCTCCCCACAAAAAATCAACCTCTTCCCCAGCTAGTTTCTTATACGCTTTTCAAGGGATTCTAAAGCTTTCTTTTCTATTCCTAAAGATAGAATTCATCGAGGGAGTAGCCGGTGCGAAGAGGGTGTGTTTAATGGGCTGTTGTGCGTTAGAAATTTCAAAACTCCGAATAATTTTGAGTAATCAATATGGAAACAAAAACAGAGTGCTGGATTGTTTGGGCAAGATTCGAGACTGCAGTTCTCCCGCCGATCTACTGGGGTCGTTCTTACGAACCCTCGATCTGTTGCATTTCCGCGTGTTGGTGCTACATAGCAAAGCGATCTAGGGTGATGAACCTCGATGCAATTCCTTGACAGCACCTCTGAATGGTATAAAAGGTGCAACTTTCGAAGGACAAGAACTTCAGCTCATTCTTCATACCCGTCAAAATGGGGAACTTCTCGAACGCAACCACGACAGGTGCCGGGCCAACAGTAACTCCGAGCTTCATCCATGGCGGCGTCCGAGACTTGAGTACCGTCTATGCGTTCGCTGCTGCTGCCCTCACTGCCGTTCTGCTGAGCGGCTTTGAAGCAGGACGCAAAGCAGTACTCCGCGTTTTCTGGTTCATCGATCGCATGCTTGGGGGGGCTCCTCATTCCGTTACGCTTCCCGGTCCTCCCGGTCTTCCAATAGTCGGAAATCTTTTCGAAGTATGACTCTTACACAACTCACTGTCTTGCTGTATGTAACGGCTGCTTTAGTTGAGCAATGGTCACGTCCAGAAGCTTTCCGAGTGGACGAAGAAGTATGGAGATGTTATCCGTGTCTCGCTGGGTGAACGTGAAGCGGTATGCTGTTCCATGCCTTGGTCCCCTGGTAGTACATCATACTTACCAAACCGTTCCATAGGTCTTCATCAACAGCCATAAGGCTCTCGCAAAGACCGTCGTTCAGCAGGGTCCTGCATACCAGTCTCGCCCCACATTCAAACTCTTCCACAGCGATTTCGCGTCATCAGGTATAGGACAGTTGGCAGTAAGTCTCAACCAAGGGTCGTTGGTTTGATCGCGCGGCTCACTAGAGACGTACCATAGCGTCGCCATACAGTGATCGTCTCGTGCGCACTCGCAAGGCCCTCTCATCCCAAATCGCCCCTCGTCTCCTGCCCATCTATACTCCCGTCATTCATCCCAAACTCAAGAGACTTTTCGCCGACATCCTTGAAATCAGCCAAGGCCCCGCCGTCGACATGGCTGAAAAACTTCATCGGTTCGGCACTGGCCAAGTCTCCGAACAGCTTATGGGCACCCCTCTGGATGACGACATGGTAGGGACTCTGGCCACAAATGAGACCAACATCTGTAAGTAACACCATGTCCTCAATCTTACTGCACTCCAAAGCAGATGAAACTTACGCTTCGCCTCAGTCCGTCAACGAACCATTGGCTCGCCAGCCCGTGATTACATCCCCATCTTGCGCGCTGCTGGTCAGCTTCGCTACGTAGTCGGCAAAGCCCTTGGCATCAAAGATTGGTCATTCGACGAGAAGGAAGAAAAGGCCCGAGAGTACCGCAAGATGCAGCAAGTCTATATCAACAAGATGCTTGGCGGCCTGAAAGAGCGGATCGCAAATGGGGACCAGACTCCCTCTATCCTGGGGAATATCCTTCGTCAAGGGCTTCTGAAAGAAGAAGAGATCCTATTGGCTTCGTATACCGGCAGTATGTCCTCGTGTTCCCCGAAAAGGTTCTGAAATATCCGAAAACTGACTCCATTGGCCAATAGTCGCTGCGGGCGTTAACCTTGGTTACTCGCTTACTTGGATCATTGGCTACCTGGCCAATCGGCCCGACTTGCAGCAGAACGGATACGAGGCGATCCGCGAAGTTTACAAAGGCCAGCCACCTGAGCCGCATGACTTTGATCGTGTTGAATATGTCAAGGCCCTGCACACGGTTGGTATCTCTTGCTTCATTTGAATACAATCCTCTAAGATATGGCAATACAGGAAGGCTCTCGTATATACACGCCAGTTCGTCTCGGCTTTCCGCGGCAAACGCTGGACGGTGCTAGCTACATGGGCAAAAAGATTCCTCGAGACATGGTAAGTCTTCATCAAGCAAATACCCGCATACCCCATGAAATATTGACATTTCCTGCCTAGCTCGTCATCATGAACTTGATGGCCGGGAACCGCGACCCCGTTGCGTTCGACAGACCAGATGAATTCCTGCCAGAGAGATGGATGAACGGTCGTAAAGGCCGAACCGATCTCATGGGCGAAGGTGGTGATAAGATTGGCGTCACTCACCTGACCTACGGAGCCGCCCGCCGCGTCTGCCCAGGCATTGACAGTACGTGTTCACCTGCATTTCCGCACCCAACATCCTACTACTCCCTCCCCGTCCCTCCTTCCCGTTCAAAATACTAACCGATCCCTCCAGTGGCCAATCGTGGCCTTTACTCCACATTAGTACTCCTCCTGCACTTCTTCACCTGGGAGCGCCAACCTCTCAGCGAGGAGCAGAAGAAGCATGTCTTCCCTGCCTTCCGTGCCGAGCGGGAGTGCTCGCTGGAGATGGATGCGCTTGCTGATACCGCTACACCTACCGAGGCGCAAGCTATTCCTTGGTCGGCGGGCATCAAGTTTCACTGTCGAGATGTAGAGGGGTTGAAGGCCTGGCTTGCGGACGACAAGTGTTGAAGCTCCGGTCTCGGGATAGGAACGAGTTGGAGATGTTGACGGGGGGGATCGTAAGCGTTTGATTGTGCTTACATAGACATAAAAGTGGGTTGTCCAGCGTTCTGTCTTATAGATGTAAGCCTGGGAATATTCAGTATCAGAGCAATAGAGATACCGTTGTGCCTGGCGTCGCACTCTGAACGGAGGCCAATTTCAGAATTCAGAATCCTAAAGAATGGAAATCGATCGTTCCCCAAATGTCTGAGACCGAGCGTCGTCCCCGATGTGATCGCCAAGCGATCTGACACGCGAATTGGATGGGTCGCCCTCGATATTATCTGATACGCCCAGGAACCAGTGGTGCCAATATACTGAATCACTCATTTCATATTCAAAGAACGTAGGTCATCACTGCACGAGTCACTTTTCGGAACTTCTACTTCCTAAACCCTGTAACTCAACGAAAACACGCACGCTCAATTTGATTCCACCGAGTCGGAATCTGATGAACTATCATCTATATCCACAGCCTCTGGGCAGGTCCTTGGATTATGGCCGGGTCTACGGCATATTTACGGAGCCTTGCGCCGCGTTGACGACCCCTCCCCGCACCTTCGTCGCGTCCTTCATGCTCAAGCAGGCCCATTTCTACTAAAAGCCGGCTGGCTTCCTCACCAGTAAGAGGTACCGAATCTTGCGGTCGGGTCCTTTTGCCCGTCCGGCGCTTTGGGAGAGTCTTATTAACCTCTCGAAGCGTCTTAACTTTACCGGTTAGAAATTTAAGGAGGGGTGAGATCTAGATCACAGGAGTACTTAGGGCGGCAGGAAGAAAGCAGGAAACTATTAGAGCAGAAAGGAAGTGGTGGCACTTCCGAGGTAAACAAGCAGCAGATTCGACTTTTAAATTTTTTCATAGAACAATAGCTTCGGTGACCTATGGTGACGAACAAAAAAACGGCCTCACATCACCTCCGATCAACCCAGAAATATCAGCATACAACGCAACACACCCTCGCTCAACTTCGCCCAATCCCCCCACCAACGCCCCCTCTACTCTGTCCGTGCCATCACCTTTTCCAACCATTTAGCTCGTCGAATCCGACTGCGAACTCCTTGTCAGTAATGTCGTTCAACCATATCTAGAACTGGGACCCTCACATTCGGGAAATAATGCTGCACGGTCCTGATCTGTGTCCCATTGAACGACCCGGGCGCCACAAAATCAACAAGATTGAGCCATTTGTACTTCGGACTCTCTGTTTCCACTCGTCTGCACGCAGAGTCAGCTCACGAGCAAGGTGTCTCGCTGTCTCGGCACCCAATTCAGGGAATATGCGGATATGAGATGGGGAAGGGAGGAGGAGTATGGGATAGAAAGAGGGAGAGGGAGGGGGGAGCGTTGAGTGGAAGACGTACACAATTCCATTCTGCGTCTTGCGGAGAATAGCACCACCGGTATGCTTGACGTAGGCCCAGTGGCCGTCGTCGAGGCGGACGACGTAGTAGATTTGCAGTTCCAGATACTGCGTTCCGGGAGGGAGGATGCCGTCGTCGGTTGCGCGGACGATCTCGCCGATTTGGCGGCCCTTGGTGTCGTACCAGTAGCCTCTACAAAGAATAATACATCAGTACTTCTTTCATGTTCTTGATTTGGCCTCGTTTGAACGACAAAATTTCAACTGCTTGGGTTTATTTTCTGGAGGGAGAGGTTACGAGGGTGGAATGGGAGGTGGTGGTATTGGTGGTAGAGGAGAAGAGGAAAAGCGGAGATGTACTCGCGACCCCAGATGCTGATGCGGGTTCCGGATTGTGTTACGATGGTGTGGTTCTAGACGCCATGGTGAGTACTCCGTACGTAAATCACATTCGGTGATGGGAGAGGTGACCGCATACGTTATCCAAATCCCAATCAATCTTTGCCGTAAACGCATGTTTCAACTGAGGTATAGTGGCTGGAGGACCGGTTCACTTCAGGCCTGGTTTGGATGGGACCGGGAGACCCGAGTTGCTTGGGCGCCGGAGACGCAGAAACCCCGAATGTGAAAACCAACAAAGTTGAAACGAGGATTGAGAACATCATATTGATGATTTGGGGATCTGATGAGGTGAGGGGGACGAGGATGGCAGGATGCCAGGGAAATGGGGACTAGAGATCGGCGTATTCATTCATGCCTTTAATACTCATTCACGTTCTTCGCAGTTTTCTTCCATCCGTGAGGCCAACAGGACCGGAGGGGAGTAGCTGCTCGCCTCTTGCTCTTGGCCTGAGCCGTCGTGCTGATCAAGTGTGCTTTTTAGCCAATGTAACTCGGGACCGAGCAACTCGTCAATATTGCGACTTCCCAGGGTTTATTCGACTTACACACATAGGGCAGGTGCGCGAATTCCTTCAAATGTTGGTTTTCGACTCGGGAAGGATTACACCCGCAGCGCTCGTTTATGCAGGTGAGTTCCACCACATACAGAAAATTGGTTGCGAATTGTATCATCCTCTCACCGTAGTAGGTACAATCATTAGCCGCCGGGAAGCTCGGGTCCTAGGTCGCTCCGGTGAGCGGGACCGCTAGTCTACACGAACCTTTCGGTGATGAAGATGAACCAAAAACACGGTGAAAACGTCCCTTCAAGCCAAGGTTCGAGCATCTGCCTCTCCAGAATATGAATATCTTCAATTATGATACTCCGTATTTCAACCACAATGACTAATCAAATGTACCGAAATACCGTGCTTTCCCAATAGAGGTCCACAAATTCTGTAGACTAATTCCCAAACTCTCGAAGAGCGCTAAGAAAGGCCCCACTAATATAATAACCTCGCGCATACAGGAGGATTAGACTACCGTAAACGTCCTTCCGGTAGAGTCAAAGTCCGAGCAAGGGTGATGTGATTAACGCTTACGCACTTACGCAACCTACCCTGTCACGTTGCAACGGGATTGCATATATATGCGCGAGTTGCAGAATTTGAAGCCCGAGATCGACCATGCCATCTTCTCCAGTTCCGGTGCGAGGTTTTCTTCAATTGAACTTATTACACAGTATACCCCATGTCACGTGCTGCATCCATGGCTTTCGCTGCAGGAAGTGACCACCCGCTGCATGCACAAGCTTGGCGCAGGGTATATCTGCCCTCTCCCGAGGTCGTACTCCGTACAGAGAGCCCCTCATCAGACACATACGACACATATATACAGAGCTTGCTTCTCACACCGAGATCCCCACTCGTGACACCCCAATTCGCAACTTCTCCCATTGTAGCGAAATCCTCTTTTCAGCCAACCAAGGTCTTCATCGCGGCCATTTTTCTTTAGCGCATACGACCAAATCCTAGATCCAGAAAGAAGGCAGGCTCGTTAACATTATGGTTGGAGCAAGCTGTCTCTGCGGCGCCGTCCGCATCCAATTTTCAGACGAAGTATTGGCCAAAGTACGCTCTCCTCTCCAATCCACCAACCCCCCTCCCCCCGCCCCAAAAAAAAAAAGAAAAAAAAAATAAAAATAAAAACACCAATCTAAGACAAAACCCACAGGTCCTATGCCACTGCCTCGACTGCCGCAAAATCAGCGGCTCGACCTACAGCACCAACATCCTCGTCCCGGGCACCAACTTCTCCATCGCCAGCGGCACCCCCAAACAGTTTACAAAAAAGGTCGATAGCGGCAAGGATTTCACGTCGTTCTTCTGCGGCGACTGCGGGTCGACGCTGTGGCGGGAGGGGGAGTCGTTTGGGGATGGGAAGGTTATTAAAGTGGGCACGGTTGATGATGTGGATGCGCTGGGGAAGGCGAGGCCGGAGACGGAGCTGTTTGCGAGGTCGAGGGTGGAGTGGGTGAGGGAGGTTGAGGGGGCGGTGCAGAAGGAGACGAGTTAGGGAGGAGGCGAGGTTTGTGAGCACGAGAATGGTGAAGCAGTATAGGAGGTATAGATGTGAAACAACGGCTACGGTAGACTAGTAGCAGGTGGGCGGCCAAAATTCAGATTGAAACTGAAGCAATACGTCTTGCACTGCGTACTTCAACCAACTATATACACAGCGTACTTGCTCTGCGTACTTGCTCTGCCTCCTTGCTGCATACATATACTGCGTATATATACTTCGTACTTAAACTGCAAACTTGCGCTGCGTACATACACTACATACTCGCTGCGTATACAAGTATCTACTACGTAATTGCTAGGTATATATACTGCGTACATACACTGCGCGCGACCTTGCACCGCGTAATCGCACTGCGTACTTGCACTCCGTAATTGCACTGCGTACCTACACTGCGTACCTACACTGCTAACATCAATTCTACAGAGCTTTACAGTTGCACCTTTAGCCGCAGACAGTTTTGAATTTTAGCTACTTACCTGCTAATAGTCCACCATACATGTAATACAGGAATCGTGAAGCAGCGTAGAACGTATAAATGTGAAACAACGGCCTACAATACATAACAATCTAGCCCCCCGCCCCGTCGTTAACCTTACACATCCTCACTCGTCTTTTGCACTCCCGTTAACCTTACACATTCCCACTCATCTTTTGCACTTACATAAACCAGGAGAATTTGCGACAGTTAGTAATTATCTATAAATGCTGCATAGAATCACGAGGCACGGTTCTCGAACGAGGTTAAGTCTACATCAAGAGATTACTTAGACAATTACTAGGATTTTAGAGACGAAGATATAGCTTAGGGTAGGATGCTGTATTTTCCTCTTCCAAGGGAGAAAGTAGGGTGGGAGGTATTAAGGCCCGGGTGCAGTACAACGCCGGGGCAACCGACGACGATTTAGGTCGCCGTTTGACTTCGAATTCGTCTCTCGTCTTTGCACATTGTGAAACTGGGAGATAGGTAGATAAAAGGGAAGCGCAGCTGCTAGTAATTTTTTCAGGGTGCGGGCAAATTGCGATACAGTTTACAGAAATTCGAACGGGGTGCGACGCTACGTCAACGAGGTATTCCTGGTGTAGGGTAAGCAATCGACGCAGGAAGATATATCCTAGGCCCAGAATATCTCCTCTCCACGAAAGAAAGCCAAAAAGTACGATGGAAGGCAAGTCAAAACCATCCATGCCCCGTACCAAAAACGATGACACTATTACCTCGATCGCAGTATAACTACCTTCCTACCCGCTAGCTAGGAACACCTCTACACCCCAACCCCTTCCAACCCTTTAGAATAAAAACATATACAACCCCTTAACATCTACTCCACATCTACCCGCCTCCCCCTCCATCCCCCTAACATCTACCCCCAATCTACCCGCCCCACCCTCCATCCCCGCCACCCGACATGCCCAACATGCACGACATGCACGACATGCTATCAGTAAAACAACGCTCCTCGTTTAACCGCGTGGGGTATAACAGGTTCAGAGCAGAGGTTAGCATCAGGAGGCTTACGGTGTTTTAGGAGAAGTTGATTTATGTGCTTTATACTGTTTGTTGTTAGGTACGAGGTGGATGTGTAGATCACAACTTGAGAGATACGGTAGATAGAAGGATAAGGGGAACATAGGAGCTAAGAAGGAGCGGAGGGATAGAAGGATAAAAGAGATAAGAGAGATAAGAGCAACAAGAGACATCAGAGCAACAAGAGCAACAAGAGCAACAACTCAGGAGACGGATGAGCCGTCATAGCGTAGCCGACCGAGCAGAAAGGCAAAGGCAAGAAGCATACTCTTAGAGAGCTATTTGACGCGTGCGAGTCAGTAGATTGATAGCTTTCGCGATTGATTGATTTATTCGCACGACTTGGACTTGGCGAACCAACTTTCGTTTTTCTTTTATATATACACAATTTCCCCTTTTCCCTTACTTATGCTGCACGTCCCATCCATGATCCTCGTCTTCTTCCGTGTGAGAAGAAGCACAAAAGTACCTCCGACCCATTGGACCATGCTTAGACTACAGTGACACACCCCACTCCTGGCCGCATGTAGCATACAGAGAAACAAAGCCCACCCAAACTCCAAAAGCACACCCCTTACCGGTAGAATGCCACCCAGCCCAGCTCCCATTTTCCCATGCCGAATTCCATGATACTCCCACTACACAGAACATCACCCACAGGCCTATGCACCTCAGTATCGTTCTGGTCCTAGCTCACGCCCATTTCTGTATACCCCACCGGCGGCGCATCAGGCTGAACCTGCGGGACCGGCCCAACGGCACTCGCGGCAGAGGTCACTCCCGGGCGAAGCCCAGGATTCACATGAGGATTATTCGTCCAGTCATTCGAAAAGTCAAAGTTGGTGGCCCAGTCGTAATCGAGAAACTGGTCCAACATGGGCGGATTGCTAGAATCGTAGCCTTCCAGTGACGTGTCGAGGCTGACTCCACTCATGGGCGTTCCCAGGTTGGGCTGGAAGGGCTGGGACGCTTTGAGGGCGACAGCTCCGGCAGGAACGTTTACTTCGCGGTTTTCGAATTCTAGGGAAAACGTGTTAGTCAGAAGGAGACTGGGAGAGGACGGAAACGTACTCGGTGTTTCGGGCTGAGGGCCACCCGTAGAGGGAATGCTGCTGTTGTCGTCGATGCCTCCAACGCTAACACTGATACTACCCCTCGCCTCATCGCTGTAGGGATTCAGCATGTTGCCGAATTCCCCACGCCAGTACCAAAACATATCGAAGCTGACGCTCATGCTGAGGCGGGTGCGTAGTCGCAAACCCAGCGATTCTATGCGGCCATCGCGCCGGCGAAAGATGCGCGTACTGCCCCAGAGATTGGTCATGATTGCGGATATACGGACGCTGATGTCGTTGGGCTGCAGCGACATGGCTTTGCAGAAGTTTACGCATTGGAAGTAAGCTCGCTCGCCGGCTTGCAAGTCAAGATGATGGGCAAGTTGGCTACGGACGAGCTTGAGAATGATGAAGCCGGTGAGGGTGATGGTTCTGTCGAAGAAGGAGGGGCATGTCGCAGTTAGATCCGTGGTCCGGGAGAGGTCCGTCACGGTTTGGGCGAGTTCAAGGCAGAGGGCATAAAGCCTGACCAGGGCTTCTACATCGGGAGTCGCAGGGTTGGCGAAGAAGTGAAAAGCTAGAACGTGAATGCGCGCACAATCCAGCCCCAACGTGCCTGATTCGGTTAATATACGTACCCTCAAGGAGGATGCTACTCACAAAGATCCGAGGGCGATGAAGGAGCGAGACTGTAGAGCTGCCCGTCAAAGATGCTGATCAGAGAACGGAGACTGGCGGCGTCGGATTTGGCGTGCTTTAGATTCAGTCTCGCCATCGCGGTTAGTGCACGGAGCAGAGTGATGTGCGTCTTATGCAAAAATATCAAATCTTCCGGAAGAAGTTTCAGCTGTTCCTCTTGATCTCGCTGGTCACCATCCGTCGGTTGAGCAGTGACAAGCTCAAAAGGGGGTATGCCCTCGGCGCAACACGATCTGCATAGTGTCAATGATGGGTAGCCTTCAGTTTGTCAGGAGGCAGTACCTGACGTAGGTGATCATGCAGTGCATCCATAAGGCGGCACGAAAAATCTTCAGCTCCTGGTTCTTCTTCAGCGGCGTTCGAGCAAAGTCCTGCCCTACGCCCGAGACATGGAGCCCGATCTGGGTGGCCAGGTGGAGCGCGGCTCCACAAAGCACGTGGGTAACGTCCTTGAACAGCGAGTTGGTCGGCAAGGGCCACATGCAGAGGATAATGAGACCTTCGATGACAGGAATTGGGGTGGATCGGAGTGCCATGGACGAGAAGGCTAGAGGAGTGATGAGTTGGCTGATCCTGTCGAGGATCATGGGGTCTTCAGCGTATCGCCTCGAGCCCGTGACGACGATACTCCAGAAGAGGAAAGGGGACAATTCGTAATAATCATTGGGTGAAAGGGTGTTGTCCAGAACGGGAAAGTAGTGATGATACTGTTGGAAAAACCTGGGGGAGATGTTAGTCCAAGGTACGACGGGCAAGCCATGGGCTTCAGCAAGTACATGGTGAAGGTGTCGTCAATCTTCTTGGCGTCCACGACGTAGTCTTCCAGAATGCGAGGATGGGTACCGAGTGCGGAGGGCGGCCCACCGCTCGTGCCAGGCCGTGACGTGGGGCCTGGGAAGTTGGGTGACATGGACATGGAGGCGGGCCTTGCTGAGGCCGTGGAGAAGGCGGTGGAGCCGGGTTCCATGACTGGACTGACTTGGTGGCTGTCGACAGCAGGATGCATAGCCGCCATGGCAGACGTCGGCGTCGTGGGTTGCATGGAGCCAAGTTCTTGACTTTGCCGTAGACCCCATTTGAGCTGTTCGAGCTCTCGCCGCATCTCCGCCTTGGTCTGCCTGAGATTCCTCGTCGAAGTGGGCAGAATGCGACAGTCGATGTTCATCTTCTTGCACCGGCTACATGGGTCATGAGGCACCCGGTGCTGTTCGACATCGCATTTGATCTGGACATGGTATGAGCAGGTTCCACGGTGGTAGGTGGCAAAGGTCAGGTGAATGGGAAATTGTACTTACTTTCTGCTGCCTGCACTCAACACAGGCTTTTCGTCTTGGGGTAGTCATGGCCACTCAAATCTCGGATCTCCTGGCGCACATAGGAAGGCTGTACATAACTCGCAAACTGGTCGCCGAAGGTAGGCAAAAGAAGGTCGCTCCAGCTCGTTGGGGGACGCCCCGACGTTAAAGGCGGTTGACGTCGTCATCCGCTATGCTAAAGTCTAATTCAATGGAAGGGCCGAGAAACCACCGACAGGTCAAGTCTGCCCGGCAGCTGTGATGGGAGAAACGAAGGGGAAGGGAAGACGATTGAAGTGAAGCATTATTATTCTTCATCTTTTGAATTGATAAAGCGAAGACAGTGAATGATGTTTGGGTGACAGATAATCCATGGTCGAAGCGAGAAGGATGATAGAAAGCACCATACAAAGGTAGTCACAGCCGAGAAGCAGCAAAAGCCGCTAGCTTCCTTCAGCTTAGCCATCATCGTTGCCATCTCCAAAAGTTGCCCTCCCGCAGTCCACCCCCAAGCTCGGCGTCCGACTCTCCAGGGCTCTGTCGGACATCTAGTAAGGCAAAAGGCGCCTATTATGGAAACCACCAAAGGAACACTGCTTGTTGGTTTAGAAAGGCGGGATACAAACGCCTCTATAGACGAGCCCCGTCCCTCTCAATTCTTCATTCTTCGTCTCCTATCCAGTATGGCATATCTACATACAGCAAATGCCAAAAAAAATACAGCAACGCCATCTTCTCTTGAAGCGGCCGTCTACTCTAGAAAACAGCAACATGCAACACAATCCCATCCGCCCAAAAACAAGAGGGGGAAAAAAAGAGAGACAACCACCCAACCACTGGGACCCGCCCAAGCAGCAGCAGCATGGGCCGGTTTCGTTTCCCAGTCCATCGAAAGGAACATCTCCCAACACCCCAAAAACGCCGGTGCTATGCCTGAAAACGCCATTGCCACTGTCAACCCTCGTGGCATCTATCTACAGTATGCACATGTTTCAATCAAGGAATGGGAAGCACAACGCCCTTCCGAATGGGGCTATGCCCGCCCGACGTAGAGCTCTCGGCCGAGTACCCCGAATCGACATCCTCGTTGTCAAAGTCAATGTCGAAGCCGCCATCGTCCTCGTCCTCGCCCTCCTTCGCGTCGCCGTCCCACGCCTTCTGCTGCGCGCCTCGGTTGTTCCATCGCAACGTGCGCGAGATGGAGTCGAACCATTCCGTCGGCTGCGACAGCACGGACATGAAGGGATATTGCGAGGCGGCGATGGTGACGTGGTCGCCTTGGCGGAGCTCGACGCGGCCCTTGCCGTCGAATGCGCAGTAGGCGGTGGCGCGCGAGTTGCGCGGGACGGCCACACGGAGGAGCATGCTGTCGGTGAGGAGCATGGGGCGGAAACTCAGGGTATGTGGGCAGATGGGGGTGAGGAGAATGGCAGGGATGTCAGGGTGGACGAGGGAGCCGCCGGCCGAAAGGGAGTATGCGGTGGAACCTGTGGGTGTGGAGAAGATGCAGCCATCCGCCTGGACGACAGTCAGGAGATTGTTGTCGCCATACAGCTCGAGATTGGACACATAGGGCGACGGTCCGCGGTCGATGACGAGTTCGTTGAGGACCTCAAATTGCTCTGCTTCAATGTGCTCGGGGGTGCCGGGGCCGGCGTGCTTCTGGTACCGATACACGGTGCAGGTGAAGCGCATCCGGAGATTGACGCGCATGCCCACATCGCCCATGATCTTGTCCAGTGAATCCTTGTACCGGGGGAACTCGAAATTGGTGAGGAATCCAAGGCTTCCCAGGGAGAAGGAGAGAACAGGCGGTACGATGCGCTGGAACAGCCAGCTCGTGAACAACACGGTTCCGTCCCCACCCAGCGTCAAGACGAGATCAAACTTCTCGGGAGAAGTCCAGCACAGGTCTGGCGTCCAGAAGCGGAGCATGTCTTTAAACCGAGAATCCTTGGCGAGCAGAGACTGCATATCGAAGCGCGCCGACCGGCGCAATTTGTGGTCGACGTAGACGTTGACGCCGACGTCTGATCCGTATCGGGGCGTGCAGAGAAGCCATTCGGCCAACTCCCGGGTGCGATAGACGAGCTCGTTATCTCGGGCCTTTGTGACGATCATGACATTCCGTACCGTCATCTTGACCGGTCGCCGCTGCAGTTGCTTGGAGATTTCGCGCACACTGGTCGCCGTCTGCAGCAGTCTTGAATGCGATATGATCTCATCCTCTGCTATCTCATCTAGCACCTTGTCGATATTTACCGCCTTGTCGAACTTCTTGTGGAAGAAGCATGGAGAGGCGAGAGCGGCCATCTTGCCGGCTGACAACTGCTCCGAGTTGATGCTTAGCTCGCAAAGCGCAGTCGCAAGTCTCTGGCTCGACAGTGCCTCGGACGAGAAAGCTGACGGACGACCATCTTGCCGGTCTTGGCTGTCTATAGCTGCAGTGCCCATGGCCTGTGGAGGGGGTCGCGACTGCAGCGCCTTGAGGAGGGTCTGACGTGGAATTGAATCGATCGAGTAAGCGTTCTTGCGGTGCCGGAGCTTGCGGTGCTCGCGGAACGAGGGGTTGTGCGGAAGCGACGTGAGATTTTCGATAGAGGCGGACGAAGACGGAGCTTGGGTATCCGTCTCGGTTGGAGGGGTCGCAAGAGGTTGATGGGGTGGTAGGTCGGCGGGCGCGAGCCCACTGGTGGCTAATGTGGCTATCGTGGGAACATGGTAAGGTCCGTCGAAATGGTGGGACGGGGTGGAATTTAACTGTGGAGGATGTGGAGGTTGATGCGCGGGTGGAAGGTTGTTCACGTCTGGGCTTACGGAATTAGGCTCGGGGAAAGTCTGGCGCTGTGGGGACACAATTGGGTGGACCTGGATCGGGCTGACCAAAGGGTCTCCAGCGTGCCTGGCGGTGCGGACTCCGGGCATGATTACGGGTGGTTATTAATCGCCGGATGGCCAGGACTTGCAGTCGATGACGGAGTTGGCGGCTACGGCGATAGTTGTAATATTAGATGGAGAAAACGAATGCGGAGAAAGCGGAAGACGTAGCCGGACGTCGAGAAGCTGGCTGTGTATGTATATGCGCCAGCGATGTAAGACCTTGGAAGAGCTTGAAGGAATAGGAAACCGAACAACCGCGGAAGCGTGCGGCGTGAAGATAGCGTGTGAATTAACAGTACGAATTGCAACGACGCCGAGACTCTGGAATAGCTGCACAACAGCCAAACGAGAGTCTTGGAGAGGAATGAAGAACGAATGAACGAGCCGGCTCGATGTATTAAAGAGAAAAGGCAGAAAGAAAAAGCAGTGACAATGGCACACGACCGCAGGCCGCGCCAGAAGGAGAGGTGGACGTTGGAGGAGGTTGAGAAGCTCGTGGCGAGCAAAGAGCGGGGATGAGCCCAGAGTATATTCACCTCTCACGAGCTCGAGCTCCATGGAGGCACAACAACCTCCAGGCTGCCTCATCGTGCCGCAGTGTGGAGCGCCAGCCTCAAACGACGATAGTCCGACGTCGTGGCGGCTAACCAGAAGCAGTTGCACGCATCCGAATCACATTGTGTTTGACACTCGTGGGTCCTACAGTAGTACTCTCCGGAGAGCATCCCCAAAGGAGCCGTCCAGTCCAACTCTCAGAGCGCCAAGTGCACTGTTCTCAATGTTCTTTACGTCCCTGAAAGGGCGAGAGGGTGTTTCTGCCTCATGGCCAGGCACTGCTTCTCCGTCTTGCGTTGTTGTTGTTCTCCGTATGTTGGTGGATAGTCAGACCTGGGGCCACACTGTTGTCGCTTGCTCCGTGTCTCAAGTCCCCATCGCTTATCCATTATTTGACGCCCAGAGGGAAAATATCTGAACAAGAAAGCACGTGGCAAAGCCGGGAAATCCTGTCATTGAGCCTCAAAACACATCTGCAAGCAAAATATGCCAAAGTGCCGTCGTGGCGTGCCGACAGGTGCTCTGCAGACTTCATCGCCAGTGAGAATGCTTCCGACACGAAACATATCAGGGGGGACCCCCTTCGCAGTACCCAAACGTGAAGACACAGAAGCGAGTTTCTGCAACACAAACTCCTGGAATGCTAATAAATCACAGGCTCACCGCAAAAAGCCGTTTGATCCGAACAGCCCGTAAAATGGGACTGTTCGGAAACGTGTGGCGGGCGAATGTCCCCAAATGGTCGGCTGCGGCAACGTTCGCGCAATATGGGGAGAGGAATGGACTGATTGTTTGCAAAAGTCGGTACTTTGGGGTTTGGGTGACACAGATCCTGGGTTTCGCTCTTACCTCTCCGCTCTCGTTCAGGCACAAGGTCCTCGATGCGGAAGAAGAGGTTGTCGCCTTTCAACGTACCTTGCCCAGGTGGGACCAATCCTTCAGCAGGCCAAGGGGGAACGGTGTTCGAGAAATATTGATTCGGTATTGAATTTTGCAGCAGATGGCTGTCTAACTCGTCTCGATATTCAGATGTCGCCCTGCGAAATCCGATGCCAGCTAGATAGCACGCAGCAGTTGGTATCCCAACCAATCGACCTTCCAACTGCAAACACCGCTGTACTGAGAGGTATCTGTTTATGTCTCTCCCTCGTGCCCAGGAGGCACACTCGCCGCATCGGCACTTCACCGGAGGGCCTTGCGGGCGAAGACGGGAAGAACGAATGACGCCTCGTGGATCTCCTTGCTGTAGTACTTGCACAGCTTCTCCTCCTCTTCCTCGGACCAAGTGCGCAGGGGCTTCTTGAGGTTGCGGTTGGGGTCCTTGGAGCAGACCATGAAGCCGATCTGGCCGGAGGGGTAGGTCGGGATGGTGGTATAGGCATACTCGACGGTGGGGAAGACCTCCCTGCACGCCTTCTTGAGGTTGATGATAAGGGGCATGTGCAGCCACTGGTTTTCGGCTTCACGACACAAAAGTCAGCTCAAGTCACAATGGTGCGTTTACGGCTTGCATCATCCCGCCGGGCACTGGGGAGGAGGGGGCTCACAACCTTGAGTGGTGATGACACCACCTTCGCGCAGAGCACCGTTGAGGAGCTCAAAGTAGGCCTTCTGGAAGAGGGCCTCGGCAGGGCCTTCCGGGTCGCTGGAGTCGGTGATGATGACATCGAACTGGTTCTTCTTGTCCTCAAGGAACTTGAAGCCGTCGCCAACGATGACCTCGACATTGGGGTGGTCGAAGCCGACGGCCATACCAGGGAGGTACTGCTTGGAAAGACGAATGACAGCCTATCTAGTGTGAGCTCATGGGATTCGACTGGAGCTCTGCGGGACTCCGCACCTCGTCAATGTCGCAAAGGACAGCCTTCTTGACGCATTTGTGCTTGACGACCTCGCGGAGCACACCTCCGTCACCACCGCCAATGACCAGAACATTCTCGGGGTTTGGGTGAGAGTTCATGGCAAGGTGGGTGATCATCTCCTGGTATCTGCACCATATCAATCAATATCTACTCTTGTATCAATTCTCCTGATGACGTACGAGAACTCGTCCCTCTCGGTGGCCTGAATGACATTATCGAGCACCAAGACAGTGCCGTAGTCGGTGGATTTGAAGATCAAGACATCCTGGTACTTGCTCTTCTCGTGGTGGAGGACCTTTTCGACCTTGAGGGTCATGGCCTGGCCAGGCCACATGTCGGAGATTTCGCGGAACCAGCCATCTACATATAGCTGTTAGCTCTTAGACACATGCCTCCGGGGCCTTAGGAATATTTGCAAGCTACTACAAAATTAATGTGATGTTCATACCTTTGATGGTGGGGTGGACGATCTCGTTGCTCATTTTGGAGGAATATGTAGCTCGCTGCGCCGGAAAGAGGTTGTAATCCTGGGGTCTGTAGAAACAAAGGTTGTAAGACCGGGAAAGCCGGATACGAGAGACTAGCTTTCGAATAGAAATTGTGCCGGTGAAGATTATTGAAAAGGACGGTGTGCGGTGTTGTCTGGATTTTTGTTGATCTATGATGCTTCGGAATCTCGAAAATTTCCACATCATTGCTTGCCCCACCATCGACCCATGTCCTTCACTGAGGGGCAGCGGTAGCACACTAGCCTACGGTGGACTATTATTGGGTGTCCGGCCAGAATTCAAATTGAATCTAAGAAGCCTTATATACACTACCCCCTCGCACTGCGTATATATACTACCTCCTTGCTACGTACATACACTGCGTATATATACTGCGTACTTAAACTACGTAGTTAGACAGCGTACTTGCTCTGCGTACTTGCTCTGCGTCCTCGCTCTGCGTACTTGCTCTGCGCACTCGCTGCGTATATATACTGCGTACTTGCTGTATATATACGCTACGTACTTGCTGCGTATATATACTGCGTACTTGCTCTGCGTACTTGCTCTGCGCACTTGCTACGTATATACACTGCGTACTTATACTGCGTGTATATACTGCGTACTCGCACTGCGTACTTGCACTGCGTACTTATCCTAGGTACCTGCACTGCGTACTTATGCTGCGTACTTGTACTGCGTGTATATACTGCGTACTCGCACTGCGTACTTATCCTAGGTACCTGTACTGCGTGCCTGTACTGCGTACTTGTACTGTGCACTTGTACTGCGTACTTATATTGTAGACTTGCACTGCGTACTTGCACTGCGTAGGGTACGTACACTGCTAATTCTGCAGGACTTAGTTGCAGGGTTCGAGATGAGGTTTGAATTTTGGCCGGACACCCGATAATAGTCCACCGTACCAGCCCCGGATCGGGGAGGTCGAGCCGACAACATCTAGAGATATCCAATAGTCCCATCTCTTCAGTAGATACTTATATCTCGATAGAGTTGTGACTTCTGTTCCCATCGTTTCTATTTGTATGCGAGCTTTTCCGCCTGTCGGACGTCGAAGATCTCCAGCAAGGAATTAGAATTTAGTAACAGCCTAACAAGATATATCCAGACCGCTCCAGTAGCAAATCAGTTCCGGTGAAACTATTGAGATCTGCTTTGACTTCCCGAAGGATAAAAGATCCTGCATACCAGGTATGAGGCAGAGTACTGTGCGGAGCTTACTCCGTAGTGTAGAAAGAAAAATGTAAGGACCTCCAGGTGATCGGAAAGCGACAAATTCATTACAGCTACATAGCTACATAAGCTTCACGCCGAAGTCATCTACATGCTCAGGAGTAACTCTAAACAGTCAATACCTAAGCTTGTTGTTGCTCTGAATTGCCTCTACACTTAGCCAAATTGGCCAATCAGAATCCACCCTTCTCAACAAACACGCCAAGATATCAATCAAACAACCATCGTGGCTCCAACTCCCCAACATTGAGAGCTCAAACACCACTTTCACGAATTCCCCTCCCACTCACCCAATCCTCCTCTCCGACCCTCTTCCCACACACTATTCGCGATGTCGGACCCCTACTCCCCCGAAGGAGGCAAGCCCACACCCCCCCTCCCAGCTTAAAACAGTCCAACACCTAACCCCCCCTCCAGAACTCATAAACATCCACACTGCCTTCCACGCCGGCGCCTACAACCAAGTCCTCACCTTCGACACTTCCTCCCTCTCCCCCTCCAACGCTCTCCCTGCGCGCATCCTAAAACTCCGCTCGCAAATCGCCCTCGGCCAAACCGCCGACGTCATCTCCTCGCTCGCCAAAGAAACCGTGCCCGACCTCGTCGCCGTCCGCCTGCTGGCCGAGTACGACTCCGGCAAGGATGTGCTAGCGCAGATGGAGAAGCTGGTGGAGCAGCACGGGCAGGGGAATCTGACGGTGCAGTTGTGCGCGGGGATCGTGTTTGAGAGGGCGGGGGAGACGGAGAAGGCGTTGGAGGTGTTGAGTAAGCATGAAGGGAGCTTGGATGCGTATGTCAAGCGTTTAAGATCTAGTATGAGGGGAGTGCATGACTGACTGAGGTGGACAGAGTGGCTTTGATAGTGCAGATCCACCTGCGGCAGAATCGCACGGATCTGGCTGCGAAGGAGGCACAGCGGGCGAGGAAATGGGCACAGGATAGCTTGCTGGTTAATATTGCCGAGTCGTGGGTTGGCATGCGCGAGGTACGTACCCTCCTCTCCCGCGCTTCTAAGATATCGCGATGCTAACGCCTTATCAGGGTGGAGAGAAGTACCAATCCGCCTTCTACGTCTTCGAAGAACTCGCCACCTCCTCGCAAACCACCTCCCCGCACTCTCTGGTCGCCCAGGCCGTTTCCGAACTCCACCTAGGCCGCCTCCCAGAGGCGCAAGCTGCATTGCAGCAAGCGCTCGAGCTGGACCCCAAGGCTGCTGACACAATTGCGAATCTCATCGTGCTGAACACGCTGCTGGGGAAGAAGGACGAAACGGCGCAGTTGAAGGAGCAGTTGCAACAGGTGGATAAGGAACATAGGTTGTTAACCGATTGGCAGGAGAAGCGGGCGGAGTTCCAGAGGGCGATGGGGAAGTATACTCCTAAGTTTGAGGCATGAGCGCGTCATCGCGACTGAAATGGGGAAAGGAATGATGACATTTTGGGATTACGGCATGGGAATGTCTTATAGATGCTCTCTTGAAGAAGAGCGGGAAATGAGCAACATGCTTTCGACGAGAGATCAAAGTCCAATGCAGAAGTGGTGCGCTCCATCAATTGTTGTATTGGAACTCACGTGTTCGTTGCTTCTGCCCACCTGGGCAGGCGGTACTGCTCAGAACACACTTCTCCTCATACTTCGGAGTCTCATCTACAATGTCGATGGATGTATGAGAATGCAGAGGACTTTGCCCTCATAATCATTCTTTGAGTGCATGCAGTCAGTCCTAACTTGAGCATCTGAGCCTGGACCGAGTCTATACACATTCAATGAACGTCGATCAAGTTCCCGCAATTCACTGACTTCCCCCATCCTCAAAGGCCAGCTCAACCTCTAATCGATACACCTCAGACACAGCTTACACAACTTACCAGTACTTTAGCATAGAACTGCGGAAAACACCCAATCGAACCACCCCTTCAAACCTCGCCACTCACATTTACCCATGCCCCCTCACAGACTCCAGACCTGTATTCTCCAAGAAAAGGGCCCGACCCACGTCCCTCAGCCACAGACGTGAACATCACCTGTTCCCCAGAACAGTACCTAGCTACTGTGGTAGTTAATCCACCAGCTCCTTGCGAGTTACAGTAGCTCCAAAGCGGAAACCGTTCGTCGGAAACAGCCAATGCTCGTTCAAAGAAAAAGCTAGCAAGATCCTGAAGGGGAAATTGCAAGACTGACAGTAGGTTCTTTGATGGTTGTCGTCGGCGTCAGCGGCACTCATGAGGCACACGCGTGGAGAATCCAGAAGAAGCTTGGATTTACTTGTAATGGTTGAGAAAGTCGGGAACCAGTGGAGTGGCTGCCACGATGACGGGTCCACGTGGGAGCCGTCAGGCCGTTCCGGACGAATTCGTGGGGTTGTTGGGGTATGGTGATGGCGTGGTTGGGGAGAGTTCTTTGTCCGGCTGCGAATTGGTCAATAAGCTTTATACTACTACTATGTTAGCTAGGACAGAAGTTGCCGATTCTAGACAACCTTGTTACCCGGTTTTATTTCTGATAGGTCATTAGTCTAGAAAAGGGTATCGTCGTTTTTGGTATTTGACGCGTTTCGGTGGCCCTGCGGTACAGCAACGCTATCCCACGAGTATCTCAGGAGTCAGGCACAAAGTTAGCCTTCTAGCCAAGCTTTCTCTAGCGCAGTCGATCCGGCCCGGATTGACATGTGGATCATCAAGTTCGCTGGGTCGTCGCGATTCAAGAGCCGTTTATAACGACCTTCTGGTGATTGCGAAAAAAGGTGTCGATACTGAAGCCCTCATAACGTGCAGTCGAATATTTGATAGTCTAGGACATGTAGGCGCTTCGTACTTGTCTGACACGCATAACGGCAAAACCTGTCACCAGGGACGTGTGGCGCCGGGATATCATACATCCGAGAATCCTGGGGAGCAAGCTCCTGCGAATCCTACCCCGCCGGCAGTCCCATGTGGTTGATACGATGTTCCAACCTTCGGAGTTGTGAGATTATCACCGAGGGCAGGTGAACCTGCATGCTTGCTCGTCCGTACGCGTATGCGTTGTGATGCTTGTAGGCTTGCGTGTGTCTTGCTGTGGGATCTTATTCCATCCCGCATCTATCTATCCTAATAAGCTGTGAGGATCGCTTTTAAGAACAGATGTGCAGTTCTCCGGCGCATAGCGGCTTGCCACATTTGGTTGAGTTATTATTGGAAAAAGGGATCCGGTATGTGGAGTATTCGGCCTCTTAAACATCTTTTCCGCTTCCTGCAGTACTCTTTGGTATTCGTCTTTGCAGGTGAATCCTAACCGACATGGAAGAACGAGCAGACAGGCGACCAGAGTTGGTACAGACGCCGTTGATGGAGACCATGATAATCCCATCAGGCTTCGAAAACGACGGAAAGCATTTGGAAAAGCTTGCCCAGGAGCCTCTGCTTGGACCTAAGACCGATTTCCCCTCGCGTATGTGCATGTCGATGGAATGTGTAGTTGTAGGTTGTTAATCTCTGCGCAGCGGTGTTCGCATTTGCCCGTAAAGATGTCCCGGGAAACAAGAGACCACAAGCCATCGCGCATCGTGGATACAAGGCCAAATTTCCCGAAAACACCATGGGTGCCTTCAAGGGAGCTGTGAAGGTCGGTGCGGAAGCGATCGAAACCGACATCCATCTGTCAAAAGATGGTGTTGTCGTGCTGTCCCATGTGAGTTGTACTCTTGCGTGACGACGATTTCCCGTGCTGAACAGGACAGGATAAAGATTTGAAACGGTGCTTTGGGCGGCCGGAAAAGATCATCGACTGCGATTATGAGTTTCTGAGCAGGTTAAGGACCCTGAAGGAGCCTCGCGAGCCGATGCCGCGCCTGGTTGACTTGCTCGAGTATCTTGCACAGCCGGGACTGGAAGACATATGGATGCTGCTCGATATAAAGGTGCGTCCCATGTCACCTTCTTTGTGCGAACTGTCTCTAACGATTACAGATCGACAACGACCCTGACGACGTAATGCGGCTCATCAGCGAAACCATTCGCAGCGTCCCGCCTTCTCGGGATCCCTGGTCAGCGAGGATCGTCCTGGGATGTTGGACAGCAAAATACCTCCCCTTATGTTCACGATACCTGCCCGGATTCCCAATCACGTACATCGGCCACTCTCTTACCTATGCCTCGTACTTCTTCACTGTTCCAAACGTATCCTTCAACTTATCGCAAGCAGTCTTGATGACGCCCTGGGGAAAGGCTTTCATCCGGAAAGCGCACTGCGACAGTCGGCCTGTGTTTGCATGGACGGTCAACGATGAACGGCTGATGAGGTGGGATATTCGGCATCGGCTTGACGGAGTCATTACAGATGACCCCAAGCTGTTTCTGGAGGTCCGGAGAGGGTGGCACGAGGGGATGCGTGAGGGAATTGGGCTGAAGCTATGGCTTAATGTGTTGCGGGTAAATCTGTTTGCCTTGGTGATTGGAGTGATACTCCATCTGAAGTATCCTTTACACAGATTCAACGAGGGGAGACCTTTCGTCCGCTCCAGAGTGGAGATAGAAGACTGAGCCGTATCGATGCCACTAGAGTTAGTTTGAGAGTTAGTTGCTTGAATCATCACCTAAGAGTAGTCAGTATCTTAGTCAGGACGAGGTGTCGTTGATATGGTGAAGTGCTGCGTTATACAGAAATCGGGTCCAAGCTTCAACGCCAGGAAACGAACGACGTGCGAACATCCCCGCAACGCGTCCGCCTTCGACACCACAACCCAAAATGCCCAGGTACGCGATCCGACCCCTCCACTCACTCTATACCATACCTAACATGTCTCCAGAGAAATAATAACCATACAAGCCGGCCAATGCGGCAACAGCGGTCCGTCCCTCTCTCTCTCTCTCTCTCTCTCACTCACTCCCTCACCTCTCCCACCATAATTCAACCCCACTACTTCGCCTTCCCCCTGCCTCCACCATCAACGCAATATCTCCCCTACACCAAACACTGACTTCAAATCCACCCATATAGTCGGCCAACAATTCTGGCAACAACTCTGCCAAGAGCACGGCATCAACCAAGACGGCAACCTCGAGGACTTCGCGACCGAAGGCGGCGACCGCAAGGACGTCTTCTTCTACCAATCCGACGACACGCGATACATCCCTCGCGCCATCCTGCTCGACCTCGAACCCCGCGTCCTCCACGGCATCCAAAACAGCGCCTACAAGAACATCTACAACCCGGAGAACTTCTACATCCACAAGGATGGCACGGGCGCGGGCAACAATTGGGCCACGGGTTACCACATGGGCGAGCAGGTGCAGGATGAGGTGCTGGATATGATTGATCGCGAGGCGGATGGGTCGGATTCGCTCGAGGGGTTTATGCTATTGCATTCGATTGCGGGGGGCACGGGGTCTGGGTTGGGGTCGTTCATGTTGGAGCGGCTGAATGATCGGTTTCCCAAGAAGTTGATCCAGACGTATAGCGTGTTTCCGAATACGCAGGATGGCGATATCGTGGTGCAGCCGTACAACAGTTTGCTGAGCATGAAGCGCTTGACGCAGAATGCCGACTCGGTGGTAAGCAGTCTTCCCTTCCCTTTGCATATCCCGGCATATCCCACCCTCTAACTAGACACCACTCGATACTGATCAAAACAGGTCGTCCTAGACAACGGCGCCCTCAGCCGCATCGCCGCCGACCGCCTGCACGTGCAAAACCCTTCCTTCCAACAAACCAACCAACTCGTCTCGACCGTCATGTCAGCCAGCACCACGACGCTGCGCTACCCGGGCTACATGCACAACGACCTCGTCGGCATCGTCGCGTCGCTCATCCCGACCCCCCGCTGCCACTTCCTCATGACGTCGTACACGCCCTTCTCGGGCGAGAACGTCGAGCAGGCCAAGACGGTCCGCAAGACGACGGTCCTCGACGTCATGCGCAGGCTGCTCCAGCCAAAGAACCGCATGGTCTCGACGTCCCCCACGAAAAGGAGTTGCTACATGTCGATTCTGAATATCATTCAGGGCGAGGCGGATCCTACTGACGTACGTCAACGTCCATATATATATATACATCTCCGCGAATATCCCATATGCAATGCTAACACCACACACACACAGGTGCACAAATCCCTCCTCCGCATCCGCGAGCGCCACCTCGCGACCTTCATCCCCTGGGGCCCCGCATCCATCCAGGTCGCCCTGACGCGCAAGTCCCCTTACATACCCTCGTCGCACCGCGTCTCGGGCCTCATGCTCGCCAACCACACGGGCATCGCGACCTTATTCAAGCGCATCCTGACGCAGTATAATGCGTTGCGGAAAAGGAATGCGTTTCTGGAAAGTTATAAGAGAGAACCCATGTTTGAGGGGGGGCTCGATGAGTTTGATGATGCGAGGGAGGTGGTGCTGGGGTTGGTGAGGGAGTACGAGGATGCGGAGCGTGAGGATTATCTGAGTAGGGAGGAGGAAGGGGGAGCTGGGGGAGGAGGGGAGGGTGAGGGCGAGGCGGGGGATAAGAGGGTGCCTGTGTGAGACGTAGAAGCGTGGTAGAGGACATGGAATTTGGCGTTCAAGGGGGAAGGCGCTCCGGAAATGTAGCATCTAGGCTGGGGTTTGTCAAGGTCGGATTCGGGAAGGACGACAGCTGTCCTCTCATGTTGACGGCGATCAATGATACCATGTTCCACTGTTCCAACCTTAACGAGACAGAAAAAGAGCACCATAGAGAACCATGCCATTTTGTGACGTATTCGACAATATCCCCATGAAATGCCCAAGTGGACATAGCAGCCCCCTACGAGTTCATAGGCATAACCTCGAAAAGGAGACATGGTCCTATCCATCCCCACCATTGTATCTTGTACGTCCCCAGCGCCATGAGAAGTCGGCAGTACACCACGACCAACAAACCATGCCTACGGTGATGTGTACCCGTCCCCTACTAGCGGAGATTGGCCAGCAGACCCTCATACTTCCCCTTCCAATACGCAACATCAGCGGCCGTCAACTTGGATATCTCAAGCTCGGCCTTGAGGCGATCCAGCTCCTCGTCCTTTTCCACGTATTGCTTGATCTTCTCGACGGCCTCGTTGTACAGGGGCTGCATGGCTGCGTACTGGTTGTAGGACTCCTGATAACGGTTAGCCATGGTATTGCAACATCGGGAAGGAGAGTCTTACGGTTCCGAGTTCCTTCCACTCGTCGAGCTGCTTCTGGAGTTGCTGGATCGTGTCTTGGGTCTGCTGAAGCTGATCCTGGACACCAGGGTCGGCGGCATGGTGGTCAACAGTGGCACCTGCGTTGTTGTCCTTCATCTGCTGGAGGGCAGCGGCGAGCTTCGCATTCTCGTCCTTGAGCGGAGCCAATTGCGAGGCCATGGCCTTGTAATCGGCCAGCTCCTTCTCCAGCTCTTTGACCTTGGCATCAGCCTCCTCCTTCAATTTCACGCCCTCATTCTTGGTTTGCGCGAGGGCCTGCTCCATCATCTTGATTTTCACTTCATCATCGGCGGACGCCTTCTCAAGTTCCTTGAACTTTCTCGTTAGTTCCTTGAACTTGCTCTCTAGTTCCTTGAGCTTGCTCTCTAGCTCTCCCGTGGAAGCTACGAGCTTCTCATTCGCACTCTGAAGAAGCTTCTTCGAGCTGATCAGCGTGTCCATGTCAGTACGTAGGGCGGCTATCTCCTTCTCCGCTCGGGCAAGGGCAGCCTTTGACTGCTCCGCCTTGGTCTTGTAGTTTTCCGCCTCTTGCCTGTGGAGGCTTTTCTCGAGAGTCAAACGTGAAATACGCTCTTCCAACTTGGCGATCGTCTTGACGCTCGACTCGAGCCGGTCTCTGCATTGACAGTCAGCTTTCCATCATGTAAAAAGGGCGAACCTCTCGCGGAGAGCTTATACGCAAACCAGGAGGCTTGGAGCACTTACTGGATATCGACGCTCATCTGCTGCATTTGCACTTGCTTCTGAGCGCCCTGAACGGAAACGGCCACTTTTCCTTCATCGACTTTGACCTCTCCGGTATGGATCTGTCCCAGGTTATCCTCCGGGTTGTACACCGTCGCTGGACCTCCAGTTCCGGGCTCCATGGCAGAGTCGTAGAGACGCTCGAGCCGTCCCCAAGTCTCGTCGACGAGCTCAACGTGCGGTTTGGCAAGGCCGCCGTCTTTCTTGACAGAGTCGAAGATAAGCCGCATTAGCGTGTGGGAGTGCTGAAGCCAGCTCGAAACGGCCTGGGCGGGAGCGGCTGGCTGCGTGGTGTCATTCTTGAGGGCCTCAGACCCAACAATCTCCCGTTGCGTAGCGGAGGAGGCGCGCACCATGGTCGTCTGACTGCTGGGTGGAGGAATGGCAAGGTCTCCCGAATTGGCTTCTTTGACTGCGCCCGTGCTGGATTGCCCTTCGGCTTGGGGTGCAGGAGTGCCCTGAGAAACGTCACCGTTTGTAGAGGTGCTGGGAAGAGAGCTCCGGGAGAGGTCAGTTCGCCTCAAGGTGGCCAATGGAGCGAGGTTCAAAGCAGCAGAAGAAGCGTTCGGAACCGAGGAGGCACCGTTCGCCGGAGCATACCTAGAAGAAGCAAGGCCGGGAGCCATGTTGCAGATTTTGACCGCTGTGGCCTGGTCAGAGCGATTACCGGAAGAGCAGGCGGTCAGTGTTGGACGAGTGCGGCACCCGCTCACTCGACTGATCTTTGCGGATATGAAGAGGGTATACTCACAGAATTGGAAGCGTCCTTCTCTCTACGAGTGTCAGAGGAAAAGAGGGTGTGGTGGAGAGGATGGATGGACTGCGGGGCAGAAACGTTGGTGTTGTTGTCGTCGTTCTGTGTTTGAGGAAGGCGCGGCGGCAGCCGTGACGGGCGCCTTTGGAGTCAACACCTACATGGCGCGGCGTGCAAACAGCAACTGCAAACATGCTGGCGGGTCTCTGCCAATCATGCTCAACTGGCATCGTGACACTCTTTACAATTTTCCGTGAAAGACTTCTAGGGCCCCGGACTCAAAAAGCGAAATAGCGAAGGAAGCAGAGCAAGACACTAATGAAAGGGATTGCAAGTGAGAGCGAAGTGAGAGTTGACGACAAAATGCAGTAGGTGAGATGAATGATATCGATTATAGAGAGAAAATAAAGTTGATATGGGATTCTGCAGCACCACTGCAGGAAGGGATAGATAGTGCATGCTTTACAGTGCGCCGAAGCTGATGACACACATGCTACTCCCTATTACTTGACCCAGACCATCTCTCCTGGCCGACGAAGGCTGTATAGTTGTTTGTTATAGAGGTAGAGGGAAGGCGAGTAGGAGAGAAGGGGAGAGAGTGAAGTTGTTCATGGTCATTCGGGAGATGGTTGCACGCCACACCCGGTGTAGTGCAAAACCCGCCCGAGGCAGAAGGGCAATATAAGATAAGAAAAGTGAGACAGTCGCACAAACAGACACAGAATAGCAGCACTCGACGCTCAGCAAGGCGCAGGAGGGCCTGTCAAACCACGAAGCCGGAAGACATGACCTGTCAAGCACGGCGACGAACAGCATCGTGCGGCGCTGCTCGTGGGCTGGCAAGTGACCAGTCGTGAATGCACCTTCTGAATGTCTACTAGTTCTACAAGTAATAGACTACTTGGATAATCTACAAGTAGGAGCCCGGGACGACCTCGGGACGATCGATCGGAATTTAATCTCAGAGACGGTGCTGCCATGCAACAGAAGATGCACGCAATGCCTATTCGGGGCTAGGGGCAAATATGGAAACAATGTTGTTGAACGCCGAGGATATAAAGGATGGAGGCAACTGCAGCCCTTGGAAATTTGCTCACACTCAAGGCGGCGAGCATAACTTCCTGGTTTCTACGTGCAGCGAAACCTTGTTGGAAGAGGGATGTCGAGGATGTGGTGTCTGTGGTGTCTGTGGTGTTTCTGATGGCCGTGTGCACGCTCTTCTGCACGCACGCCAGTTTTTAACCTTGCCATAATGAGCCGGCTCTTTTATCCAGACCCGGGCGGGTGGTGTGCGACGGAGGCTCAGTAATAATGATCCTGATTCATCCCGGGCTGTTGTCGGTGTCAGGGCGAGGAGGATAGGATAACAGGATCACCAACACCAAGAGGCGAGTCTAACGAAACGGCAGCGCAGTGGCGGAATGGTGGCCATCTGATGATGGGCACGGCAAATAATTTCTTTTTCCTTTCTGATGCCATGGCATGGCAGGGATAGGTAAAGTTTCGGGAGAGGGGCCCGAGACGAGGCGCGGGACGGGCCTCGAAGGAGGCACAGTTTCGACGGCCGAGGGTTTCGGAAGGTGCGCCGTCGCTCTTAGCTGGGCCGTACCGAGACGGGGCGAAACGGTCGCTGAATCATCAAGTTGTCTGGTGCTGCGACGAGACGACGGAAGAGTGCATATTTGGTTATTACTGTACATAGAGCAATGTTATTCTTGATGGTACTTGCCTGTCCTTTTCCTACAAGTGCTGCATCATGTATTCCGCGCAGCAGAGAGAGAGAGCTGGTGATGGAATCACTCTCGGTAGGTGTACCCTCTCCGTACACAAAAACGGGAGAAGACACGCTGCCCCGGGGAGTCGGTGGAGGCGCTGCTTGATAGGACGGCCGGTGATGGAAGGGAAAGGCGAGGCGAAGCAATCCCAATCCCTCCCTCTGGGAAGCCTACCCGGTGGATGCGAGACCGCCACCGAACCACCAGAAGCCAGACAGCTTAGCCAGCTGCAGTGGCATCTTATAAGTGAATCGAAAAGAAGAATAGCCGTGTCTCGCGTTGTTGCGGCCTCTTGCCGCCGACTGGGTTCTCCTGCTATGTCTGGTCGACGGACCGCGCGAGTGTTTCTCCATCCGAAGAATCTGCTCGTCAACCACCACACTCATGAAGAGCACCTGCGAGAGGTCTCCCGTGGCAGCCTCAGCAGGCGGGTGCATGAATAATGGCCGCCGCTGGACTTGCTCGATAGCTACTAGCCAACTTCAACGTATCGGGCTGCGGCGATGCTCCCGAGAGAGCGTTCCAAGGTTCTTTTTTAGCCCCAAGCCATATCTGCATCTGCATCTCCCCGTGCTGTGGTGATCCCCAACTTAATAATAAATAATAACGACATTCTCCCGGTCGTCTGCACAGCTGCGAGAAGAAGGAGACAAAAGAGGGAGCTGCAAAAGCTCTCCAAGCTTCCCACAAAAGCTGCGACGGCCGCTCCACGCCCGCCAAAAAGCAACACCACGCCCCCCAGCACGGCAGACAGGGATCCGAACCAGAGTTGCCCAGGGGTCCGCAGTCCCTCTTCTCTTCTTCCTGCGAATCCCAACAAATCCAACACCTCTTTTCTCTCTCCCTCCTTCGCTCTGCCATCCTCTCGACATCCCCCTTTTTCCTCGTTGCTGCCGTCCGCCCCTTCCTCCTTCCTCCCTATTCACCATCTGGCGCCCCCAGCCTCTCCCAGGTCCCATCCCTCAGCGCCTCGTGGCCGCGGCCCGCAGACGTCCGCATCGCATTCTCCTTTTGCGCCAGCTCCAGCCTCTGCCATCGCTCTCACCTCCCCGCGCTAAGCATCTTGCGTTAGTATTGTTGTTTCCGTTTTTGTCATTTGCTGTTTCTTTTCTTTGAGCCAGAACCCAGAAGCCCTTAAGCCGTAAAGCTTGGGGGCTTGGGGGTTGCGAGGGCCCCGCTTCTCCTGCACCGGCCCGGCTAGCTTCCGTTCCCTTATTCACACAACCTGGGCACCACTCCACCACCTAACCTCCATCACCCCATCCAACGACAAAAACAACACAAAGCACCCGCCGCTGCAGTCATCATCATCATTCCTCCCGCCGCTCCTATTTATCCCTGAGCTGCGGTACCGAAGCTATTGCCGCCGTCCCTATGCGATCGTCGATGATTTGACTTCAAGTAGACTGACTTGCCACACCTAAAGGTGCTCCCTCCTTCTCCCTGCGTTATCTGCGTCACGCTCCAAATCCCCATTGGATCCGACTAGCACCGCCCGTCTCGACGCTGCCCGCTCCACCCATCCCAACTACGCCCACGCCAGCATCTGTGAAGCGGATACATGGCCCCGGGCATCATGTGCTTTGGCAAAAAACCCGACGACCCCGAGTCTCGGCGAAACGATGAGATCGAGAAGGTCATCCGCAACGACAAGAAGAGGCAGGAGCGCGAGGTGAAGCTGCTGCTGCTCGGTACGCCTGCCCACCTGCACAAATTTTGCATCAAAATGCAGCCTCGCTGACTCCCATCCTAGGCGCTGGAGAGAGTGGCAAGTCGACCGTCCTGAAGCAGATGCGTGTCATCCACGCCGGTGGCTTCAACAAGACGGAGCGAAAGCAATGGCGCGCCATCATCTTCAACAACCTGGTTTCGGCCTTCCAGACCATCTTTGCCGCCATGCAGGAGCAGGAGACGGAGTTTGAGGACGATGACAACCTGGTATGCCTCCGGCTTATGCCCACATGGCTCCCGTCAATAGCTAACCAGACCCATAGCGATACGCCGAGATGATCGCGGCTGACCCGGAAATCGGCATCGAGGACCCCATGCCCCAGGAGTGTCTGGCCGCCTTCAACAGCCTCTGGGCCGACAAAGGCGTCCAGCTTGCCATCCTCAAGGGCAACCAATACGCATTGCACGACAATCTGAGCTAGTACGATTCTGGTCTTTCTCTGTTCGAGCATAACTGACCCTCTTCCAGCTTCTTCGCCGATGTAGAGCGCCTTTTCGCCAGAGATTACCTACCCACCGATCAGGATATCCTCCGCACACGGTTGCGAACCACCGGCATCACCGAAACCATCTTCGAGCTGGGCAACCTGACCTACCGCATGTTCGATGTGGGTGGCCAGCGTTCGGAACGGAAGAAGTGGATTCACGTCTTCGACAATGTGCAAGTGGTGCTCTTCCTGGTGGCCATCAGCGGTTACGACCACGTGCTCGTCGAGGACAGAAACGGCGTAAGTGCACCCCTTGTCCCCGCCATGTGCATCCAGCTAACAACCATCCCAGAACCAAATGCATGAAGCCCTCATGCTCTTCGAGTCGATATCCAACTCCAAATACTTCGAAAAGTCCGCTTTGATACTCTTCCTCAATAAGATCGACCTGTTCAGGGAAAAGATTGCCGGTGGCATGAGCCCCATCAACAAGGTCTTCCCCGACTACACGGGCAGGCCCACGGACATTGAAGCTGGGCAAGAGTTCTTCGCCAACAAGTTCCGGAACCTGGTGCGGCAACCGAAGAAGGAGGTCTACGTACACTACACCAACGCCACCGACACCGATCTGCTGAAGAAGACGATGGCTTCCGTCCAGGACATGATTGTCCAGCGCAACCTGAACGCACTGATACTGTAAGATGGCCTTCATTCAACGCGTCCTGCTTTTCGGACTACATTCTTCTTCTGCGCATCCGTACAGCCCATGGCTCCGGACACACCGTCACTTCGACTATTGCCGTTTCGCCACATGCTCTGGTCTGGAAACAGAGGCCATGTCTTTCTGAGCGACCGCTTCATGCCGCCTGAGCCCCCATATCCGATTGTCTGTGCACCAGGCATGATTCACATTCCACAACTTTGTCCTCTTTCATGATCCCGTTTGCGTTTGTTCAAAGCTTGTTTACATTCAACCGCGCGATTCCTTCACTGACCGGGCTTGATGAGCAGCTACTAGTCTGGTTTTTTTTTTCTCTTCGCGCAGCGGTCCCTTTCCTCGTCTTGTCCAGTGCCGACGCAGTAGCACGCCTCCACCTGTTGGCCGGATCCATCGCCTGTTCGTGGGTTTGATATGCACAACGATTGGAGCAAGAACAGGGAGGATTTCTAAAAGGCCAGCTTTGGAGTTTTCAACAGCGCATTTTCACATGGAGACTTTTTGACTTTGTTTTTCTTGATAGGGCGATCTGGGATCGACTGGGATTGGATTGGAATCCCCTGATTCTCTTCTGTTTTTCTTCTTGAAATGTAACTATCATGACTGAAGAGTGGGAAGCGGGTTGCGGTTTTGTTGGAGAGAAGGGTTGATGCGAGGATGAAGGATGATGATGGGAATGAGGGGAGATTGAGACACTTTCAACACTGCACTCGTAGTGATACCTCTCTCAAACTACTTGTTGTTGGCACGATCATGGTGGGGTTACGTAGGGAATGGAAAAAATTATCGGCTGATATTCTACAAACATGTAGGCTTAGTTGCACAACGTTGGAACGTCTCGGCCGGAATTCGGCGTCTGTACTCGGTAGGAAGAGAGTAAATACTTGATGTTCCTTGTACTTAAGATACAGGGACGGGGGTTCGGGGGTTAAATGGAGTGGGCATGTGCTGGATGCGCTGTGTCAGTGGATGTGTTTCAGGATTTGATTTGTATTCGCGTGGGTATTTACCAGTGTGTTGGGTGGGTAGGTGCGTATGTGCAAGTGTATATAGATGGTTGCAACCATTCCGAGTTGGCAGTTTTGCATCTATGTATTTTACCGCCCACGTATGTATCACAGTATACATTCATGTTCAGCATCACTAGGAAGTGGTATCATATGTATCTACAGCAATAACCGAGGGGAGAAGAAAGGGGGGAATGAAGGGACTTCTTGAAAGAGGATTGAAGCTCGTTTGAAGTTGATGACAATCACAATCACCATTCTCATTCTCATTACTATCAAATAGAGAGTAGTAGGACTCTCTATGTAGTAACGAGTGAGAAACGGGAGCTAGGGACGTTGAAGGGTATGGCATTTGTTTTGAGTGAGGGTGGAACGGATGGTGGTGCGAGGGAGGGAGAGGGAAAGGAGTGCGGGGACGGTGAGGGGGTTTTATACTCCAGCCTGTCTAACTACAACAATCTTCGAATTGAAAAGAGGCGTATTCGAGAAGGGAAGATGCGCTTATGTGTGTGTTGTGCTGTTGATACCAACCTAGCAGAGACGATGATGCCGGCCCTCATCATCGAAAATCTGATCGCGCAAAAGGCAAGGGTCACAGAAATAGTGCGTCGCCGTCGCAGAGGAGGAAGGGACGGAGGGACATCGTCCCAATGTTCAACGATTTTTTTTCCTTGCTTGTTTTAGGAAGTGTAAGGAGAGAGGAGAGAGGGGAGAGAGGGAGTAAAGAGAGAGAGGAGGGGGGTTTATATAGATCCTTTGTAATCGACAACTTGGACGAAGACTGCGAGGGGCTAGAGGAAGTGTGTAAGTTATTCTACAGACTTTATTAGAGGCATGTTTGGAATCACTGCGAGGAGGCTGTAGGTACTAGCTACGAACAGTGCTTACTATTATCACTATTATTAACGTTTCTAAGATACCTACCTTATGCAGATGTCTACAGGAAGTTAGATAGCAAACAACGACACGACATGTATTTTTCTTTAAGGGATTTTTAGGAACGAAAACCTGCCTACCTTGATAAAAGAAGAAAGGAATAAAGCACGAAAATAGCGAGAGGGTTTATATACTTAATAAACAATCGCGTGTGCTGCGTTCTATTATCCCTAAAAAGAACATACCGCGATGCTCGTATATGTAGAAGCTTCGTAGTTGAGCGGCAACGAACTTTATCACTACTATTACATTTGCGCAGAAAACATCCCTTTAGTCGCAACGTAACTTGGAACCTGCCAACAGCCTCGCTTTTAAGAACTGCGCCAGTGGACCTGATGCGGGACCGCACATACTCCTTTTTCCTGGATACTTTTGGAAGATCGAGAGGGGAGGGACGGGGAGGTAGGGAGGTGATAGCGTAAGGAGGTAGGAATATATATATGTTTTCTCGGACTAGGGTATATAGATGCTGTATAGTTGGCGTTGCAGTACGCAGGTACATACGTATCGAGATTTTATAAATTTTTTCGAGGCGAAGAAATGCGGTAGACAGCTTCTTAAGTCCCGAACCCATAGTGCAGGTTTTTGAATGATGATGAAGAGCATTATAATAGTCTAAAGACCGCGGACATGACTTCTTGAGACAGACTTTTATCGAACGCACACATCGTTTGCTTTCTTAGCGGTTCTAAGGAAGCCGGGGACACAACAAACATGTATCTGGATGCTTTCTTTTTAAACGAGATTTCGAAAGTGAGGGATAAGTGAGAGAGAGATCTGGGCAAGAAGGGGGCGTTTTATACCTTTTTGCGTCCTATGAAGCGTCTGCTTAAACCTGGTTGCGACGAGGATATGTTACAAGAAACATATGGCTTCAACGCATCGCTTAAAGATGGAGCGATACTGCAATGCAGCATTAGTACCTATTAGATATATCAAAGATTACATAGCTTGTCGCGATTTATGTGAAATTACGAAGACTTAGGAACATGGTTTTAGGAATAACGTTTTTGAAGAAACAAAACACATGACGCGGGTCACCAACGTTTTTTAGTCTCCCCAGCTTAAAGGTATAATTGAAGTAGTAGCGGGGAGGGAATTGCAAAAAGTAAGAAGAATATATACCGTAGGGTACTATAGACAGGGCAGGAATGTAGATTATACGCGACGACGCACGTAATAAGAAAAGGAGAAAGGTAATGATGGTGATGATGATTATCAGAGACAGGTGTTGCTGGTACGCATGGAAGGTTACATATACGTTATTCGGAAGCCGAGCACAGGGAGAACATGCAGCTCTTCCTCTGGTCATCTTCAGTAACAGGAAAAGGAAAGATGTAGATAGAAAGACGGATTAAGGCGCGGAGAGGTCTAATTTATATACTTGCACAGAACTAGTGCACCTTAATAGCAGGAATGTAAAGGGCGGATTGATAAGGCCTAACTGTGATAGTATTCCTAAGGTTAGAGATAAATGTAGTAGGCATCATGATTATTATTTCTAGAGCTCAAATTAATCCGCATAGGAAATCCGCTCTTTCTCAGGAACCGAGCACAGGGAGAACATCCACTGTCTTCTAGATATCTTTAGTAACAAGAAAAGGAAGGATGTGTAAGGAAAAAAGGACTAACGTAGAGAGAGCTCTGATTTATATACTTTTATAGCACTACTTTTATTTGATGGCGGGAATGTTAAGAACGAACCTGAATTGAGAGGCGGTGATGGTATTAGGGGACAAAGCGGTGATTATCATGATTGTTGTTCCCGAGCTCAAATGAATACTCATGTAGCGAAAGTGTGGCGACTTTCGGAAATGAAGTCAGCACCGAAAACACCGTCCATGCCGCCTCCTTTCAGGAATTTTATTCAGGGATGTCGGAGACGCAGGCGTGGGTAACAGTAGGAAGCGGAGCAAAGGGAGGGTTTATATACTAGCATCGGGCACGGAACACTCTCTTCGAAGATTATCTAGGAACAAAAACGGTGGCTATCATCATTTCTAGAATTCAAATCGATACTCATAGAGCAAAGCTCTGTCGACGAAGTCTACGCTGAAAACACCGTCTATGTCCAGTATTCTTCGATCTTTTTTTTAAGGGATATTAAAGGAGGAGCAGGTGTAGGCAAGTAGGAAACAGAGGAAATCGAGGGTTTATATACCCTACCTAACAGTCGAAGGCGGAACTATCTGTTCAAAGTCCATAAGGGAACAAAAGCAGTAACCATCATCATTATCCCTAGAACCCAAGCTAAAATCATTAATTCCTTAAGCGAAAGTGTGCCGACTTTAGAAAACGAACTCGCTAAAATCACCGTCCATGTAATGCTTTTTCTTCCATTTTGTTAAGGGATCCTGAAGGAGGAGCAGGTGTAGGTAAGTAGGAAACAGGGAAAATCGAGGGCTTATATACACACGCAGCGGTCAAACGCAGAAGAATCTCTTCAAAGTCCATCTAGGAACAGAACAGTAGCCATCATCATCATTCCTAGAATTCAAATCGATACTCATGGAGCAAAGATGTAGCGACGAAGTCTACGCCGAAAGCAACGTCCATGACCAGTATCCTTCGATGTTTTTTTTAAGGGAATTGAAGGAGGCGTGAGAACAGTAGGAAAGCGAGGAAATAGAGGGTTTATATACCCAGCCAGCAGTTGGGCGCGGAACAATCTCTTCGAAATTCGATGGAGATGTTCCTGGATGTTTCATTTATCGGAACATCTTAGCACTGATCACATCCACTAACAATCACCATCATCGAAAGCAGAAATTAAACGGCAAGGCCAATCCCATGGACCTGATTGACGCTGGGCAACGAGGACGCTTGCGGACATGCCAGTTCCAAGGTCCAGATTTCGGGAATTCGTGTGCTTTCGTTGGATGCAGCTCGCTGGTAAGAAGAGAAGGATATATATACTTTGGGAGAGCTCTTACATGTCATAACATCTAATAGCTAAAAACATGATGATCACCAGCATCACCAACATCACCGCTATCGCGCACAACTCTCAAAACGCCGGTACATGGAGACGTATATAGTCGAATCCATGCACTCCCTTCTTCGAAGCAACAGACATTTACAGGCTTACAGTCGTTTTTGGTTCAATTTTGGATACCGGCCAGTGCCGCAACCGCTTGCGAGTGCGTAGAAGGAGAGGTCAAGAGGAGGTGCTTTATATATGCGAGCACGCGAGAACTGAGACTGGCGATGGGGCTGTTTCGTGCGGTGGGTTCATTCATTGGATTGAAACATGACTTGAGCATGCTAGGTTGCCATGTACACGTGTCGCGAATTCGGGCTTTGAAATGGCAACAGGTTCGCAGTGTTGGGTATTCGCTATCCTTAAACGTGCCAAATTACGATCTATGTGCCACTTAACGGCAAGTCGATTCGGTGAAGAGCGTCATCATCATTAGAAACCGCACATGCAGTATCGCAGCCACGCAAAGAGAGACTCCATAGCTGGCAGTGTTGACTACTTACACACTAGAAAAACATGTCGAGGAGATATTTTTTTTATAGGAAAGAGAGTAACAAAACACAAGGCTGTAAGGGAGAACAGGAAGGGAGAGGGGGATAACTGTGCTTTATATACCCGCACTGGTTGGTAACAGTACAACAGGGGCAGTCAGCTGCAAGTCGATTCGGTGAACAGCGTCACCACATTCAGAAACCGCACATGCCGTATTGCATCCACGCGAAAGAGGCTCCATAGCTGGCAGTGTCGACCGCTTAAAGACTAGAAAAACATTCAGCCATTTTAACGCCGTTTTCAGAAAACAGAGTAACAAAACACAATAGATGTGAGGGAAATAGGAGACGAGAGGGGAATGACTAGGCTTTATATACTTCCACAGTCGCTGACTTCCGAAACGTTCGGCCTGGAGATAGGGCAGCAGGCCGTAGCGCGACATGGCACTGCAGCGGTAATGACCATCACCATCCAGCGCGATAGCGATTGAACATCCAGATGCCCATCTGTCCAGGCGTGAAAGGGCACACCAGGCGGACTCATGCAACTGTAATGTCTTGATTTTTGGGTTCACCGAACACAAAATAGGGGGTAGGTGTAAGGAGCTTGAAGAAGAACAAAAGGAAATTTATATACTCGCAAATCCCGCGATCAGAGAAGTAGAGACCATGGTATAGGTTCTAATGTGAATAGCGAGCTCCGAGTGGTGATAATTACCGGTATTATCACATTTGACTGCAAGAAAGAGATTCGGAGATGTCAAAGTAGGTGCGCTATGGGAACGCAGGAAACCGCCACAGACATGGCGCGCCGAAATTCACGTTTTTGAATGATTCTGCCGTTCAAGGCAGTGAGCAACAAAACATGAAGAGAGCAGCCCGTAGCAGAAATCGAAGGGTTTATATACCCATTTCAATTCACACAAAGCTTCAAAGTTCAATACCCTAGCTCATGGGAGAGTAATCACATTTTGTGACTTTTATTTTGATACTGCGATCTGATGCTGGTCACCGCCATTATCGCCATCATCACCATCATCACAGTCATTATCACAGTCATTATCACAGTCATCATCATATATCTCAAATTTGGACTCTGCGTTGCTCAAAGACATGAATCAACCTACGGTCTGATTTTCGCCAGCTTTTTTTTCCCAGGCGCAGAGAAACATCACCTTGATCTTGCTGTTTTCTCGATGAGAATGTCAGATCTTGTGCAGAGGGAAGGAGGAGAGAGAAGTGGAAGGCTTTTATATCTGCGAGGAGGCTGGGCGTGGTGAGTGTCAAGGGACATAACATGTGAGTGCATTTTTGGGACATTTTGCAGGTGATTGTACATTTTGAAAGAGTGCTTTTGTTTGCGTTTTGCATTTCAGACATGGACGATCATTTGGTATTCACCACTGAGCATGGTATAGCTGGAATACATGATTTGTTTAACCAAGCTGTCTGGAGGACCTAATGTAATCTAATATAATGTATCCGACATCAGAGACACAGTGCACCGTCAAAACACACCATCAGTAACCACAGTATCCTTTGCCATAATTATTCATTCGCTTCCGCCTTGATGACTATGTACTCCTATCACCGCACCAATTACGCCTCCACCCAAGACCCCATCCTCCGACACCCCATCCCCCTCTCATGCTCATGAAACGCACAAACCTCCTCCTCCCTCTCCGGCCACTCCACATACATCTCCGCCAAAGACTCCGCATCCGAACCACGCTTAGCCACACCATCGTCTTCAGCCAGTCCCCTTTCAGCTCCAGACCATCTAGACGCCCCGGCATCCGACCACTCAACATCCGACTGCGGAGTCCACATATCCCGCATAGGCAGAGCCCACCCTGGTGGACCTTGGGCCACATTGCCCCCTTCGAGTTCGGGTGTAGGCCAAGCGGGATCGGGTGAAACCGACGTCCATCCATCATCTCCCGTCTCACTGCTTATCCCACTCTTCCCTTTGTCTCCGTCTTCCCTAGCTGAATGATGTTTACCACCATCTCTCTCCCTCGCACCAACGACCAACCACCCCAACAACCCCCTCACAAACCCCCTCTCGCACGTCCTCCCTTCCTTCGGAACCCACATACCCATGTGCTCCGGCGCCGCCCACTTCTTAATACCCGCATACATCAGTCTCCTGAGGTGCAGACTTGCTTTCTCATCCGTGAGTACGAGGTCGACGATCGATGGCTTGAGAGCCTCCAGAAAGCACTGAGCAGCCTGCTCAACACTCAACCGGTAGTAAGACGAAGGTGAAGCTGAGTGTGCAGCGGTGTCGATCCGGCCCACCTCATTGATGGAAGATACAATGACCGAGACCAAGCAATCCCTAAACACATCGTCTTGTAACCAACAACCCAGGAAATACAAGCCCAAGTAATCGGTAAACGCAAGTCGAAGACGCTGCTGCGCTATTGCTAGGGTGTCATTCGCGGGTACTCCATGGCCGCGTAGCCCGTCCTTCGTATGTATCGCTCCGCTGTTCAACCACGCGACGTAGATGGCGAAGATGTCGAAGTCGGGGAAGTTGAGCCTTGTGATGCCGTCGTGCTTTCTCTTTGGCGCGGACGTATTATATTGTGAGGGTGAAGAGCCATGAGTAACGTTCCCTGCGTGATCTGAGGGCTGGGTGTGAGCGCGGAGGTAGAGAGATGTAGCGATTGCGCGATTCCGGGGAAGAACGAAGGTTTGCGTCGTCGGCGGGTCGACGTACGTGTTGCGGAGCTTGACCGTGAGGGTGGGTTCGGCCATGTTGTGAGTGGAGGAGCGCGTTCTCTTCTTCTGCTTGCGCGGACGTGGTTGGCGATGCGATGAGGTTGGAGTGAGAAGTCGGACAATGCAGTCGAGGAGGGAAACCATTCGGCAAGTGAGGAGAGAGGTGACGCTGCGAAGAGGTCATTCCAGTAGCCAACAGGTGCAAACGCGTCGTAGCTATGTTCGAGGATTGATGAAATTTCGGAGTCGGTGAAGGGGTGACTGGTCGAAGCATGCCGGTGTGAACGGAATGATCCAGGATAATGTCTTTCGGGCTAGTTTGGTTATTCGAGCGGTATTCACGGGGCACTATACATCCAAATCATCGAGAGGTACAGATCCCTTATCCTTGAATCAGACCCAATGCATGATGGGGCGCATCCAGCCCCGTTCAATCCCTCCTCCCCGAGTCAACCCTACCTGCATGATGTTCCGACATTCAGAGAAAACAAGAAGATTAGGTGATTAAAATGGTATAAGAAGACCCCATAGACGGCCTTGACAACCGAAGGCGCTCGTTGTCTATAAAGTGGAAAGTGGTGACAGAAGGAGAAACACGAAAACAGATTATACAAAATTTTGCTATTCTAACACTCATCAACATCACAGGTCATCACTTATTAATTTGGCGCATTGGCCTCATCTCTTGTTCTTCGTCCTCCGGTCTCGCAGATTCGGGCCAGTTTTCTCGTTTGGTTGCCCGGCTACCATCTCGGCGTACGTGGGCTCCTCTCCATTGACCAGCACCTTGGGTGTACCGTTAACCGCAGGAATCCCATTTGCCTTCTGTTTCTTCGTTTCTTTGCCGTCACCCTCGTCTTCAGATTCTTCGTACTCGCTCCTGTCGTCTTCTTGAATGTTCCAAACAACCATACGGTATGCGATTCTGCAGATGTAGAACCACCAGAAGAGGTTGACCGCCTGCAGGGCAGCCAGGAGGGCGAACGTGATATATTGGGAGATCCAGCATTTGTACTGTTGGGTTTCCCAGTTGAGCTCGAAGGGACCCACGGTCGCAAATTCTGTAAGAATCGAGTAAAGGATTCGGAGGTTGATCCAGTGGCGGAGGTAGAACCAAACGCCCATGAAAAAGGCGAAATAGTAAGGGACGAACCAGTAGTCAACGTAATTGAACACTTTCGAAGTCTATGAGGGGTGAGTCGAAATTCATGACGAAGTACCGCTAGACTTACTGCCAGGAAGAAATCCGAGATGTCCATGGTGATGTACACAGCAAGTCCCATATAAGTGAAGTGGAACCTGTAACTGCACCAAATCAAGGCCAAAGTGATGAAATGGTGCATAACCAATTCCTTGAAATCCTTCCTCGGCGCTTCTAGCATCAACAGGAGCACGATCATTTGCTGGGCCCAATAGCTGGCTTGCAGAAGATAGTAGGCCTTGAATACGGCCTCATGCGTTCTATGCGGGAAGCCTTCGTACATGGCGGTCGTGTTGAAGAACCAAATAGGACTACGAGACATTACCCAAACGCCAAAAGGGCCCATTATCCCAAAGTACAAGGCGGTATAGAACTGCTCCATGAACCGCGCCTGCTTCGCGCGAGACTTAATCCCATACCAGAGAGCGATTGGCTTTATGATGCGTTGCATGGTGAACTCTCGTGTAAACGATAGGACGATAGTGTAGAAGGCCACAAAAGCGAAGTCGCGTGCCCCTTTGCCATACTGGACGGGGGCATCCGACCCAGGCGCATTAGGGATAGGATAGCTGAGGAAGAGACAGGCGGCAATGGGGTTCGAAGGAACGGGGTTGACGAGGTAGAGCAATATGATTGTGAGGGCGAGCACGAGCGGTAGGACCCAGGTATGACGGAGACAGGTGCGTTTACACTTGGACAGAATGCGTCTGAATGTGCGGCGTTTTGAACGGCGGCCGGATTTCTCGGAGGGTCGCTTTAAAGGTCAGCACAGGTTCAGAGGAAAGACTTCCAAGGAATGGGAGCGTACTGATATCTCGGTTGGTGTCACAGGAGGAGATCCCATCGTAGCTAGCGCCGCTACACCGCTGTCTCCGGGCAATTCTCCTCCCAGTTGACTAGAATTCCTTCCCCGGGACTTCCGAGGTGCTTTCTGGTTCTCCGCGAGTGTAGCGCTTTGTCCGCCGTTCAGCGGGGGAAACGGTTCGATACCTGTGGAGGCCATATTTGTTCGAAGGAGTTTGAAGGCGGCGCTGGGTATGTCAAGGTTGTCGCGAGGGTCCAGAGTGGACGTGAGACGGACCAAAAAATGGTAGGAAAGGAGGTCGCCAAGATTCGGCGTTTTCCGCCTCTGATTGGCCGATCGCCGGAGATGGATGGATATGGTCGGCGGAGATAACAATACATTTCCAGCAGCTGAAGAATACTAAGCTGCAGATGGCACTACAGTTCCACTTTAAGGCCACGGCTTGGTGAAATAAAGCTGCAGTTGTGCAGATGTTTGATTCCAACTACCAGCTGCTGAGGGCTTTATCTGATACAGGGTATACAGTTCTCTCCTCCCTCTCTCCCAGAATGATGACATGCAACATGACAATAGAACGCTAGGCTCTAACTTACTTCCCTCAACCTACTTCCGGGTATCGTTATAACCTTTTGCTTAGTATGATCCGCTGTGCCGTTGCTGCTGTGAATGTCAGCATTCCTGGTCAAGTTAAACTTGATTTCCGGCACACCGACGCTGCTCCTCGTAGCGGTACTATCCACGCTACCTGTTCTGGAGAGCACACCGTCCCTGCGAAGGAGCCCTCGAATGCCTCCAGCCTTGCGTTCTGGTAGTTCCCCTTTCCCAGCTGTAGCTACGTAAAGGAGGTACTTCAAGTTCGGCAACGTGTGGCGGATATCAAGTGGCCGGATTTCCACTGCGTTCGACAGAATCTCGATATTCTTGTTGAGGAGAAAGACTCCGTACTCGAAGCGGAACCGCACCACGCCCTTCATGAAGAGCGGATAGGTCGGTGGATGCGGTTGTTTCCCCGTGGTCATGGCCAGGGGATCGTCAATCGTGGAAGTTGAGCCGCATATTGTTACAGGATAGGGAAGGAGGACAGATAAATAGGCGGACAAAAGAGAGACAACCTGTGCAACGTAGCCGAGCGCAGCAGATGTCTTCTCTTCGTCCGCATCGTCGAAATCTCCGTTCGGCAGAGGAAGGCTCCGAATTGTGAATAGGAGCGGCTTTCCCATTACTGGCTCAATGGGGAAAATCTTCAGTAGATCTTCGCATATGCGTCGCCTTTGGCCATGTATATCGTCCTCCGTCTTTTCTATGCTGGAGTTTGTCTGTTGGAGCAGTTCCCGTTCCTGATCCAGATCTCGACCAACCTGGCACTCCAGTTGGGTGCCAGCCTCCATCCTCTCTTTCCGAAAATCAATGTTTGCTCTCAGATCATCCCTCCGTCTCCGGATGGCTTCAACACGTCGCTTCTCAGCTGCTACTGCCGCCTCGACAGTCTTCAGGCGGTCCTGGGCTTCCGGGACTTGCTCGAGAGTGCTTATGGCTTCCCGGTTCTTGTTCAAGATAGTTTCAATCTCCTCGGCGAGCCGGTCACGGGTGGCCAGGGCGTCCTGTATGCAGTCGTCCAATGTAGAAAGCCGCATCAGCGCATCATAGGTGGACGTCTTGAGCACACGGCCATCCGCTGGAGCCTTTGGGGGCGCAAGAGCAACTGACGGTAACCTTTCTTGAACCGGCAGGTCTGTGAAGCTTGTATAAATGCCATCCGTCATGTGGAACAGGATGCAATTCTGTGGCAGAGGATGCTTGAAGCCACCTAGTGTTCTCCCAATAAACTGAAGCGCGCGTAGCTGTACGGTAAACTCGATCAAGTACTGCCAACCTTGGGTATTCTTATTCCTCGCCCAGACCTTGACGGTGAGTTTGTCGAGTCTGGTTACATCCGGTCCGCAGGAACCTATGTCGAAGAAACGAAAGTTTGGGTTCATAGCCTTCTCCACCACTTCCGAGACATATATCGGATCCTCCAGATGATCGACGTGAAGCGAGAAGAAGGTATCCGCCATCCGACTTTCGGTAATGTCTTCCAGCCTTCTCTGTCTTGTTTCTGGACTCGCTCCGGACCACTCCATAGTGCTTCGTCTGCGCACAGTCTTGCCTGCAGCTGGCCTGTTGAGATTTGCTAAAGTCTCAGGCGCCTTCGACTTGCCCTTGTGATGCCGGCGGACATCTCCTTTCGACTGGAGGTCGCTTGACGAGCGGGAGTGCGTTAGACCTCTACCCTCTTGCAGCGCCAACGTTTTCGTGGGGGTCTTCAAGCTACTGGGTACGCCATCATCATCGATAGTCCGCGTACGCGACCGTGTCCCAGGAGCAGCGAGGGTGAGGTTACGGATGGTCAGGCCTTGGAGATGCCGGAGCCTGCGATTCTGGGTTCCTAGTCAGCGGGGCACTCTTGTGAGCTAGGAATACCCACATATGGCAAAAGCCACGGTCGCTCGCGTGGAGGTTCCGCTGCTTCAGCATCGATATCGTCGTGCTGTTCCCGGCCTGTCATATTGCGGAGCTCCAGCGAGCGGGATCGCTCAATGTCCTGAGGATAATGAACACTCGCATGAAGCTACCGGCCCGGTATACAGGTCAACGAGCTGCCAAATCCTTCATCAAAGAGCTGAAGCAGCATCATGTTCCCAAGTTGGTGAACGAGTTGACGTCGAGCTTCCCCGGAGCGGAAGTAGACCTCCGCGGTGGCCCGTGCGCTCCTCCTCAAACTTTGGCATTCACGACTCCGCGATCATCACATCCGCTGTCCAGCCCCTTGCGGTTTCATTCCGCTCAACCTCCGCCATGCCCCGTCACTTGCCCCTACCGAAGGGCAACGAGAAGATATGGCGGGAGCTGCTCCCTCCGACGTCTGCGTTGCAGAAGTTGGGTCGGCATGTGTACGTTTTTAGGAACACTCAGACGAACCAGATCGTGTACTCGCTGTACCCCGTGATAGAGGTATGTCTCCCATCTTTATTTGCCGATTGGCTTAGTGCCGTATACGTACGCAATAGGCTGACCCTCATTGCAGCAAAGACACCTCAAGCAGCTCCCTTTCATCGGAAAGCACTCGGTACCTCCGCGGATACGACCGGACAAATGGACAGCCCACTGTCGCGTGGGGCCCTTCCCGACCGGAACACAAGGGAAGGATTTTTTGAGAAAGCTGCGCGAGCTGCGCAGGCTGCACGAGACCACCTGGAACAAAACGAATCCCGAGTGGAAGAAGGAACCCAAGAAGAACCTGATCAAGTTGATCATGGACCAGAGGGGGAACACCACCATTGATATAGCAACTGTCCTGGAGATCCATAACAAAATGCGCACTGAACAGCAAGAGGAAAAGGAGTGGCAGGCACAGAAGCAGGAGAAGTTTTTGGAGGGCAAGTGGGAAAAGCTGCGGCACCTTGCAAAATTGGGAAATGAAGGCAAAATCCCGGATTTGGAGTCGCAGATCAAGGAAGCCGAGGCACAGAAAGAAAAGGTTGCCAATGATGCAGTAGAGGAGCGCCGCTTGAGACGCCAGATCAAGGAGGACCGCCTGCAGATCCGGAGAATACAGTCAGCTATGCAATTGGTGAAAAGGATAGACAATGCGCCGAGCCAGACGTTGAAGGACAGGATATACAGATCCATCCTCCCTGACCAACTTCGTACGCTCCCCGAGGTGTTCAGCTTGGAAGGCGTGGAAATCCACTGGGCAGACCGGGAGGATGAGATTTACCAGTGCAACTGGCCAGTGGAAGTCCAGCACGCCTTTATCCCGAAGCCGGAGATCCTCACGGAGGAAGAGTTCGCCTTTAGGGCCTCACAAGAGAGACAACTCATCGAGGAGGAGGCATTGAAGAGGGTGGAAGAAATTCTGCTCAATGAGGAGAATGAAAGGCGTGCCGCGCAAGGTCTGCCGCCTCTGGAACGATTGGCCCAGCCTCAACCTACGACGCCGCCAGTTTTGCAGGAGGAGGTGACGGTAGAGGCTTCGAAACCGGGGCTCATAGCGCGTTTCACAAGCATGTTCAAGCGCGCATAGTCATTGTGTTTGGTTGTACAATCTATGTGGGAGAGTAACGCTTCTGTATTATAGAGATAGGTGTACCATTGGGAATAGCCGATCTTGTACTTTGTTCTTTGGTCCCGCTGCCTTCTGTTGAAGATGTAGTTCCTGAAGCTGTGCTGTCTAAGTTGGCATCGGCCAGGTTCGCCCAAGCGCTGCTCATTTCAGACTCTACCAAAGCATTGTCTGGAGATATCCTCAAGCCGCAAAAGAAATCTGGAACCAAGTTATACGTAACCAATTCCACATTTGAAACGACACATGCAGATACTACTGCGCATGATTGCTCTCTACAAAGTCATTCTGCCATTCAGCTATAGATGTCTACAACAACAGCAAATGTCATGACCACGCAATAAGGAACAGAATAACACCGCCACTCCTTGTATATCCGCGTCCAGAGCGATTCCGGCTTCTTCTGCTCGCACAATCTCGTAGCAGCCAGATCCTTCTTCGAATTCTCCTCCTCACATTCACCTTCAACGTCTCGCACTTCAGTTTCCCAGGCCCCTTGCCGTCGCTGCTATTCCCGCACTGCGCACCGGTCGGCGATGAGAACGCCAATGCAGTATGACCGTCACACCAAGGGGGTCGTTGACAGCATCGGGAAACTGGGTCACCTTTCCTTGGAAGGAGTCTTTCAGCTCGGAATTTAGGTTTAGGATTTTTCTGAGAATGGGTCTGCCGCTGTGTCTTGCACTGTCCAGAAACCGACGTATTCGCTGTGGTATTGGAGAAGCTACTTCAGCATTTTAGTTTTCGGGATCAGGACGAAGATTGCCGATCCGGGTGTTTCTTGTCTACGTTGTTACATCTCCGGGGCGATGAAACGGTCCAGTTGAAGTGAGTTGCGTTAGGAGGACTCTGAAAAAGAACGATGCGGTGACGGCCCGCATTTTTGTATTGGGGGAAATGTGTAGGGGTTTAGTTTCTGTATTGCTGGCTGGGAAATGGTCGTTCATACTACTCATCACTTATTGTACCCCACTTTGTAGTTCAAACGTGGAGCCAGAATGGGATCAATCCTGGAGTCCTTCGTGGCATATTGTCGGATAATCCAGCATGATCATGAATATCCAATCCTGGAAAGATGGATGTACCGTTGGTTGAACGTGGTACGGGATTCGTAGTCTGGAAGTAATGTGGCAATGGATTTCGCCATATGGGCTGATATTCCATGTTTGATTTGTGTTAAACTTTCTGCTCATATTCTATCAGGAAATCATCTGGTTCCGGAGGGTTGGCGTAGTTATCCACTCTTAGGCCGCAGGACTATAGTTAAGGATCAAGTCCGAAAGAACCAGGGGAAATTGCGGATTAAGATATCCATAACTCCATGCATTCAACCCTGGGAAGGTCACTCAATGTTGCAGGAAGCCTCGACCGTGGGATCGCCCATGAAACGAACCCAGCCCACAAGCATTCACCGTGGAAATGACAGAAATTTCTGTTTTCTTTAAAGCTTCGAAGGATGTGGTACTCACCGGGTAGACCTACTTTCGGGCACCGAAGTGTTGGTGCCCCGGGGCTCTGGATACGGAGTGGGACAGCAGGCGCAGCAAACACCCTGGGGCAGTCTGCATTCGTGACACTGCATCAGTGACACCACATCCATGCATATGCATAATGACGGCATGAATATTTACCTGCAACCATACCAGAATATTTGAAATACCATCTCAAAAAGGTATGAGATCCTACACATGGTTCCATTAAGAGTTATAATGAAGCGAGATCCGACAGCATCACTCTTCGCGCTCTGCGACGAACTTGAAGGCCATCGAGGTGAGTATTCAAGGCCTAGGCTGCGCATGCAGCAGTCGCCAAGGCAAAGAAGGTTCAAAGACACTCGGATATCGTGGCGTTGGAAACGTAACATGCAGGCACAAGTGCTGTCATTTAAACAATTTTTGATGAATTTAAGGTGAGGTATCGAGCAACCTGCCAACTCCATTACAATCCCAAGTTCCAACCCAGATATCATCATATCAAAAGCATTAACCATTCCACTAACTCCTCTTCTCTCTTTCACCGACATCGCTTAAAAGAAGAGGAGGGGCAAGAACGCGAACGCAAGATTGATGACGTTCTTGCCAGCGGCTCCGGGTAAGGCTCCGGGGAACTGCGGTGCCGATGGCGCCGCGGTGGGGCTTCCAGTTCCGTTGGTAGGCTTGGTAGGCGAGGCAGAGGCAGCGGGAGGAGTCCTAGTCCTGGACGGGGAAGACGAAGGGGACGCAGTGGCAGTTGGGATGTCGAAAGTCTCGGTGTCATCGTCGGTTGTAGTAGTTGTCCTCCTCCTCGTGCTTGTCTCCTCAGGGAGGTCGATGGTCTGGGTCGATGTGACGTCGATGATGTCGCCGGGAATGGTGATGATGCCTCCTCCACCACTGCAGACTTCTCCATCGGGGCAGCAGCCGTCGCCGTCGCAGTAGGTGCCTGGCATGCAGCCGCCTCCGCTAGGGCAGCACGTGTAGGACAGGTAGATGCATCCGTCGCCGCAATCTTTCAGGCCGGATTCCGCGCAGGAGAGTTCCTGGAGTTGGCGGCGGACGAGCTGGGGAGACAAGCCGGCCTGGACCGCGGAGACGGCGGCGAGGGCGATGAGAGCGATTGATGTGTACATTGCTGTAGCGAGTGTGTTTTGTCAACGAGGAGAGATCCTGAACGAAAAACGCTATGAATGACAATCAAGCTCAACGACTAGCGACGTGGAGAGAATTTTGAGCGAGCCACGGTTTCCTAAATATGTGAACATATCGCCCATTGCTGAGGCTGTCGCAGCCTCGCATTGATCCGTCTTTCAGGAATACGAGTTACGAGTGCGGCTGAAGACTACCATCTCCATCTCGGCAAGGCGATTGACAAATGAAAGTCTTTGTGGCGTCCACATCTTCAGTCCCAAGTGTTCACCGGTGGGATCTGCATGGTGTGCCGTCTCGAGGCTGAGAGACTGGAAAATTGGAGGATGGTCCGGTGTGCAGGTGCCTGAACCGGCGAAAATGATGATTGGGTGTGAGTCCGCCAGCAAGTGTACACTTACCAAGACCCGTATAGTTGGCCTAAGCTGCCCAGAAGTCAGGAACGGGGCTGTGATTTAAGCTTCTCTAGGGGTCCAACACAGCCACATGATAGACATTCGATTTTATCACTAATCTCAAAAAGCACTAGAATATCTCTACAGTCCAAAATTCTCGAGACGAGATGTGATCTTGCGGACGGAGGGAAGATGGAGAAATGAAGATACCGCAAGTGTCCCACTTTCTTTCATCATTTCCCTTTCCCCCTCCCTGAGATACTGGCGGCGCTCGAATTGGGCAGGTTGTATGAGATAGGGTACGCAAATTTCTATAAATGTTTAATAATCTGAGTATGTTCCCAGCACCACGAGCTTCACATTGGCGAAAGGCAACCGCTCAAAAAACATGACTCCGTCCCAAGTTCTAGACATGTAGAACATGGAAATTATCAGCCGATTACTCCGTATTGATGGGCGAGATTCTGGGGGCGCTGAAAACAACCGATGGCAGCCGCGGAACTTGACAGAGGAACGCCAGAACGAAACGATAAACCGAGATTCTCGGACAGAACGCATATACGGCAGCCCTTCATTCATGAATAAGTCTCAGGCAGTCGTTGCCTTATACTCTTTACAAAGCTAGGATAAGGCATTAAATCAAAAAAGCAGAAATAACACATTATTATGTCTCAAGAAAACGGCGCAACATGTTCGGCTAATAAGCGTCGCATCTATCGATATCTAGTTCAATTATGGTCCAAAGATAGTAACAATTATCATCACACATTGCCTTTTTACGCCTAAGGTTGTGATGTTCCTGTGTAGATGGTCCAGTGAACCTTATGCTCCAGCATCATTTTGCGATGTACAGAAATCCTAACTACTACCTCGAACACTCTCCGCTAATGCAATCAGAATATTCGAACCAATGACGGCGCTCTGTTCCCTGTACCCTTGCGGTAATGGTCATCAATGGAAGACCTCGGGAGACCAGCGTGCGGACAGTCGCTGAAAATATTAAGGCGAACAGACAAAATGGGGTGGCTATAGATGCTAACAAGTTCATTATAACACTATCATCGGAAAGTTGCCAAGTATCTGTACATACTCTCCTATTTCTAGGTCTGATTTTGTTTTTTTTTTTTCAATGACTTTGCCTATTACTTACCTCTGCCATTTATACTAGACTCCTCACCTCTCGACGACATCTATATAAACCGGTTACAGACTCAAAGTACTCACGCAATATCCATCTCCTTATTCACCGGGTCTAAAACAGAAAACGAACTACCAGCAAGCAATGTCGCTGAGGTTATGAGAAAAAAAAAGATCGCGCCGACAATGCATGTGCTGTTTCGAACTGCTTTGAAAACAACGAGGGCCTTGTGCTTAGTATACAAGCATCTCAAAGGGCATACGAGCATGTACATGGCAAAGGGATGATATGGAAATCATCACCCCCATATTCATGCCCCGGCCTCATTACACTCGTTTCCCTCCTCGTCATTCCCGCGTCTTTGTTGATCTATATAAACCCCAACGTCTCCCCTAAGAGTTCTTCTTCTTTGTCCACGGGTGACGAAGCATCGAAATAAAAAATCTAACAAGCACTACAAGCAATTGATGTTGTGGAAATAAAAACAGGCGGGAAGGAAAAGCATGCTGTCTTCCCGTTTCCGCAGGGGGTTGTTCTCCTTGACCGCCCTCAAGATGATAGTCCATTTCCGGGTTTTTGAAGAAAAATACAAGGGGCTTATTGGCACCGTGGCCCATACATGAAGAGCCAGTGGTAATGATCTCTATTATCACCTCTTTATTTTCTTCCGCCTGTATGCTACTGTAAACCTAAAAGTTATTCGCGACACCGTATGTTGTCAACTGGTTGCTTGCCGAACTCAGAAAATCAATGATGACACTCGAGACGTGGACATTGTGCTCATTAGGTAGCAGACTCCGTTAGATGGCTAGGATAAACGTGTTTTGAAAAATCACTCAGATGGAATGTTCGCGTCTGGTCGTTGCAAAAATGTCACCGTATTGCACCACTGCGGTGATGGTGACGAGGACCATGACGGTTTGGCTATATACAACAAGCGAGGCTCGGGGAATAAAGTATATAAAGCCTCTGCTTTCCTTCCCACCTCTTCCCATTTCATTATCAACGCATGAACGAACCCAAAAAAATAGAACAAGAACAGACCGATGTGCCGGCGTGTGGCTTTGAGTTCGCCGCTTGGGGACACCCGGAGCAAGAGACTGGTGTTGTAACCGGTTTGATGATTGAGCATCTTTACTTCGGAACCTAGAATAATTTCCGGTGATGATGACGGTGATGACGGTGATGAACCCCATCATCAGTCCCATGCATTGTACTTTCGACCACAATACCTAACATAGAAGCATTGCAAAACTCTGATTCCATGATTCTCGACTTCATCATCCCATTTCCGCCATCCATATATGTTCCATGTTTTACACTGAGACATTTTCAATGTATATATGGTATTCGCCATTTTCATCACCCCTTTTCAAATCCTCACGTCGACACGGACGTGATTCTCCTTAGTCATTCCTGGGCCTCTTGGAAATCTATATAAACCTTCACAATTCCGCGTAGACCTTCCTCTTTGCTACAGACGATTGGTGTGGGATTTCAGAGTCCCTCGATAAAAAGTTTCCCAGCAACGTTATGTGGATCCGCAACCTTGACTGCGGTTGGGCCATGGCGTCTAAAAATCCAAGTCCAAGCTGAAAATGTTCCTTTGTGATATTGCTTCGAGGACGTCGATGGAACGAGGCAGGTACATTGAATCGAGCGGTATGTCGAGCCTGTTAAAGAGTCGAAGTATGTCTTTCTAATGGATTAAGATGTCCATGTGGAGGTGATGGAAATCATCACCACGCTTGCTAGATTTTTTTTCCCGCAGGCGACAAACGAGCGCTGGCTATAGTATATAAACCCTTTACTTTCCTTTCTTCTTCCATTCCTCTACACGCATTCCACGAAAAAGTTGGATAAAAGAGAGGTCCAGAACCTCAAACGCTCTGCTAAAATACTTCAAGATAGACCCATGTGCCAGCCTCCCATTCTGTATAGTTTCCAACACCTGACCAGTCTGGTATTTTCAGACGCGCGACCGGAATATCAGTGATTACAGTGGTGATGATGATGCTGACCATCACTTCGACTAAACTTTCCAATCCCACAGCCACGCGCTGCAGATCACGGCTATTCCCAAAGTCGACAATCGCATCATTGTATTGTACTTTCTTCAATCATCTACCTCCCAAACCTCTCCACAAACGCCCTCACCCTCTCATCCCCCAAACCCAACTCCCCCGTCTCCGCACTCAACAACCCCATCTCCGCCTCCTCCACCTTCCTCTCCTTCTCCCTAATCTTCCTCTCCACCTCTGGATCCCTCAACCTCACCGTCGCGAACGGAGTATGCGCATACAAAGAATCCAGGATGACTCTGGCTTCCGCATCTGCTTTACCTAAGCGCTCGGCGAGTTGCTCATGCGTGGATGAAGAAGCTGAGTCGTAATGATCGGAGAGTTTCTTTTCGCGCTCGAGTTGCGTCGTGAGGAGAGCTTCTTTTAGAGCGGCGATGTTCTCTTGGGTATACGAGATTCCCGCGTGGCGCAGGGCGTCCTGCAGCGCAGGATGGATATTCAGAGTTGACGTAGGTTTGAGTGTGATAGGTGGGAATGCGGACTTGGAGTGGGAAACTGTGCGTTTCAAGACTGGTGAAGAAGACTTCGGCTGTGTTGTGATCTCTTCTTGACGCTGTTTGGCTGCTGCGTGGATGTGATTGAGCGCTCGATAGAAGTCGGATATCTCTTCTGAGCGTGCCGCGATGACATCGAGACGCTTGCCCATGAAGTCGAGGGTTGAAAGAACCTGTAGCGATTAGTGGCTGTCATATTCCGATGCAGACTCTGGTGAGCATACGTAGTTCAACCATGCACTCCGCGCTTGCTCCCTTTCCCTCTCCTTCCGCTCCTTCATGTCAGTCATTGGCTTCCTGAGTTCATGCTCGACCACCATCTCAGCAACGGAAGAGATCTCGGAGTGCAATGTTTCGAGCTCGGCCTGCAGTTCCTCTTTCCGCTGACGCAGTTCCTCTTCGGGTGCATTTGGGAGTCGATCTGGAGAATCATTTGTCAAGCTCCGGAGATAGACCGTGTCCACTCTAGCCTTGATCTCTGCCGTTCGGAAAGACACGATGGCTTTGCACCACTGCTCGACCGACTTCTCGTCCTCGCTGACCACGGGCTCCGTAAGTATCTTGGATACAATACCGGGGAGGTTGGCGAGGATCTTGTCATCAGAGGCAAGCCGTTCCTTGATCCAGCTCTTCAGAGCCGATTTTTCATTATCGATATCCCGCTGCGTATCGGCGACCTGGTCGTTGATGGCAGTGGTGGCATCCTCTACCTGACTATGTTTTTAGCGCTTACACCCGCATGCGGGCATCATACTCACTGCCATATCGAGTCTGGATTTCTCTTGATGTTCCTTCCTCCTCCTATCATTTCGCAGATGTTCGGCGGCCATACTAGGCTTATCCAGCGCCCTCAACGCCATCAACGCATCCCGCTGAGCTTCTAAGACTTTACACTGCTGCTCAATTGCCGCTGTCGAAGTCTCCAACGCGTCAATCGCAGAGTAGAGCTCGTGATCCAGAAAGGGTCTCGCAGGACCATCTTTGCCATTGTAATGCTGCAAAACACCTTTCTTCTTCAGAACTTCACACCTGCCAAAGAATTAACGGGATGTAATTTACGGGCTAAACCCTCACCCACAGTTCAAACTCCTCCTTCGTCAACAATGTCCCCTCATTCAAATACTCATTCACCCACTCCGCGGCCTCCCTCCTCATATCCTCATCTTCGAAGGCCGCAAGCACCTTGTCGAGATCGACATTCAGCTCCCTCTCTTCTAGTACGTTCAATAAATGGTGCGCGGCAGCCTCCTCAGCCATTTGGACCTTTTGTTCTCAAGGGATGTTTGGTGCTCTGCGATGAGGACCTTCGGAAAGGGTTTAGCGTTGACATTGCCCTAAATGGGACTAGCGCCGCGTCCCGTCGCGTCTACGCCGCTGGCACGCGTCTGCTGGATTTCCACTTCAACCACTTGAGAGAGACGCCGATACCACGACACGTTTTTCTCACACATCACCACCATGACGGCCTCAATCCTACAACCGGTAATCACACCGTCTGATCAACAGCAACCCCATCAGGAACAACAACCAAACTCTTCCTCCTCCCAAGCGCAGACCTCCACCCTCCCAAACCCCAACCACGAAGAACACCAATACCTCTCCCTCCTCTGCACAATCCTCACAACCGGCGAACACCGCCCGGACCGCACCGGCACCGGCACCCTCGCCATCCCCTTCCCCCCTCAACTCCGCTTCACCCTATCCCGTCCCCGTCCCTCCTCAGACCCCTCCTCAGACTCAGACTCAGACGCAGAAGAACCCTACGACCTCATCCTCCCCCTCCTAACCACCAAACGCGTCCACCACCGCGCCATCCTCCACGAACTCCTCTGGTTCATCTCGGGCGCCACGCACGCGGGCCCGCTCAGCGCCCTGGGCGTTAAGATCTGGGACGGCAATGGCTCGCGCGCGTACCTCGACAGCGTGGGGCTGAAGCACTACGCAGAGGGGGAGCTGGGTCCCGTGTACGGGTTCCAATGGCGGCATTTTGGCGCCGAGTATATCCCTGGTGTTTATGGCGGGAGGGGGGTGTATAAGCACAAAAGCAGTAGTACTACGACGACTACTAGCGAAGTCAAGGACGAGACAGCGGGCGAGAAAGACGCAAAAGCAGCGACGAAGCGGGAAGAAGTAATAACAGCCGGCGACCAAGAAAACCAAAAACCAGAAACAGAAAGGGAAGAAGAAAACGACGACCCCTACACCAACCAAGGAACCGACCAACTCGCCTCCGTCATCCACAAACTCCGCACCACGCCCTACGACAGGCGCATCATCCTGAGCGCCTGGAACCCCGCCGATCTCTCCAAAATGGCGCTGCCCCCATGCCACATGTTTGCGCAATTCTACGTCGAGTTCCCCGACGCCCCACGCGGCGTCGACGCTCTGGAAGCGCTGAAGAGCGAGAAACAAAACGCAGAACCGCAGGATGGAAACCCCCCGCCGCCGAAGGAGGAGAAGAAGAAGAAAGGCATACTACACACCCTCTTCTACCAACGCTCCTGCGACATGGGCCTCGGCGTCCCCTTCAACATCGCCTCGTACGCGCTCCTCACGCACATCCTGGCCCACGTGTGCGACTTGCGGCCGGGGACACTGACGCACACCATGGGCGATGCGCACATCTACCTCGACCACGTGGACGCGCTCAAGACGCAGATTGAACGGACGCCGAGGGAGTTTCCCTTGTTGAAGATACGGAATCGGGAAAAGGGGTGCAGCGTCGATGGGTGGAGGGTTGAGGATTTCGAGGTCGTGGGGTATGAGCCGCACAAGGGGATTGCCATGAAGATGAGTGTGTAGGCGGGGCAGCGGTTTTGAGGGGAGGTTTTAGGGGGAGGGGGAGGATGTACTACGTATACATTGAAGCAAAGTTCTAGACTAGACGCGTGTCTCTCGTGCTGATAAGATATCCATTGTTCTGTAGACGATAGGCTCGAAGCCCACCAAGACTATGCCTCCCAATTCTATCAGTGCAGCCGTATCGGATACTCGATTCTATGTCAATGCCCTACCCCATGTCAATTCTCCCAAACCCGTCAACCACTGCCAACCATAGACAATGCCGTGAGGAATACCCAATGTCCGCACCCAAAGTCACAGATCAACGTATTGCACCTGCGGCTGCGGCTCCCCCGGCCTCCAATACCGCTTTGGGCGCACATGATAAAAGTTGTTAAAGAAAGCCCGGCATGAATCGTCAGGCAGCGCTGGGTCAAGATCGAGTTGGTATCCCCATTCCTGAGCCCACTCTCTGACGAGGTCAATGCCATCACGGATGGCAAATGCGGGCCAGTTGACTAGGGGGATCCACGCGACTTCGGCGGAGAATGGCACGTCCAGCAACCCGAGGTTCACTCGTCGCTCCACACAGCGCGCCAGGGATGTGGTGAACCACTTAGGTACAGGGGCCCACTCCCCCATGGCTTCAAAATCCTCAACTCTCCGCTGAAGGCATGCCACGGGCTCCATTGCCCAGAAACGGTTGTCCCTTGGACCAAAGGCATGATGGCTCTTGCAATCAGTGTAATTGACAAAGAAGCGCTTAATCCAGGGGGTCGTGGCTCCCGTCTCGCGGTGCTGGAAGGCATTCAGAGTCGCAACGAGAACTTGCAGCCGCCGACGGACGAGGTGAAAACCGGTTGCAGCGCGATCGATCACGATATTGATATTCCGCAGACGATCCAGCGAACCAAAGGTGTTCCATACCCTGCTATCGTCGAATGTGGCAGGTGGCCAGTCGGGACACGCATCGAAAACGAACGTATTCTGCTCATAAAGGATGGCTACGTCGCGAGGAGCATTAGTCGCATGTATTGCCTGGGTTGAACAATAACGAGAAATGGAGACATTCTTACAGGAAGCTTCCTCCGATATCTGCCTGTTGACACGGAAGAGCGACGTTTCGACAGCCCAGCGTCCTACGGTCTCAGACCTCGGATCCTCCTCGTCTTTGCGTACGAGAACGGGATAGTAATGATGGTGTCTCCAAACGAATTGTGACCAGAATTCGAATCCGCTTAGAATGAGATATCCCATGATCTTTAAGCGGACTTCCATGGGAAGACCCAACAGCGTTGGTTCACACTTCTTCCATGGGGGAAGGCTCGGCTGCGTTGGTTCACCCTTCTTCTCCTTACTGTCCTCAGGGAGGGTGGCAGCACCACTGAGGACGATGGGATCTCCAATATGCTGTGTTACCATGGTGTGGGTTCGTCGCTAGAAAGCGCGCAAGAAGGGTGAGAAGCAGCGTGGTATGCGCCTAGAACGAAGAGAATATGTCGGTAACTTTGGGGTTGAGAGATACTGTTCAAGAGGCCCTCGTCGGGCACGCCTTCTTCGCACCCGTGTTATCTGATCCTCACGTCGGTGGCTTAAGAATGCGTGGATGATGAACTGGGCGTGTTGAGAAGACGTCGAGATGAGGCGGAAACGGCCAGATTATCCTGCTCGACACGGACTTGGCCCCGACTGAAAACAGCAAGCCGCTCCCAGTCCGGTGGAAACTACTCTGGGGGGAAGAGGCAGTCGTATCCTGTGCGATGGATGGCAGGCGCGCTGGCGGAGGCGGCGACGATGGAAGGGCGTCTGCTCCATACCGGAACCCTCGGACGGTGTAGACGATTGTGACCAACTGCATTCCCATCTAGCGGATTCAAGAGTCTCTCGACTATTCAAGGCCGATTGAATCACAGCGCGTGGAATGTACGGTTATCCTCTTGCATGTACACATACTCAAATCGCATCGGCAGCCATCTCCTCGGCCAGCCACTCGGCCTCTTTGCGCATCTCTTCCTCGCTCCGCGGCTTCCTGCTTTCCTCAGCATCCACCCTCGGGAACCTCCCTCGTCTCTGGCCGATGTTCTGATCGCCATTGGCGCCGTCTCGCTCAGCGAACTGCTTGTGCAGGTCGCCGTCCTCGCTCTCCATCATGGCATAGATGGCGTCAGTGCCGCCAGCGTGAGAAAGATCATTTCTCCGGCGTGGTATTATGTGCGCATGGACGTGGGGGACGCTCTGGCCGGCGTCGACGCCGTCTTGGATGGCGATGTTGAGGGAGGATGCTTGGAAGACGCGTTCGACGGTTTTGGAAACGCGCTGGACGGTGAGGAAGAGATCCTGCACTTCGGCGGCAGAGAGATCATTGAAGCGGGGCACGACACGCCGTGGGGAGACAAGGACGTGGCCCGGGAGGAGAGGCTTGAGGTTCACGAGGGCGTAGGAGAGAGGGGTGAGATGGAAGACCTGCGAGTTGTCGGTCTCGGAGCGATGACGGGATACTGCGGAGGGAAATGCATACCTGATTGGTGACGACGAAAGAGCCAAACTTGATCACATCTTTGGTGAGAGGCGCCATATTAGCATGTGGTAAGCCGACGAAAGATAGCCATCTAGCTGCGGATTGGTGTGTGGTGAGGTGTTATGGTGGTGATGGCATGTGGCTTAGGTAAGGTTCGAAAAGAGGCGCACCAAGAGAAGCTTGAAAGGGCGCGGCAGGGGTAACGACGGGCGCCGTGGCGCGACCACGTGATGCGACGCGTGCGGCGTCTTTGCAATTCCATTCGCGTGTTGTTGGCCGAACCTCTTACCATCGCCGGTGGGGGTCGAACTACACCCCATACTTACTGTCCATCTGATAATAGTTCTCCTCTCCACCCACCGCCCGCAGCACTTCCACGACGCCTCTCGCTCTGTGGAGAACGCCTCTACGCCTCTACCGCCCACTGCCAATTCGCAAAGGCGGTGTCTCCGCCCTGCTCGCATCTTTGGAACGCCACCTCCACGCTTCCACCATTCATTCCACCATCTGCCACCCCTCTGCTCGTACAGGTATGTGTTGCCTTATCTGCAGGCGTATCTGCTCCTGGAAATTGGAGCCTAATTCCTGATTGCTTTTCCAGGCTTCACATAGTCTTCAAAAGCGAGTCTCCACGTCTCATCGATCGCAGCCTGTCTGCCCGATTCCGGAATCACGGTCGTATTCACGGTGTTTCAACGGCCCTACAACGGCGCGGAGCCAACGCGGCGCACCACGGGAGCTCTAAGTATCAGGCACCGAAGGATTTAAGCCATCGATTCCCGCCTTATCTCCCTTCCCAGGCAGCCTCCACCTCACTTCCATCAAATCCCATTCTTGCAGCTTCGCACCCAACCCAACTCTCCGGCAGCCACAACCACAGCCTCCATATCAGTGCTCCCACTGCAATGGACATCGGCACTCACCGCCCCTCCCTCGAACGCGTCACCACCGACGAGAAGCTCTCCCTCGCCGCCTCAAACACAGTCTACACCTACCACTGCCTCTGCACCCACCTCCTCCTCGCCACCTCAACCCCCCTGGCCGAGCTCCCAACCCGCACAAAGTCGCTCGACAGGGCACACATCATGCCGCTCCCCCCGGCACCCGCGCCCACGTCTCGTCAGGCCCAGAGCACCACCTCCGCCGACCACTACGGCTGCATCATCTCCATGAACCTGGACCAGGATCCCACTATCGTGCAGTCGGACGCTGGTTTCGAGAAGCGCTACCTCCAGCGCTGCGGCCGCTGCAACCAGATTGTCGCCTACCATCTCGACTGGCAGCAATACCCCGGAGCGACGGACGGCCAGGGCCACAACCGCTTCGGCCGCCGCGAGGACGTCGTCTATCTCGTTCCCGGGGGATTCGTCTCGACGAGCGAGATGCTGAGGGGGAAGATGCCTAGTGGTGTCGCCGTGTCGGAGTTGAAGCTCTGAAACCTTAGAGGGGAATGATCGGCTTCGACTGACTACGGCCCTCTCTTATCTCTTACGGACAAGATGGTTCTTACCAATCTGTGACTTTCCTTCCTTCCTTTTTTTTTCTTCAAGGTGGAGATCCAGGGAGTTGGGCTGCGACACGACACTTGCGTTTCCGAAACTCGCACCCGGTTGGCTCCAAGGTGTTCTCCTTCTTCTCATTCCCTTTTGCTGCGGTTCGCGGCTGACGGAGTATCTGAACCGGCGGCCTTTTTGCTTTTCTTTCTTTTATCTTTTCTCTTCAAGTATTCGCTTGTCTGCGACGGACTACGTGCGAGTACTGCTACGGCAACGGCTACTCTTACGGCTCTCTATATGTCCACCCACACGCACACACACACACACGCACACGCGTATAGACATGATACCCATTGGTTGACGCGCTGGGCTTCTCATGCTCTCATACTTTTATGACTCTTGAGACAAAGGCCCGGGAGACTGGCGTCCCATGTGGGGGGATTCGGTTAGGCTTGGTTTGGGATGGTATGGGATGGTATGGCTAGGTAATGATTAATGACACTCGGATGAACTCAATGGGATGCTATCACTCTTTTCCATTGCGAAAACAGGCGTCATATATATGTGTACACTTCCCGACCACATGTCTACCTTGAACCAAGACGGACAAGTGTCTTGGAATGGACACAGGTCCTGGAGCCATTCAAAATGATCATTGCCCTACTCGCTGCCTGCAAAACAAATACCCCCCAAAACGCCTAGAGCATGCCCGTATTCCGCATTCGCGCCGTGTCCAAAGGTTGGATATCCGAAGCCCTCGACCCGATAAGGTCGCCGAACCTAGTTCTCCGCAATCGTCTTGACGAACTCTGCTTCCCCGTTAGCCCCGTGTCCTCTCACCATATCCACCCCAAAAATCCCCCTTATAGAAAGAAAAACAGAAAAACAGAAAAATATCAACGTACCTCTATAATCCACCTCATCATTCCCGCCATCGATGGTGCTCTTGAACAACTCCTCGACCTCCTCCTCGCTCATCTTCTCGCCCAGATTCGTCAATATGTATTTGATCTGCCCCTTTCCGACGAAGCCGCTGCGGTCCTTGTCGAAGACCTGGAAGCCGCGGATGTATTCTTCGATGTCGAAGGGTTCGCGGAAGCCCCCCGGGCGGTTAAGGATCTTGGAGAAGGTGTCGAAGTCGACTGGGGGGTGAGTTTTGTCAGTTTCGTTTTATGGATTGGGGGGAGCCGGGAGCGAGGTGGCGGGGAACGGGGAACGGGGAAGATGGGTGTAGAAAGGGAGAGGGAAGAAAGAGAGGGGAGAGGGGAGAGGGAAGAAGAGGACATACAATCAACACCGACCCCGCGCTCCAAATCCGCAATCTCCGCCAACGTCGGGTTCTGCCCGCAGGCGCGCAGGAGGTCGCCCAGGGCGCCGCGCTCGACGCGCCCGTTGCCCCGCTTGTCGAAGAGCTGGAAGGCTTCGCGGTAGTTGGTCGAGGCCTGCGTGTTGTGGTTATTCATTGTGTGTTCTTTTTCTTTGTTGGAGGAGGAGTAGAGTTGGTGGTGGCGGGGGAGGGACATGTGTTTGGGTGGGAGTGGTGGAGAGGGATGCAGGATGGTGGTGTTCAAAGAGAGGGTGTTGGATAAGAGGAGGTCGTCGTTGCGAGCAGCATATGCTGTCGGAGTACAAATGCGCTGCGGCGGGCTGCTCCAGCTCTCGCATTGTCTCCTCGCATATCTCGCTCTTGGGTGATTTGGAGGACGTTCGGCGGTGCGGTTGTGGGATATGCGAGAGGAAAAGTTGGGGAAAGCAGCGACTTACCATTGTGTGAGTCGTCGTGTGTTTGAATGAAGCGAAAGACGTGTCGACGAGGTGCGGAAAGGGGTGTTGAGGGACGTGAAGGTGGTCTTGAAGTGGGTTTGGCTTGCTGGATAGGAGATGTCGGGTGAGTGAGTTGCAGGGGTGGCAGTGTGTTGATGCCAAGGCCAGAGTCGTCGCCTAGCAACGGCGGATGAGTCTGGTATGGCTCCACTGCGACCGTCATACAAAATGGTTTCCAAGGTTTGCCTTGGAGGTGAAGACAATATCTGGTTTTCTTGCGATGGAGAGGACTTGTTCAAAAGTAGCGTTTGCGGAGATGTTCACCCTCCTTCGACAGGACGCCCGGAATAGTGCACCTTTTTATGGGGCTGGATGAATGGGCAGTGATGATGCCAGTTCCTCACACTGCCAGCACGAAATAGAGAAGTACCACTCCTATTTCTAAGTAGATGGTGGGACTTAAATGTGCGAGAAAGCTCAGCGGGTAAGGCGCCGAAGAAGAGATTCAGGTACGGCGTACTCCGTAGACGGTCCTGTTCCGGAAGATGCACTGAGAGCATCTTCGCATTACTGAATATAGAAAAGAGTACTCCGTAATACACATGCACACTCAATTGAAGTAATTGATCCAAAGCTGGCGTAAAATCCGAAGTCACCATGGATGTATTCTGGCATAGGTCTCTACTATCCAATAGCTACAACTCATTACCCCAACGGAGGAATCTACAATGGCATTTACGGCATGAGGAAGTTGACAGACCACAAGAGTACACTCAAATCCTGTCAATTCCATTGTAATCCATTTTTTCACTTTTTATATGCCTACATCTCCCCTCCTCGCCTTCCGAGGCCTTCCGATTCATTTGTTTACTATCCTTCCGTTTTAGGCCTAGCTCCCAGCCACCCCAGCCTCCTGAGAGCTGAGCTGATCTGACAACACCGCTCAACACCACGAACCAACCCTCCCGTCGCACATCCCCTGGGGCCCGGAATGCTCCCACAGGGCGCCCACACCTCACCAACCTCTCACACATACCATTGATCTCCCGTCGTCCCTCTCGACGCGTCGCCAGCCATGGTCAAGGGCACAGCAGCAGGCCTGGTGGGCGCGGGCGCTGCCGTCTCAGCAATTGGCGGCGCCTACAAGTTTGGAGAGTTCCTGAATAAAGCAAAACGCCTCAAGGACGTTGGACCCTCCAACGCCGTCTATGTCCGCCTCATCAAGCGCATCCGTGCCGACCTCGACGAAGTCAAGCGTCTCCTTACCGTCCCCGAGATCAAGGATGCCCTCGAAGCGAACCCTCCCAAGGCGAAATGGGTCTACGGCGCTATGCGTGATGTCCGCGGCGCCTTGGAAAACATCACGCCGCATACCGAGCGCGTGGCTAGCGACATCGAGGATGGCAGGCGCGTGGGCGTGAGGCATCGCTTGTACTGGCTGCTGAGCGAGAAGGAGAAGCTGGAGAATCGGGAGAAGGAGCTTCATGTGGCTCACGCGAGCCTGACGGAGGTTCTCGCGTTCTTGACGGCTCTGGAGCCGGTTGAGCTGAAAGAGAAGGAAAGTCGTCACACCAAGGTGGATATCGATGTGGACGTCCGACACGGCGGCCCTGACCGTGTTGAGCAGAAGGAGGTCTGGGTTGAGCGCCATGATCGTGGCCCTAGACACGTCCATGAGACGCACGAAACCGTCATTGAGCATGAGCGACCCTCTCGTCACTTTGAGCGGGAGACCTGGGTCGAGCGCGATCGCGACCCTCGCTACGAGGAGCGTGAGACCTATGTTGAACGCCGGGATCCCCGCCATGAGGAACGATACTATGAGGACAGGCAGTATGGCCCTCAGCCCGGACGCGTAGAGGAGCGCGAGTTCCACTACCAGCGTGACCCCCGTCACATTGAAGCCGAGTACTACGAACGGGGCCCTCAACGCTACGACGAGAGACGCTACGAAGAGCGTCGCTATGACAATTACTCCCGCCGCCCCGATTCCTTCGAAGACCGTGTCCCCGAGCGCGAGACCTTCATGCAGAGCGATGTCCGCAGGTCCTACAACCGCTCGCCCTACGGAGAATATGCAGAATACGGTGCCCCCCAGCCATCCGGAGCGGCCGAGTACCGGCGTAGGTTCACCGGAGACCCTGGATTTGGCGATGAACTTGTGCTAAATCCGCAACCAGTGCCGCCGCAAGGCCAAGAGTACGAGCGTGAAGTGAGTGCCTATTCGAAGAACAGGGGCTCTTCTGGTGGTTACTGACGCGGTAGGGGTCAGACCTGGATTGAGGAGAAGGAGGATTACACGCGCGATCAGTACGGGAACAAGCTGCCTGAGCCGCTGCAGAGGACAAGATATCCGCAGTATCCGAAGCCCCGGTATTAGGCGGTTGCGGAGGAGACGGGAGGTGGGAGATGTTCGGATGGGGATGCGAAGTCATGAGTATATTGACGGATTCCTGTCTTGTCTTTGCTTTGGATTGATTGCGCTCGTAGGTAGCTTGTCCAGTTTCATAGCTGTCAATGTTTGCTCCTCATAGTCTAGTTTTGTCAATCCTTTCAGTGTGTACCTTGCTGTTGCTCGTCCCCTTGCATTCACCTTTCACCGGTTTCCCACATGGATCGGTGGCTTCGATCGACGAGCAACAGAAATCTCCACCACACGTGCCTCGCGTGCCCACGGTTATGCTCCGTCACCGCAACCTTTCAGGCTACACGCGCACCTCATTGCTCACCGGTGTTGCCTCTTAACTCTGCCTCCTCTTACCAACATCTCCAACGTCTCTCGTTGAGCAGATTCTCAAGAGCTCCACAGAAGGAGGGTTCTCCCAGTCCGGTCTTCCTCACGAGCGCGCTCCTAACAAGCAAAAAACTACAACAACAAACTGCACTTCCTCTCCACAACCACCATCACAACACATCAACAGCCACCATCAACAACCACGACAGCATTCCCACAACAACAAAATGCCTATCAGCCCCCCTACTACGCCTCCACGTTCCCGCTCATCCACCCACAACATCACCCTGCTGACCCTCTGGGACGCCAGCCTCAGCACGCACTGGCCCGACATCACCCGTTTCGCCGCCCATCTCGCTGTGCTGATTGCCCTGCAATGTCTCGCGCAGTTCGGGCTGGGCGTCTACATTGCTTACGAGTTCCTCAAGGTGCCGACCGTGTTTGAGTGCTGGGATGGCGGTAAGCAGGTTGAGAAGACGGGGAAAGTGACGATCGTCGGAATGGGAGTAGAAGGCGAGAGATGGAAGTGGGCGCATAGTCTCCAAGGGAAGGATGTGTTGTAAGTTCTTCTCCAATCTCCCTCTCTGTCTCTTTCTATTCTATCCAGAAGTCGTCGCGCAGTGTACATATCCGCAGGGCCATCAGCGCTAACCTACCTCCCCCGGCTACAGCACAACAGTATACTTCACCATTCTCGTCCCGCTCCTCCTCTTCCTCCTCGCCTGCATTCTCATAGCTCGCCACTTCTCCCGCACCGGTCTCTCCATCCGCCACGCTTACTACATATTCCTAGTCATGAGTGTCATCTGGACGTCCTGCATCGTCGAGGACCGCGCGAAGCCCGACCTCTCCTCCCTCGACCCGCAGTTAAACATCTGCAGAACGCCGGACGCGGAGACAATGCTCGCTGCCAAAAAGCTGCGTGAAAGGATCTGGGAGGCGAGGAGCTGGGGTATGACGTGGCTTAGTTTCTTGTACGTGTCTCCCTTCCCCATTCTTCCTCTCTCCTATTTTTCCTTCTCTCTCATTGCCCCGGTTGGAGAGTTGGAAGAAGCTAGCGGGCATACTGTATATTTTGTATATTTTTCTCTCACGATATGTTCTCGTCAGACGGGGATCGCTGACGTCCTCACAGCACACTGATCTACCTCCTCCTGACCTACAACGCCGCATACCTCAACGACCTAGCCCGTAAAACCCGCACCCGCCGCGCGCGCACCGAAGACGATTTGGGATTGCAGGCTCTTGCGCCGTCGTCGTACGCGGTACGTACAGCGGCAGCGCCGCCGGGATGTACCGCTTCTCGCCCGCCCACGCGTACGCCTTATACCAATGCAGATATGGTGCTGAATCGGGAGGAGTTTGAAAGAGTCAGTGATTTCGGGAACGCAGCTCCTTCTGCGCGTGATGATGGGAATGAGATCACGAATGCCACGCAGGGGACAGAGAGAGGAGCGGTCAAGACCCCTCGAGGTGTTTCCAGGGACGTGAGTGGTAATGCAGCGATTGGGCTCAGTGGGCGGAATCAGCGGGGTTTCAGGGAAGAGGGGGTGAGGCGTGGTGGGCAGCGGAGGCGGAATGATGGGAGTTTGGATGGGGAGGCGGGTGTGGTGTATGAGGATCCGTTTGCGGATCCGCCTGAGGTGAGGGGGAGCGGGAGTGGTGGGATGTGAGGGAGTGGATAGGGTTGGGGAGGAAGTAGGGATTATGTGTGATGAGAGGGAGGAGTTATGGTTTGGGGAGGTGGTGGAGACAGAGGAGGAGGTTATGGATACGCGTGATGGTGCAGCGGATGCTGAGGTCGGCTGGAGGAGAAGGCTTGGTGGGTGGATATATCAATTCTTTCGGCCCAGAGGGTAGGTGCCTTGAGTGACTGACTGGCATGTGGACAGCGCTACGGTGCTGGATCTCATGGAAGTGGTGGCAGTGTGCGCGATTACTGGCTCAGGAGTCATTGCTCCTTTGGTGCAGTGGATTCCAGGTCTAGACGTTAACGCTGATCTAATGAATCATCAAACTGTGGTTTTAATAGCTATGGATGCCATGGGCAACCTTTTTCCCTCTCCTTTCTTTTTCTTCCCCGGGGACAATCGTGATGTGCGAGGTACGCAAAATACAAAGCTCCAGGACTTGTAGTCCCCGACACGAAACGACTGCACCATCCTGTTGAGCCTCTCATGCAGGAATCGAGATATTTAGTTCCAATACTACGTTCAACACATAAAACTCTCAAGTTAGCGCGCGGATAATAGAGAATAAGCGCCGTCTAAGAGCTGCCAGTGCATGCATATGTTAGAGTGCAACTAGCTCTATTAAGACGTCTTTGTGGAAGATTATCGGCAAACAAAATGGTGTTTTGGAGCCTTGGAATTGCTGCGGATGCGTTTCCTTTGCTGGCTGGATGGATGGATGGATGGTTGGTTGGTTGGGTTCAAGGTGCAGCATCACTGTCAAACAACTGGTCTTCAGGATAGTGAGACTATTCCTGTTAGAGGCTATCTAACGCGCCAAGTGCTCCTCTTTCGCGTGGTCTATTCATTCACTTTTGAAGAAGATAAGACAACGGATCTTCTCTTAAATAAGTCAACAAGGCGCCCTTTAGAGGATCAAGAAAATGGTCTCCAGAGCGGGTACAGGCCACGCAGGAACCGTAAACTCTCTGGTTGTGCCACCGGCAGGCGTGTTGCTGTCTTATCGGAGGAGGACAGACTTCTAATAAAATTAAAGCGGAAAGACGATCTTCCATGGAGTGAGATTGTGAAGCATTTTCCAGGGAGGACGAAGGGTCCGCTTCAGGTTCGGTACAGCACCAAGCTTAGGGGTTTGAGCTGGTTCGATGAGTCTTCTGAGGCGGCGAAAGGGTTAGGTTCTAGTTTGCATGAATCGGTGTGCAGCAATGGAAATTCGGGTTATCAGCAGCGATACGGACGTCCTCGGGAGCGACGTAGAGTGGAACGCTATTCACCGGCTTAATGACTATATTCGCGCTGTCAGTCTCTACTGAATGAATTGTAGCAGCGAAACAGCAGGAGAGGTACGATGATTCAGGCTGATTGTATTCAATCAGCGAGGCGAAGCTAGTCTATGTCGCAGTTATATCTTAGGAATTTGAATCTTGCATACAGTCTCGATGTTGCCGTCACTATTCTGCACAAATCTGTTAATTTACACTCTTCCTTCCCCCAGCTATGCACAGATAGAGTTCAGGAATAAATACGATACTCTGGGGAGCGGAATTGTTCACTTGAACTAGCGAAGGAGAAAGTGAACAACGATGGCACTTCCCATGTCGCGGATGAAACATCAGCTTTAATGCATGGATTTTGGTGTAAACATTTGGATGCTCAATCTCCTATTCTCATTCTATGCCTCGACCAGAAGAAGTACATCGACCGCCAAAAGATCGACGCCCAGGGGACCAACTAGCGAAGTCCAAGACCACTTACATATATCCTTGAAGAATCGGCGTTTGAATTTGTGTTTGTGAGATTCGAACTGGCAAAAAGCAAGGCATCAGATAATCTCTCCCCGACAAAGCAACTAGTACACCAAAATCTCTTCATCTTTTCCTTCCCCGTCCCTCCATTTATTAAGCACCTTCTTCATATCCGCCGCGATATTCCGAGCATAGTCAGGCCCAGCGGCGCCGGCAGGCAAATCCGCTGGGTTCCCCCTCACCCAAGCAACAGGTTCTTTAGCAACACCCGCGAATTTCTTCTTAAGCTCTTCAACCTGCTGAGGCTCATAGCCACGACCGAAGATTACCGCGCGAGGAGGCCGGCTGTAATCGTGGGTTCCGATCTCATTGGGGCTCCGAGACTGAGGATCACGACCTGCAAGCAGATGCGGGAGCTCAGCCTCTGCAGCCTCATATGACAGGATGAAGTGGATGACTGAGGAGCATTAGCACCACACTTTGCTTATTTCAGGAATATATATCAAGAACCTTCATATTCAGGCAGAAGGTGCTGAGAGATCGATTTCCCCATCGCGGGTATTCTGCCGCAGGCAACTACTGGCATCGGCTGAGTGAATGAAGACATGTTGCGAGAGCTGTAAGCTGTACGCTGTACGCTGCGGGATGAAGGTATTTCAGAGCATTGGAGATGGAGAATTATGGAGTAAGCTGAGGTCGATGATTCGATTTATATTCCTCGTTGCGGCGCGCTTGGTCTTGATGTCTTGATGATGACGTCGTCGTCGCGACCCGCCGATTTTTCGATTATTCAACAGTCGCAACGCCCCGAACGCCGATGAGTAAAGCAACGCCGTCACGTCCTTTTCGCGTTCTCAGATTATCCATTACATCACCGCATGTCTTCAAGATAAAAGAAAAGGCCTCAAAAGCAATACATGATGGTCAAAGCAATGGCTGACGCGCCCGCTCCTCGCAAGAGAGGCCGGCCACGAAATGTGACGGACGATGAGCAAGCTTCCGAGGTGGGCATGTCCCGAGCAACTACAGAGCAAGTTGGAACTGACTCAAGGAATCCAGAGACGTCGAAAGCAGCTTCGCGTCGCGCAGCAGGCATATCGCAAGAGAAAAGAGACCACGATCGTCAATCTGCAATCTCGCATACAGGAACTCGAGTCGGGCATCGAAGAGCTCAGCGTGTCGTTCCTTTCCTTCAATAATCTTCTGTTCGAGGCTGGGATTCTCCAAAAGCAGCCTCTTGTCACAGCTGCTCTGCAAAAAATTACACAGCAATACGTGTCGCTTGCTAAAAGGGGCTCCGACGAGGCCGAACAAGCACCTGTAGCCCCGGCGGACGTATTGCCATCGACATCTCCAATGCTCAGCGATACACAAGGCATAGTCTCAAATTACGATCCGCTCATAACGGAACTTGATTCATTGCCAAGAAGCGGTGATGCTTTCCAGTCCTCGTCAGACCTCGCGGCTCAATGGTCTGGACTATCACAACAACCCCCCACGCCACCGTTCCAAGAACAAGCAATTCTACCGTTCGGAATAGCCTTGTCGTCTCCGAATATCCCCTTCTCATCCATCCCTAGTCCCGCCCTGAATTTCCCGACCATAGTATCGCCCGACAATCTCTTAAAGCAAGGGTGCTGGACACTCTCACACCTTCTGGTCCGACAATGCTGCGAGACTGGATACCATCTATTAACAAGCTTATCTGGAGACGATCCAAGGGTCAAAGCAATCTTCGGCAAACCATTGGCCATCGACGAGCGCAACTGCTTGATCTCCGGATTCGTCGCTGTCATGCACGACGAAATAGGAGACACGATCGAGTTGAGGACAAAAGTTCTCAATTCAAGGAGGAACAGCTACTCGCCTGAACGACTCGCCATTTCCTCTCGGACATGGCAAATTGTCAATGAATCGGGTGCTGATGAGTGGATGGATGCGAGTGGTGTGCAAAGGCTGCTACAGCAGCGAGGGATTCGTATTCAGGACCCGAGCTCGCCCCTCTCTGGTCGCGGGTTCAATTCAGCCCCGCAGCTCAACGCAGCGAGATTCATTGAATGTGAGTAATGCCGAGATCAATGGTTCTTTGTGTCTTCTTGTCAGTGCATTTACTGACCTTATCGTAGATCTTTCCCTTTGCCCTATCTGTCTCGGTCGCGGACCAGCGTTCCGAAAGCGCGATGTTGAGAATGCCATTCGCCTTGCAACTCCTTTTGATCCTTGGGCGTCTAATCGTGTGTGCGGAATACCATGAATTATGTATAAAAACAATAATTGTCTACAATAGATATAATCTCCGCTTACTTTGCATGATGCGACGATTAGAAGCAAAATCGCTCTGTGGAGTTGAGGAAATCCTTCCAGAGCATATGTTCCCTATGTCCGCGAAATTTCTTTAAAAAAGCGCCCTTTGCATCCCAGCCCTCATTTCATCCCAGCCCTCATTTCATCCCAGCCCTCATTTCATCCCAGCCCTCATTTCATCCCAGCCCTCATTTCATCCCAGCCCTTCATTTCGACTGTCAATTTAGCGTCTACGGGCTGGCCTTTGAAATCCAGGGCCGGACTCCAGAATCGGCTATATTTTCCATTTACATGTTCTCCCTTTTTGGGACACACAAATGCGCAGGCACATTTCTAGTCACGTCGACGCCAAATAGAGACTCTGTCATGGATCACCCCACTCTTATCCTTGCCCACAGTGTGCGTGCGCTCTGGCTGCCAGTACGCCACTCTCTCCAGGCCCGCCTTGCTGGGCTCTCGCAACGGGTCCGCATCGACAAGACCCTTATCGTTGTAGGAGATCTTCTCACCGGGGTGGCTCAGATGCTCCATGTAGGCCTTGGAGGGAGAGGCAAATGGAGGGCCGGGGGCCAAGGGGTCCTTATGACGAGGAGATTCCAGACAAATCAGATTGCCTGCAGGTAAGGGAGCAAGGAGCTCGGTGTGTCGGAGAGCCCATTTAGGACGGAGCTCTGGGTTCAGAGCACAGAAAAACTAGATGGTTGTTAGAAGGAAAGTCCAGAAAGACCAGAAGAATCCAAGGTGGGTCGGAAACGGCACATCAAAATTCCAAAGACAGAGTGAGGCGTCTTGCAGGTCCCTCTGGAGGACGCAGAGTACAAGTGGAGAGAAAATAATGGCAATGACGGAATGGAGCCTAACAGCGGCAGTGAGTATACATACCGTGTAATCATAAATGACATCAAATCCATTTCGAGGTACTCCAATCTCCTTCAACCAGGTATCATCAAATAAATCCCCGTGGACGAAAGTGACCTTCCCTTTCCCAACTTTCTCATCTCACACGCGGTACCGGCTATGGTTCTCCTTCTCCTCCTTCTTGCACGCTTCGACAGCCGCGGCGCTGCACTCCAGGCCATAAGCATCATACCCAAAGCTCGCGAATAAGAGCACGTCGACTCCACGTCCACAGCCCGGCACCAGGGCCTTCCTCCTCTCACCGTCCTGCGTGATGGGCCCGCCAATGGTGACAGCTCGCTGGAGCAGGATGTCTTCTAGCCCGGGGTTGGGAAAGCCACGATCCCAGGGCAGATTATCACCTTTGTCCCAGAGGGAGGCCCAGCCCTCAACATACTTTTCGCCCTGATATTTGGCAAAATGCGCTTGAATATCCTTAAGATCAACGTTGGTAGGAGTCGTCATGGCTATGGGGTGGTGATGGAGTCGGGGTAGTTGGAGGTGGTCGCTCTGGTGTGACAGTGATAGACAGGGTAAAAATTAGGAATAGTGCAGAGTGGTCAGAAACTATTGACTGCACCGGGAAGTAAATGATACTGGGTGCACGGCGCCTGTTCTACTTATGCCTCTCTACACCCGTAATTGAGTGTCTTTACGCTGTGATTAGAAATCATTGTCGATGGGATAACCTCAAGCTCCCACCGCGAACCAATAGTCAGATGATGGGTCGAAAGTTAATCAGTCTTTACCTGTTTATTCATCATACCGAGAGAGACCTGTTGAGAAAAGTGGAGGTTTCTACTACAGTCCCGTAAGACGCCAAGTAGTTTGGCGAACATAGCAAGGAAAGCCTTAAAATATGATATTTGATTTTTAACACGTGTTTAATTAAACACGTTTCATTCAACATGTTTAGATCTAACAGATGTTAACTGCCTAACAGATGCTAACTGTCTAACAGATGTTAGAGCCCTAACACCTGTCTAACATCTGTTAAAATTACTAGGTAGGAGCACCTGCCTGCTGTCAGATAGTAAGCTAGTTTATGGACATCCCATCTGGGACTGAAGAGGAGGACTGGGAGAAACTGTCTGTACCGGTACTGTCTGAGGACATATGGCTAGTGATTTTGCAGTGGCTAGTGCCCTGCACAGCCTTGGTGCTCAGAGAAGGAACATCAAAACTGGTGTCAGGCCTCAGCCTCACCCACACACAAGACACACACCTGAATACAATCAGTCAACCCATCTTCAATCAATCTTTCTGTCACCGTGACATCTTCAGATACCATCAAATCTGACAATTAAGAGTCTCATTGCCTTTACCAACATGTCTACCAACACGATCAACAACCAAACTCAAGCCACTCTAGCTACCAGCAAGGACTGGACCTCCTGGTTCACCCAACTACAATCCAAGGCAGATGCATCGGAC